TGTTCGAAGCAGATCCAGCTGGTTTCCTTGGACGTTTCCTAACCCAGGACGAGTGTTGGGTTCATTACTTTGAGCTAGTGACAAAGAGACTATCCATACAGTGGAAACACACTTCATCATCTTCTCCAATGAAGCTCATAGTCGTTTCATCTGCAGGGAAGGTGATGGCCTCAGTTTGGGAGGGGGGGGGGAAATGCAAAAGGTATTGGTTTTATTGACTATCTTCAAAAGGGCCACACCCTCAATGGAAAGTACTATGACAACTTACTGAGGCAGTGACAAAAGGCTATCAAGACCAAATGCCCAGGAAAACTGACAAAATGGGTCTTGTTTCATCAGGAGAATGCTCCAGCACACAAGTCATTGGTTTCAATGACTGCGATGTGTGACTGACTTTGAACTGGTTGATTACCCTTCCTATTCTCCTGATTTGGTCGCATCTATCATTTGTTCCCCAACATGAAATAACACTTGGCTGGAAACTAGTATCGATGATGATGTCAGATCTGCTGTTGATGACTTTTTTTGACTAACAGGATGAACAGTTTTTTGAACAGTCAGATGTCAGTTTACCTGGAAAGAAACAATGCAGTTATTAATAAGAAGAGTTGACATTAATGCATGAAACATATCACAGCTCTTGCATCACTCTTTACAGCCCACTCTTGTCATCTTCCATAAAATGGAGATTTTTTTTTTTCTTGTTTTCTAATCAGACATGATGCAATAACAATTGATATTTTTTTCTTACTTCTGGTTAAATTTATTGAATTACTGTGTGTTTGCTTTGATTGTAAATTAATGAATTTAATTTCACTGAAGCTCGATTGGATTCGAGTCTAAGTTAATCCAATTTCTGTGTCAATTTAATGGCTTATGCAATTTACTTTTCATCCTCTGGGAATAAACTTAGAAATTGGAAACTCTGCATAAATCATTTTTGGAAACACTTTAGCAAACAGGTTAGATGTGAATTATTGAGTGTTGAATTTTGTGGTACTCCAAGCCCTATGTAGTTGTCCTAAAAACTATAATTGAAAGAATAAATTTTTCAGGACATGCCACTGCTAATTTAATTAACCCAAAATCATTCTAACACTGAGACATAAATACAAGAAATTAATGTACTTTGTACTGTACTTTGATGTGTTTTTTACAGCTGTTGTTTTGTATACAAGTTTCCTTCCTTTGAGTCTCTGAGGAACTAGAATCTTTTGGTTCCATGGAAACTGTTGCAGTGTACGAATGATATTTGGCTACAGTAAAGAGGCAAATGTTTCGGAAAACATGGCAATGAAAGAAGGTTTGGAGAAGAATTTAGCACTCACAGGACACATCAAGCAAAGGAAAGCAGCGAGTAACCTTGACAATTGAGTCATAAAGAAGAAATGTTGCTGAGAGTAAAAGATAGGAAACAGTGGAGAGTCACGATCACCTGCATCCTGAAGTAATATGACACAGGGAGAAGTGGTGAACATGTTGTTTGCCATTACTGTCTACCACTGTGAAAGAAAGTTTGATTATACTGTAAAATATCAGCCTAAAACCCAAATTCTGACCTGAAAATCTTGGACAATTTACAATAAATCTGTTAATTTAAAAAAAAAAAAAATTTTTTTTTTTTTTGTGTGCGTATTTATAAATTCAACTGTTTACAAGAATATCTCCAATGAAAAATTAATTCACAACAGTGATTCATATTTTTTTTTTGGTCTAATTTTGCATTGTTTTCTTTTCTTTCAGTATAAAAAACAGACATCCAAATAGTCTACCACTTAGTCGTTGATCAGGGACAGAATTTTGTGAAGCTGTGAAATATCTCCCACTACCTTTTAACCAACTCATTGACAATGATGGTTTCTTCAAACATCTGCTTCCTGCCTACTTTCATCCTATCTCAATACAAGATTCTCACAAAAGATCTGAAGGAATCCTGCTTAATTTGTCTTTGATGATGGAAACCAAAAGACTTATCACTGTCCAGTATTAACAACATAGAGAGAAGAAATTCAGTATAGAAAATAACATTTTTAGGTAATATCAAAGAAGCCTATTATGAAAATGCATTTTAATGAAATTCTAGTTGGCAAGCATTTATGAAATAATTAGAAAGAAGGAAAAAAAAAAATAAAAGGAATGTTCAGTTGGTCCTGACTTGACCTCTATCTTTCTATGACTCATCCTACACGGTTACTCTTGCTATATATAGTAAACTCTCCTTGTGACATAGTAGAAACAAAACTTAAAACTCCATAAATTATTCAATGGTAATGGAGACCTTCAGTAAGTATTGAGGATAAGAAAATGCACAAAAATATGTTTGATATTCAATTGCCATCAATTTTGAAAGGCATGGGGGGGGAACCATTAGTAATAATTTGCCAATAATATTGGACTCTTTACTATATTCTAGTGAAACAGATTCTAGTTAACTGGGGCAGAATGGGAAGAGAGCAATTTGGCTCATCATGCAGACAATGCTATAAACAATTCAGTTTTACTATAGAGCATAGTTAATTTGCCATTTAATCATAAGAAAAAGTTTTTGTTTTGTCAAGATCTCTATTTTAAACCAAAATTTTACAATCTTTGTACAAGTTTTTTTCAACCACTTAACTAGACATGAAAATCCAAAAGTTCATGAGTTTTTAAATAGCAAAGTTTTTTGTTTAATTTATTTTTTATCCAAGCTTGAATGATGAAAAATATTTCTAATTTATTAATTTTAACTGTTACTTTCATTTTTGATACTTTTATTGTTATTCCATCATCATTAGTAAATAATGTGGATTGGAACCTATGAAGGTAGAATTGTTATAACCTAAAAAAACTAAATGGTTTTATGCTGACATTTTTTTTTTTACATACTCTTGTAGCAGTAGTCTCATTTTCTTTCTTTACTTCTCCCTCAAATTCAAATAGTTTTAAAAAAATTCATGCTCAAAGATCCATTTTAATTTATCAGAAAATAAGTAAATTTAAGAAAATAGATTTGTTTTTTTTTTTTATTAGCTTACTAAAAAACCCTAATGTATTATGTTTATTTTGGAGTTTATAGAACATTTTCAAGCAATAAATAAATAGAACAGATATACTAGTTACTTCCACTTTATAAAGATACCCCCCGCGGCCCTGACAGACACTTTTCATGATAAAACATGATTAAAACTATTTTATACAGTTAATGATCAAGACAAAGACACAATTTGAACAAACCTAAATGACTTAATCATTTCTCTTTTTAAACGTGTAGACATCTTTCTATTCATACCCAAAAGAACAGATAATGGAAAGTTTACTAGCTTACAGAAGATAAATAATTCTAAAGAAAACGTTAAAATTTCATTTTTTTTGTTAAGGGATGTGGGATATATGCCATAAAAGTAAGTACTTGTATCCTTTATGTAAATAAAATTTTTTAACAAAACCTGTGTTTATTAATATTTATTTATTCAGTATGAGAGCACCAAGCAAAGATTGAACTCACAAGTTTGTTGACCATTACATTACAATGAGGTACCTATTTATTTACAAAGTTTAGCACATCCAGTGAGGATTGAACTAGCCTCTTTCCACAGTGAGCTACCCTGTTTTACTTAGGTACCTATCTCCACTTGCATCAAAGCGTACAAAATTTCAATATTCAAATACTGTCTTTTTACTTGTATCTTTCTCTACCCTAATAAAGCATCCCCTAGGACATAAATGGTTGCTGATAAGGAATTTATTTTTCATTTCAAACTTCTTGGTTAGGAACCATTTTCCATTGTAAATCTGCCTACTTCATGGTTGCAATAAAAAAAAAAAATTACTAAATTCATTCTTTGAAAGGGTAGCAAAGAAATAATACAAACAAAGCAAAAAAAAAAACCTGAAAGATTAACAAGTTTTATTTTATGCTTGAGCACAATAATTTTGAATTTTTACAGAAACTTGAGCATTTACACAAGGTTTGGGATTTTATGAAGAGGAAGAAATGGTGGCTTCTATTTTAAAGTTTTGCACTTTCACTCAAATTAATGACACTTTCTCTCTTTTTTTTTTAAAAAATATTTCCTAAGGCAGACACTTTTTTTTTTTTTTTTTAAAACTCTTTCATTTCCGTTATCTCTGAATAAAATTTTGCATCTAACCGAAATACATAATGCCAAAACCTGGTACATATTTACAGGCTTTCAGTATCAAGTTTAGTGGCAGTCTGTGATAACACATTTACCTAACAGATAAGTATGAGGTTTTTTTGGGGGTTTATTTTTAAATAAAATTCAGGGTCAAAATTGACTCCTGATTTGTTACTTTCATTCCTTACTAATTGTTCCAAAGAACATTAAAAGGAAAAGAAAATTTATATCCAGCTTATACGAGTCAACCAATATGTGAGCAATTTTAGTGCAGCTGAATTTTGGTAATGAGTGGTGGTCGAAGAAAAAGAAAAAAAAAAAAATCTGCCTTATTCCATTCATTCATCAAAGTTTGATAAAGACTTTTTGGTATAGCTTGCATATTTTTTCTTTTTTTAAGAGCTAAGATTCTCTATACAGTAAACTGGTAAACAGATTTTGGGTTTATAAGATGAAGAAATTTGCCTTGATAAATATATTTTCACCAATATTTTCAAATTATGACAAAAGACAATTTTTTTTTTTAAGTTATAAAACCTTACATTAACTAGACTAATCTATAAAATTGAAATAAAGAATTTCATACAAAAATAAAGTTTCTTTTTTGTTTGAGATGGTGGTGGTGGTGGTGGAAAAGAAAAAGTATAATTATAGTGCTTATGTTTACTGATAAATAATGTATTGTCAGGTTGAAAGAAGAAAGAAAATGATTTGAAATCCTGTACTAAATTCTTGATGAAATACCTGCTCATAGGTTCAAACCGTGCATTTCTTCAACTTCCTTTTAGAATTCAATGGAAGGAATATGAAGATGATGGCAGTGTCCATTAATTATAAAACCTCCTGAGAATTTTCTAATTGTCCATCACTGACCTCTTTTCACGAAGGTTGGTATATTTTGCTGATATCTTCATATTGTGTGTTTTCAATGGTACGCCCAGCAAGTGGACCCTACAAATTACATAGAAAGAGCTTTTTATTTTGGATGCATATAAGAGTTTTATAGATTAAAACTTATTTTTACATTATCATGTATAGGATCTCCATGCACACAGGTAGGTGCTAAAAAGTTCTCAGCCTGGACCATTTCCCAATATCTGACCAAACGTAAGATTTTTTTTTTTTTTTTTTTTTAATCTCTTCTTGCCTAGGCCAAGAACCTTTCATGTGTGTGAGCATGATGCTTTCCAAAAATCAAATAATTTAACAATAAATAAGGCTTCAAATTATATCCTTAAACCTTAATATGATCTGGACATTTGTTTACTATTTGTCTGCCATTTGGCACACCCAAACGTTCAGATCACATTTTTGTTCATGTGTGTTGTTCAAATTCCATGAACTTTGAGTAGTACTTCATATGGAAACCATTTATGGCTGCATTATCGTTTCGTAACTTCTTTATACTTAAGGAGTTTCTACTCTTACTTCAAATGGATGCTAATTGTATTATTGTCACATCTCATGGATGTTGCTTAGTAAATCTATAAACGGAAAAATAAAAAGTGTTGTGCAGGTGTAAACACACTCACCTGTTTAATTATAACTGTACAGCAGAATTTTTCTTCATTGAGTGACTGCAGTGTTGCTTCACTCCCTCGATAAGCTCCATTCACAATCAACACAGTTTTACCTACAACAGAAATACAAGTTCTGATTTATTTAAATACATTTCAGCAGAGAAGAGGATGTAACCAAATGTGCATGTGACTCTAGAAAATTACTTGGCACAAATAAATCAATGAATGACTGCGGTTTGTTTTAAAACTTAAGGCCTTTCTTTATTATTGCTTTTTAAACAAGACAGACATGGAGGAAAAGAAATTATAATTACGACAAAAAGTAGTTCAAAAAAGAAGTGGGGGGGATAGCTAATTGGTTGGTTGTGCTCCCCAACCTTTTTACTGTTAGCTCAACTGAGGAAATATAAACAAATGTGAACCACAACTAAAAGTGGAGAAATATCCTATGCCATTTCCTGTTTTAAGCCAATCACATTTGGACTTGAATTTTAACATTTTAGGGACCATATTTATTAAATTTTGGCAGCCTTGTGTATAGAGAAGGATTAGCTGTTAGGTCTTAACATTATCTGTTTGTGATTATATTTTTCTGTTTTTTTTCAAATTATCGGTCACAGTAATTATCATTTTCTTTTTTTTCTCTCCTCTTTCTTCTAAAAAGTATACCTGTTTTAATAACAATAATAAAACTTTATACGCCAAAGAAGTAAAAATTGTTTTCAATCAACTGTGAACCTGGTTATAAAACAAACTTCTGCAATATCTAAAAAGTTACTGCATAATTAAACTGCACCAGATGCAAAAAATAATGTAGATAACTAACCTAAAGCAGGAATCACCGTTTCTAAATGTGTTTGATCGAGTTTGACTTTCTCACCAGAGTCTAAAACTTTCACAACAGCTGCAAAAAGATTCTGCACCTCCTACAAAACAAGAAAAAACAACAGTGGCTTTTAATTTCATCATGGAACAGTTACCAATAATATTTCTATATACAAGTTTATAATTGCTATATTAATTGCTACGGTTTTCCTATTTGAATCTTCTGATGAATCTTAATTCTTAAGTTAATGACTGAGTAAGCTTATGCCACATTCTACGACAATAAAATATCCCTATCATATTTGAGTTTAACAACTTTAACAAAATAGTTCAATAACAATCGTATGAAAATGCAGGTCGTTATTTTGTGAAGTGGATACAAATGAAAAAATTTGAAATTGACATCTTTTTCCATTTTATTGAAGCAGCCATTAAACACTATCTTCCTTTCTTTGCTTGATTTCAGTGAGAAAATGAAAGAGTCACTTTCCCCCTCTTTCCACATAATCAAAATGAAATAGTCCATTATTTATGCAATATTGCCAGAACATAATGAACGTGCAAATTAATGAAAGAAGGAGCAAGCACAATTATAAGATATTACTTATTTGAATGTGGTATAAGAATAGTCACAAGGAAATGAAAACCTTTCTCTTGGAAGACTTATACAGGAGAACAGTTTCAATTTGTAAGGTTTAGAAATTAGGAATGAAGCTTAGACATACTTAAGAGAACAAATGAAAACAGTTTTTTTTATAGTTTAATGCAAGTTGTATTATTAATCAGTATATTGAATGTCAGCCTACAAAGATTAATGCAGCCTTTAGATGTCACTCCATTTATTGTAAAAACAAGTTCAATAAAGCAAAGCACAAACCTTTACAACTGCTTTTTTCTTATAAAATCGTTCCCCTAACCTCTTCGTGATTATTTTTACAACAATGTTCTCATGAAGCCAATTATCTTTTCTGTTCATTTTCTCTCGCTTCATCTCTTCAAACTGCAGAAAGATTTGGAAATCAAAAATCTATTAATAAAAGGCATAGATCTTCACCATAAGTAAATAAAGATTTCATTTAATGCAATATTAATCTGACAGTAACTTAGTAATATACATAAAACTAATTTAAAATCATGCAAAAATTTAATGTAATATCAACCAAAAATGTATAAAATCACTCTTTATGTGTATATATATATATATATAAGGTTGTCACAAACGAAATGATGCACTTTATAGGAAATGAATAAAATGCTTTCAAAATGTTAAATAACTGAGTTGAAATAAGCACCATATTGATGAATGACTGTTCTCCAACATACCCCTAAATTTTAGATACCATCTTTAAAAAATGCGATAAACAGTTCATATGCTTTGATTACCTCTTCTTTATTAGAGAATGTTTTATTGTGTATAAAAGCTCAAAATGCTTAAATAAGTGATAATCAGTGGATATCAGGTGAATATAGCTAATGAGGCAAAATTTCATAATTCAGGCTATGCTGTTTTTGGATAGTTGATTGAGAAGCATGCAGCCTTGCACTGCCACAAACCAAAATTGGGCCATCCCTATTCACAAATTTCTTCAATTTTTCGTGCATATACTCAATTTCTTCACAATACAAGGTTGTTATTATTGTTTTCTCTTGAGACAAGAATGAATAATTAACCCTTTGGAAAGACAACCATACAGTAACCATTATCTTTTTAGGGTGCAGTGGAGGTCTTGGGCATTGTTTTGGTGAATCACTTGCATGTAAGCACTCGCCTACTCTCTTACTATTGTCAAAGAATATCCATTTCTTATCACCTGTAATGACTTAATGCAAAAATGGTTCTTTTTCCCAGTTTTTACACATATAGTAAGATTATTTGACATTGTTTCATTGGGCTCTTCAGTAACAATATATCGAAAGAAAAATTATCTGGAAAGAAAAAGTCAGGAATAAGTCAAGATTTTTTTATATACTAAGGAAGTTACTTCATTTGATGACCAGATCAACAACTCAAAAAATGTGTCATTTCATATGTGATATATATATATATATATATATATATATATATATATATAGTCAAATATGTTTCATTGACTAATATTGGCATATTATGTCTATTTTTATAATATTTTCTAGTTCTCTAATCAATTTCTTGATGTTAAGATGAGATTCATCAAGGAAGGTGCTGAAATTTTTTTATACCCAAGTACTTTCAACCTTCTCTGAGATCATCCTCAGGGGTGAATTACAAAGACAAAGTTATTGTAACTGTGATAATTGAAAAATTTTTAAAAATGTGCCTTCCTTGATGAATTTCATCTTAACATCAAGAAACTGATTAAAGAACTAGAAAGGATTATTATAAAATAAATAGACATAATATGTCTATATTATTTGATGAAACATGTTTGAATGAATATATATATATATATATATATATATATATATATATTTTATTTATTATATGAAATTAAAGGTTGAAGTCTGACTATATGCAATGATGTTGAATTATACACGCCTATCTCTGATATTGAGCACTTTATCCCATAAATATATATATATATTTCTTTTATATATATATATATATATATATATATATTTTATTTATTATATGAAATTAAAACAAAAATATATTAAAAATCACTACACAATAGCTTTCATGTTTCAGCACTCAAATTGTGTCTCCTCAGGTGATGATAAATAACTTGTGAGTAAAAAATTATTTTTAAATTTCAGAAGCAGATAACAAATCAAAACTAATTAAAATGAAGCTTGTAAAAGGGGGAATTTTGATCATGGTAAAATTTGGTTTGAAATATAATCCTAGACAAGGTCATGAGTGGCAGGCAAGAAATAAATTAATACAAACTATAAGTGGGTGGCAACCATGTATCATAATTATGAAACAAATGTAATTTGTTCTATTTTATAAGAAGCTAAGGGGAGGGGTAGGAAGATAATCAAACATATAGCTAATCGCAACATATAATTTTTATAGTTGATAATAAAAAGGCTTCTTTAAGAAACCAGTAAATGCAACTTAAGTGTTTAAAAATAAAAAAGGTGTAATATTCATACAAGATGTTGATAATGCTGACTAAATAGCAATACATAGGTATATTAAATTCAAATAAATAAAATAATCATTCATAGAAGTTGCACTGCAGTTTACTAATTATGACCATACTATCAAATTTAAAATTTAACCATAGAGTAAGGTGAAAAGTAAGCTATGCCTACAATTTACAGTTAATTCACTTTTTTGGTTTAATAGAGAATTTTTATCAACAAATCTAATAATTTCTAATTTTTCATGTAAGCATACAAAGCAAGGTTCATTTAAGTTCTAGCTTTTTTTAAAACTTTCCATTTAACCATAGTAGTTCTATTAATCTCTTTAAAATTCAAAAAATATTTGAAAAGAGATGTTCTATTTTTATAAGTGCTATTTGTGAAAATAGGATATGTTGGTACCACCTAGTTTTAAAAGAATTCTTGGTAATCCCTATATATTTTCTATTGTAGAAATAGTACTTAGGTAAACAAGAGAGGTTTCAAAAAGTGATAGTGAATGAGAGACCAGAGGGAATATGGTGGATGTAGTAAAATATTGTACCCAAGTCAGTGAACTTCTTCAGTGTCATCCTGGCAACATGGCCGAGCATTGTCATGAAGCAGAATTTGACCTCATTGATTAACCAGTGCCAATTACATTTTGCTTAACTGAATGTGTATTTCATCCAGTTGCTGGCAGTAAACTTTGATGCTCGTGTTAAATTCTAGAAAAATATAATGGATAACGCCAATGGTGAAGCACCAGAGTCACCACAAAGTTCCGTTGTGCAATTTTGGTTTTGGAAAGTCTTTGGGTCTTTCATCATATGAAAGCCATTAAGCGAATTGTTTACAATTGTCATAAAGGATTCAATTCTGATCACAAATCACTATTCAATCAAGAAATGAATTATTCGAATTTTGTAGATGCAGCATCGAACACACTTTAAAACGTCAAACTCTCTGACTTTCACAGAATTCATGTGGAACCCATTTATAGTTTCTTCACCTAGCCAATTATCTTGAGTCAATTTTTGATATCGTTGAAATACCGAGACATTTCTCTGACAAATTGACGTGGGTTTTGTTCGACTAGGGTTTCAAGACATATCTTCACTGTGGAACTTCAAAACCCAGTGCTGTATTGCCTGATCCCAAGTGGATCCTTCACCCTATGATTTGGTAATTTTGGCAGCAGTTTGAAAGCATTATGACCAAGCTTGAACACATCCCTTCTTTTTTCATATTCAAGATGAGGGGTATATAAGTTCTAGTTGAAATGGCTAAATGTAACCCTAAGTTCTATGCTAACAGTTTCTTCTCTCACTTGTAGAGCTCTCTTCTGGCTTCTTACTTTTAAGCCAACTTTGAATTTCAAATGCAATGTCAAACATTATCTTCTGTGTTCTTACTTCTTGTACTTTTATTGTTCTTTTTCCATAACAGTGTTTTTCCCACAAATTCTCTCACACTCAGTAATACCCTTGTATTTTAGTGGCTTTATTGTCTTATTTGTGGTGAAATGATTAAAAAAAAAAATAAAGTGTTAAATTCTAGAAAAAACAAAAGAGATGGATGAATTTCAAAACTCCCTGTATATGATGAAATCTACAGATAATATCAGACTATATATATACAACAAGTCAGAAATTTTTAATTTTTCGTTTATAGGAAATCACTTCAAAGCTTTTCAAAGAACTGTGTATCACTAATGTTTTGGTGCTATTATTAACATCTGACCATTATAAAATTTAAATTACTTCATACTGTAATAATATCATTAACAGCATAAAAACACAAGCCCCATTAAGAGATCACTTTTAAAAAGGAAACAAATTAGTACAAAATTTTTCAATTGTCAGTAAACTTATTTTTTTATTATTAATTTGAACCGTCAGGATTTCAAACTTTGAGAGCTTCAGGAACATTTAATTTTTTTTATAGATACTTAGAAAATTATTATCCTCATCATCTTATATTTTGCAAAGAATTAGAATAATAAAAAAAATGGCATTTCAAAAAGTAAGTGAAACCCTGATTGGCAGTTCTACAAATGATGAAGCCCAACTTCACTTTATCATTTATAATTAATACTGTAATTTATAACAAAAGGATGTCTATTTTTGAAATCTAACTGTGCTAAATTTTTTTTTTAATTTCTAAAATATGAATTGATATGATTTTAGCAGAAATTTTCCCCCCAAATGTCTGCTTAATGTGTGGCTGTGACTTGTTACACTTTCAAAACAAATCAGATGCAGGGATTTTATTAGCATATAATGAGAAAACAAGCACAAACCTTCATGATTTCATCCAAAGCAGATGATTTCCTCTTTGTTCCACTTGGAGGAAGGGGTTCTTTGAAAGGTTTGTTTAACTTAGTTTTGCTCTCAGAAAGTTGCTTTCCAACATTTTTCAAGGCATTCTTCAGTTCCTTTCTGAAAAGAGAATAAATGCTTCATGAGAATAGGAAAAAAATAAATTCATACACACACAACAGAATTTGCCTGCTTTCTACCAAAATAGTACAAAGAAAGAAAGTCACATTCATTGTATAAAAGATTCTTTTTTTTTTTATTTCCATCTCCCACTGTTGCAAGATAGGAAACCTGGTTGATTATTTAATGTTGGGTTTATTTAGGTTTTCATGTAACAAATATCAAACCTCAGAGTTTCTTCTCTATTAGAGATTTTTCAAAAACATAAACACCTCTGATCATTGTTTTTAATTCCAAGAAAGAAATTATGTCTTGTGACAAAATGATTGATATGCTTATAGAACAAAAAAGCAAAAAAAAAAAGACCATATTCAATTTCCTCAGATATTTCCTTGCAGAACTATAGACCACATAGAAGGGTGAATGCCAATTCTGATCCTCCAAAATATAATCCTTGAAGTATAAATTATTTCAAAGGAGAAGTGCATCTCTTCTGCCTCAGATGAACACAACTTATTAATTTCAACATTTATATTTTGACTATAATATTCATAAAGTTTTCTTTCTTACAAAAAGACAGATATATATATATATATATATATATATATAGGCAGCAATTTCTTATTTATGCACATTTGTTTGACCTATAAAAGTTAAGATCATTTTTTATCCAATAATGGCTCAATTAAATCACACATCACCAACCAACATAAAGTAAAACCTGAAATCCAACAAATACTTAGCAAAAAATACAAATACTGTATAAACTGTAAAAAAAAAAAAAAAAAAGGAACACAAATATTAGAAGCCTTAACCATAAAATTCAAACTATCATCAATAAAATCTCCTTCAATTTAAAAACATACTAAATATTTATTTTTAAAAAGCAAAAGAAATATACAACTCAAATGAATGTGTGATGCTAAAAAACTTGACATTAAAACCAAAAAAAAAAACATAATGCATACTTACTGAAATTATCAACTTTATTAACCCAGAAAATATTTTTTAATAATGTTTTATGAAATGGTCCAAATAGAAGGAAAAAAAATTAATTTGCATCCTAAACAAAGAACTTTTAATGTGCATGAAAATAAACACATGCACATATTTATCCACACTGTCAAAACTGGCAATTGCATTGGTTATACTGTCTACATACATATTCTAGGATTTTTATCTACACAATTAAGTCTATTGTTGCATGTAAGAAAGATTGACATCAATGAAAGTAAAAATATCAAAGAAAAGCTAACATGAAGTTAGAGAAATAGAAAGATGTTTTCCTGTTATGTTGTTAACATCAGACAGGTTTTCTTATTGGTATAATGTATCCTGTTTCCATAACAACAGAATCTCAATTATCTCAAATCGAGGAGATGTGTAAACAATAAATAGATAAATTCACATATTTTCTAACATAGATTAGAGTTACTGAAAAATGATTTGTGTAAATGTCATCTTTTCAGTCATAAGATGACAGAAGGAGGAATGTCAATCTTCCTGTCACTTATAATAAAACTTCAATTAAAGACAAACAATACTTAAAGCTGATGCACAATTATTTTCATCAGAACAGCATTAGGAATAACATTTCTGTAGATTTTAGAAAGATTTAGAAAAAAAAAAAACATAAAATAAGCACAAAAAACCAGGTCAACTCACTTCTTTTGCTCCTCCTCTTTTTTCTTCGTACAAGTAGCAAGGTTAAAAGCCACTGGGAAAAAGAAAACAAGGAAAATTTTTGAATTTGCAAGGAAAATTTCCAAAATTCATTAATCGTATAATAAAACAAATCATCACAGGCAACGTAGAATTGGCAAGTGTAGCATAAATTAAAAATTACTTATCAGCAATAAAGAAGTGTTATAATGCTACTCTAAAAGAGAAAGCAATTTACTAAGGCAAAAATATATAGATCATCCACAGTAAATTTATGTTCAGGTTCTTACAACATTTCACCTTTCTTGACAGATCTGCCATTATCACATTGTGGGATATTTAATAGCAATAGTGATGAAAATATAAACAAAAAGAAATTAAATGAAATTAGCTGGACTATATATCCTAAACATATTTACAAAAATGTTTTTTAATTAAATTTAAAATTCTAAATGTCCCCCTCTCTTTTGTTTGTATGTGTAGTCGCATCAACATAAACCTCACTTTAGTCCAATGAAATCCTAAAGGATGAAATATATGACAAAAACTTTATCCACTTTGTCATAGTTTTTTTTTTCCTTAAAATATAAAAATATTTTATATCATTTTCCAATGGTTGGACAACAAATTTTTATATTCTTTGTAATTAAACATTTCAGGAAAGTCAAAAAATTCCTTTTTACAACCATCAATAATAATAATAGTTTTAAAATCATGCCCATATGCTGCTCTATTTACAAGCCTTAAAGTTATAAATTCTCAGATAGGAATGAATCTTGGGAAAACGTTGATTTGAACTCCTCATCACTCCCTTGTTAATTATACGGTAATTATTTTTTATATGTATTGCTGGTATTTTCACTATAAAAATTTATTTTTATACTTTCATAGTGTTTTGACTCCAGTTTGGGGGTTAATTATTTGCTCATAGCTAGGACCCTAACAGGTGCTACCACCCTGAGTCAGGGTGGACCTGGTAACATCAATTAATAGGTGGTTCCGCACTCCTCAGAACCTCCCAATCAGAGGCCTTGCTGCCAGATGTAATTTATCATCATATCCAGGATGAACATCATCTGTGAACCTTTAATCAAGAAGAAAAATATAAGTACAATCCAAAAGTTCCATCCTCTGAGTACAGATCTTAGGTTCAAGTCTCCAAAATTATACCATTAGATTGTCCAAGAGACACATAGCCTATTGGATTTGTTTTCTTATTCAATTCCCTGGGCCAAATAGATAGGAAAAGTTAGATCTATTCTTGTTCAATCAAAGAAACAGACAAGTGACACGATTAAAACAAGGAATAGATTAGAGAGAATTAACTGATGATATGAGATCACCCCCAAAGCATGGAAAGTAAAATGAGAACAATCTACTCCTGTTCAGTTCAAGATTGCAAGAAGGTTACTGAGTGAAGTAGACATTTGAAGAAGGCCAAAGGATACACCAGCTGAAATGTTTTGAGTATAACAACCAAAATGAGAATAAGAAAAAGTATACAACTATGCTTCTTAAAAAGAAAAAAAAAGTACAGGTTGAACATTCTTCATCCAAAATCCTAAAGTTTTTCAGATGCTGACATGACTTGCCACAAATGGAGAATTTCACAAAACCCAGCTATGTAGCCTATATTGGCGTCATTTTTTTTGTTAGCAATCATTACAGCAACACCTCCATTTGTGGATTACTTATAACTTTTGTGCTCAGTAAAGATATTGAAAGTGTCAAAAAGTTCTGCATTTATATTTTTTTTGTAAGTAGTAATCATGCTTTTTTTTTTTATACATGTATAGAAAGTACAAAACATTATTTCTACATGAAATCTTAATTTCACCATTTAATAATCCATGTGAGCATTACATAACTAGTGTTATTACTTGTATCTGTATGTACACAAAAGTTATTAAATTTTATATAAAACTACTTGCAGGGTATATGCTATTTATAAAAAAGTACCTTCAGAGTATATGTATAAGCTGTGTTATGAAATGTAAAGGAATATTGTGTTTATGCTTGGGTTCCATTTCCAAGCTGACCCATTTTATAGATGATATATACAAATAAAATGGGCATGTGGCCAAGTGGTGAGAACGTTTGCATTCTGACCATGAAGCTTGGGTTTGAATCTCACCATGGTCGATTTGTCAGGAAGGAGAATCCCTGATGTTATCAAACTAGAGGGGTCGATCCCAGAATGCAGCACCTTTGGAAAGTGCCTGAAAAAAAAAAAAAAAAAATACCACAAGTTGACCCAAGCCTTGTAAGTGAAATTGGGTAGACAGAACCCTTGGGGGTCATTAATAGCTGTGCTAGCACAAAGTCACAAGTCATCGTGGCCGGTCTTGAGCGTGCTGGCCTTGTTCAAATTGTTGATCACGCTAAATAACATGCTCTTTATCAGAAATTGCAACTAAGGTCTGCTCAGCATAGTTGCAGTATAAACTACAGGTGAGCTCTGTGGGTGTTGAATAAACACAAGTGCGCCTGAGCAAGCATCTGCAATAAGGAATGGCTAGCTGCCTTACTAGACGGGTATCCTCAAAAAGGAGTGGCTAACTATATATATATATATATATATATATATATATATATATACAAATTAAATGACCTGTATTCCAAAATCAGAAAAAAACTGAAAACTGAAGCACTTCTGGTCCCAAGAATTTTTTATAAAGGATTCTAAACCTGTACTAATTAAAAATGTTATTTATAGTTTACTAAATTTGAAACAATGTTAAAAGATACTTAAAATTTAATAAGATAATAAGAATATTTAATAATAATTTCAAGTTTTACTGTCCAAGGGATAGCAGTTAATTTTTAAAGATTTTGTCAAAAAATTTTCAGGAACTTTTGCATCAATATACAAGCACATTTAGTTCAATCACTGCTAAAAAAAAAATCACATCCACTCAAGTTCAAATAAAACTAACAACAGCAAGCAATAGTTTCACCATCTTTTTCTCATGGAATATGTTGCTTAGAAGATGAAATTGAGATTTGTTTTTCATAATGACTGACTGACCTTACCTTTTTCTTCCTCATTTTCCCGTTTGAGTTCTGTGAATGCAGGTTCAGCTTTTACCTTTTCGGTTACTGATGCTCGCTGGATCTGCTTCTCAATAAATTTAGCACTTCTTTCTTCGTCATCCATTTCCATTTTTTCCTTGGCTTTGGTCGCTAACTGCCTCTGAATGCTCTCGGGTGTCCGATCAATGTAACGACAAAACCAACCTTTCTCTGTGTAGTCAACTTCACAGTAACCTACAAAAGCAAAACAAATATTCATGAAAAACAAATCTCAGGTTAAATTTAAATATTATCAGTCCAGTTTGGTAGTATCACTTGTATTCCTAACCAATTCAGAAGCCGCAATTTACAGAAGGATGAATTTGCATCATGTCATGTTGGATCTTTAAGAAGGAATAACAATTTCATTAAAATTTACTAATATTTTACATTGCAAAAATTTGGATTAGATCAGTGGTTCCCAAACAGTGCAGCACACCTCATAGATGCAGTGGAAGTGGATAGCAGGTGCAGCGGAAGAGGGTAGCAGGTGAGGTGGAAGAGGATAGCAGGTGAGGCAGAAGAGGATAGCAGGTGAGGTGGAATGATTGAAAGACAATCAAAGATTTAGAAACAGCTTTTAAAAATTCATATGCCAAAAATAAATATGATTTCAAAATTTAAAATATTATTATGGATTACTTGTAATTGCATGCATGAGTCCCAGTATAAATAGTTATAAATAATTACTGGCAAATTTTATCATTGTGGTATTTTTGCATTACATCAAGTATTAAGAATATAGTAACTTGAGCCCGCAAATTGGAGGAGAGAGTTATCAATGACAATGTTATGGCTTCGAATACGCAGTTATCACCCATTAACCCTCTCACTGCTTTTATTTTTAAATGTACTTTTTATCACATAAAATTTGGCGAGACGCAAACCAATTTTAATCCCAAAAATGCGGCCCAGAGAAAAAAAGTGTTTGGTAACTAATGGATTAGACTACTGGAACATGCAAATTTTTCTGACGTCAATGGTAATTGTGTTTTTGGCATTAATAATAGCATTAAACCCTGTCACGTACAGAGATTGCAAATTATGTTGCAGATGTATGCAGGCAAACAATCAGACTGAAGCACAAAAGATTTATCCTTCAAACCCTGTCTAATATGGACCAACACCAAATTGTACACATATGAAGATGCACAAGAGGCAAGAAATAAAAAAATGAATTTAAAAACTTAAGAACAATTTTATTCTTAGGTCTATTTCTATTTATAAGAAAGGCTTGTTAATAGAATACATCAAAGAAATCAAGGTTCATTTTGCAAAGATTCCTGGATAGTACACAAAATCGCACAAAGGAAGCCACATTGTGATCATTTGAATTTACATCGTTATATAAAAAATGTATATTATAAAAGCATTAATATGAAGTTTTTTGACTTGAAAATCTTTTTTTGTTCATTTTAACTAAAGTACTTAGGACTAACTAAACTGGTTACAAAAGCATTCTCTTGAATCTCATTAGTCTGGCCAAGAGGTGTGGCTCTGTTGTTGGGAAAAGTCACTGCAATCTCACCACCTGGTGAGCTTGACTGAGCAAGACTTTACCATTATCTCACAAGATAGACGATTACACAACAAACAATTTGTGAATGTTATCTGTGATTATAATAGATTACACAGTAATTAATTACATTGAAGTTTTGGTCTGCAAAGCTTGAGTGAGAAAACATTGTAATTTTTGTGCCTTTATATTCCAGCAGAAATGTTAGTTGTATATCACCATTGGTTTACCAGGGAAACCAAGGCTTTCCATTAATACATGAAGACATTAATGGTTAAAGAGGTTTGAACATATAAGAACATGCATTGTTTAACAGGATTCGTTTAATGGCATTATAAAAACAGATTTCACATCTCCATTCTCACTGTTGAAAAGGCCATTAATCTTCTTATTACTAAGTTTAACAAACCAAAACAAATCCCATCTTTACAACACATTTTCTTTTTGTTTTGTGGAGTGCTCTTAAAGTGTCTGCAGTTTTATAACATTACATATCTGTCTCTGAGCAATCACAGATTTTAGAAGTATGGAGTAATCCACTATTACATTATTTCAGTTTTGAACTGTCAAATAAACAGCAAACAAAACTGCCATTTTAGAAATTTTTAATAGATTTTTTTTATTATACAAAAATTCATACAACACAAGGATCAAGAGCCACTCATGGTAGAGGGGTTACTATTAAAAGGGTGATGATGAATGAGGATTGTGATATGTATGAAAGAGGAGGGGGTACAATGTGATGTTTATGAGGATAAGAAGAATAGAAAACGATTGACTTGAAGAGCTTAACAGTACCGGAGGTCAATGACAAAATCTGACTTCAGATGCCAACTTTATAATAACCAACTTAGGCAATAAAAAATTTGTAAAAGAGTTGATTTATAGCTTCAACCAAAGTCTTAACATTTTTTCACACTAAAAGTATAACTGCGAATAAACTCACAGTTGAAAATGTATCAGAAGAAGCACAAGACTTGTAGCCAGTGTCATAATAAAAACTACCAACCATAAGTCATATGTAAAGTTTGTTCAGGGAAGCATCTACAAAGTAGAAGTTTTTTGGGAAAAAGCTGTTTCAGTGTAACTTTCTCTCTATATTTGGAATACAGAGAAAATAAGAGAGATTTGAAAAATATGAACGTAGCATGACGTGTTAGTTGTAAAGGTCTATGTTTGTTTAGCAGCATATCAACTCCTTATGGGTCATTTGAAGCCAAAATTTAATTTTCTTGGAAGCAGTAATAATGTTTTTTTACAAAAATGTATTGCTGACAATTATTTTACTATGAAAATGTATTGTTGGAATTGTCACTATAAAATTTTTTTTATACTTTCATAGTGTTTTGACCCCAGTTTGTGGGGTTAAGTATTTGTCCTAACAACTGCTAACACCATGGGTTAGGGTGAACCTGGGAACAACAGCAATTAAGAGGTAGTTTCTTGCTCCTCAAAACCTCCCAATCAGAGGCTTTGCTGCTGGATGTCGTCTACTGTCATACCTAGGGTGGGTAAAGGTCTGAACTGGTGAAACTAAAGGATGGCGTTCATTTGAACATTTATTATGGATAAATTTAAATAATAATTTTCACAGGAGAAATTCTTACAATATTTTCTATTTTAGTTACCTTCTCGTCCTGTCCATTTGACAAAGTCTGTTAATGTCTCCCATTGAGTGGAATTCATGTGAATGTGGTGCCGGTCTGTGATGTACTCCTGATAGACAATATTTGCATGGACCCTCTTGGTCCCAAATCTCCGCCGTAAAACTTCCATGAAGCCTTCAAGAAAATCTCTGAATTACAAAACAAAAGTATAGCATAGATTTTTTTAAACGCTTTCATCAAGCTCAAAGGACAAAATTTCACAAAAAATTACTGGATGATTTCTGACCTATCTCAGATGTTTTATATATATATATATATATATATATCCCCCACCACCACCACCAAAAAAAATTATAAATAAGAATTCAATTTACTTGGAGAAAGAGTCGATGTAATCATCTGGATTCTCGGCAAACAGCAACAGTTGCCTCTGGTGTGACTCTGACATCATGTGACACTTAAAGCCATTCTGAAACAAAGAAGAATAATAGTTAACAGATCAACCCAAATATGTATTATAAGGATTGATTAATAAAAAATTGGCTAACAAAGCTATTCAAAATTTATATGGTTACAAAGAAAGAATATGACACCATCATTTTTTTTTTACATTTTTATTAACTAAATTCACTCTTCAGCAATGTTTATTGTTTTAAAAATAATGATTAGAATTGTAATAAAACCTAAACATATGAAAGTGAATTTATATTTCTCTTTGTTCTTGAGAATTGACAACAAAAATAATAAACACTATTTATTAGATTGTTATTTACACTGTTATATTGGTTATTGGAAGGGTTGACAAAACATCGGCTAACTGCCAATTGATTCAAACTTTATAAAATGGTAAACAAGGATTTCCTTATAGTTTGTTCACATATTTTATTAATTTAGTAAATTTTTATAAATAAAAAATTGTTTTTATATTTATTTCTTTATAAATTGGTAAATGATAAATATTGCATTGTATCAGTTTTAAATGTACTAGATTTTAGAATGGAGTAAATATAAAATTATTCTTATAAATAAACAATCTAATAACTGAAGTGTTTAATATTTTTGTTGTAAACTCTTAAAGAAAGTATAAATTCACTTTCATCAGATGTTTAGGTTTTATTACAATTCTAATCATTGCTGAGGAATAATTAAAATAAAAGTGGTGTCATGGGAAATTTTTTTTTTTTTTGCAGACACAAAGTTCCATGTTTGTCAATTTTTCAAACTGAAATCTATAACCAATATAGTGACTATTATTAAATTAAGCAACAATCTCCTTTACTTTCTGCCTCTCATATGTAGACATTGGAATAAAGTTACATTCAGAGAGCACAGAGAGAAATAAACTTACAAACAATGGTTTGCAAAACTAGTAAATTAGCTATCATTTTAAAATAGTAGCTCTTTTTTTAATAGACATGAAGGGCTAATCAAATGTTCAGGGAATTTGAACAAGGTGAATATATGGGAAGGTGCTGAAAAATTCTTGGCCCACCTGATTCCTGAAATTTGAACAAATGACCACTTAGAAGGTGCGGGGAGTTCTTCATGTCAGATGTTGAGAAGTTTTCAACACACCATCATAGTACAGACTTTGCTGTTACACTTTGTGTTTGTGGAGATGATAGAAACTTGAGTAGCACCTTTTGTAAGTATGTATGCATGTATATATTATATATAACTTCATAATACTATCTTTCCACAATTTTTTAATCTTTCCCGACAAAGAACTGTTCCAGGTGATTTATGCAGCTGAAATTGTTTTGCTGTGAAAGTCACACATCAAAGTGACAAATATAACCCAAGCTGGTACAAACAATTTTGACATTTAATTTTGTCAATCTCTTATGTGACATAATTTTGCTTGATTTCTATTCAACTGTGAAAGATCATTTACTAAGAAATTTCATAAACCCATCTTGACACATTTGATCATTCACGCAACCTTTTCTACATAAATTGAACAAATCTTTTTTTTTTAGCATTTGAATTTCATTTCAACTTTTCTCTAAAATAAAAATAATATTCCAAGAATATTACTTATTTTCTCTATGAAGCAATGAACCACGAAAACACGCCAATTTTGACAATATAATAAAAAGTAATCTTTTTAACTGAAGCGCTTTAAAACTAAAATTATATCATTTAATGACAAACACAAGAAAAAACATTTTAGTCAATCCAACTGGAATAGCAAAAGAGAATTCAGAGTTTGACAGAATGTCTCACCTCATCTCGACATTGCTTCTCACACATTTGGCAATACCATTTCAGTTTTTGAAGTCCTTTAGCCTTAATCCGATTAGCAATAGCCTTGGGTGTGAGAAAACCCTGACTGGCTTTACCCATGGCTTAAGCAGTTGATGAAAACACTGAAAAATACATAAAAATAAAATAATTTCATAGAATACACATACCCTTTTGTACATTAAATTGTGTGTAGCTGTGTCAAAACTGATTCTTACTAAATGTAATCAGATACCAGTTTATAGATTAAGTTTTTAAGATATGAAAAAAGTATAGTTTGTGAGAAAGGCAAAGCCTAGGAGGCCAGTATATCAATTACAAATTTTATGAAAAAAAAATATCAAAAGAATTTCATGAAATGTACAAAAAATTAAAACCGCATTTTTTTAATATATTAATTTAACATTACTGGTTAACCTATTTTTTTTTCACTTCATCTTTCTATAAAAAAATTTCTTTTTAAATATGAAAAATATTTTTTCAACTCTTTTAGAAATCTGAAACCAAGCAAAAAGTTGAGTAATTTGAGTTATTTTATGAAAAAGGAAAATAAGGCTAATTTGATTTTGATCGATTGTTTTTTTTTTTTACAGCTTATCAAACCATTGCAGGTTATTTAAAGCCAGAAAATATTATTAGATTGTAAGAAATGGGGTTGGGGAGATAATGATACAAGCTTTACTAATTAACCCATAGCTAGGGAGAGAATAAGTGGATTCATACATTTCGCCAGGGTATTAGCATGTAAGTGAATATAATGACCCTAACTGAATCTCAGCTCTCTGATCAACAATTCCAAGTCATTATCCACAACACCACCTGCACATCCAAGCTTACAGCATCTGGTATTTCCAAGTGGTCCTCATCTTTGTCACTATATTTATTACAACGTTTCGGCCGTTGTATGCTCCAGCCTTCTTCAGGTGGTTGGAATGTCGAACTGAACCCTTTATTTCGCTCACTGGGGTAGACTGTTCTATTTCTATGTGCCATGTTTAATGGATGTCAGTTATCAGTTATCTCCTGTTAATTCCCCTCTCCAAGTTCTCCACTGCCTTAACCAGATATTGAACTCACACTCTTTGGGTCCTATCACTGGACCTAACCACATTAAGGACACATGGCACAGTGGATAAAGGCATTGGTTAGATCCAGTGACAGGACCTAAAGAGTGAATCCAATTAAGGTGACATGGCACGTGGAACTAGAACAGTGAGCGAAATAAAGGGTTCAGTTCGACATTCCAACCACCTGAAGAAGGCCAGAGCGTACAACGGCTGAAACGTTGTAATAAATATGGCGACAAAGATGAGGACAATAGTCCGAATAATGTATTGTAAATAGTGTACAATACATAATCTCAGAAATATAGACTGATTATTTTTTATTTTCTCTTTATCCAGTTTAATTTTTGTTCAACGCTCAAAGTCAAAAGAATATTTCATTCCCAATTTAAAAATCTAATTGTAAGTATTTTTTTTTCTCTTCAATTTCACACTGAGTAATTGTCCTTCTTTCCTTGTTCGCCTAATGACCCCACTATTTTTTTTTATATATACTCGAATAAAATTCCAATATGAATACTATAGTGACATTTTTCAAGAATTAGAAGGGTAAAAAAATACTAGATTTAAAAAGCCTTAAGGAAGCTGAAAGTAGCATAGTGTTTACATTACAAAGTAATAAAAAGTGAACGTAGAAAAAAAATGTGTTTCCTTTTTAAATTTTAAATTAACCTAGTGTATTTTTTCTCGACAAGGAAGAGGGGAATAAAAGTTTAATTTTCGAACTTAGATTTGGAAAAACAATAACAAAAACACAACATAAGACGATGTAATAAGAAACACTACTTAATTAAAAAGAAAGACAATTATTACTGGACACAGAAGAAGAATAAAGAGAAAACTCACAAAACAAAATTGAATGTCATTATTTAAAAAGTAGTTTTCATAGAGAAGTGACTGTTCTTGGTGTTACTGTTTTATTTTTTTAACAAAAAAATAAATAGGTTCAACAAAATGTAAACAAATTATTTCTTGAATTGTGCTATAAAAAATAAAAACTGTTTGGTATTTATTTGCTGTTGTGAAGTCAATTTTTAAATCACAAACACTATTGATACACACACAAAACGTAAAAAAGCAGCACATTTTAAACTCCATTAAATTAAATTCTAATAAGAAATAAAGAAAAAACTGTTACTTATCGGGTCATTCATTTAAAAATCGAAAAAAACAAAACAAAACAAAAAACTACGGTATCAAATGATGAAAGTCAAAGTGTATATTTTATTGCTCTTGATGACGAACAAAAATGGTATATCAAGAAGTTCTAAACAAAGATACATTTATATTTACAATTAAAATATACAATATGTATATGTGATATATAAAAATAAATATAAAATAATAACTTCGGGTTAACACTGAAATTAAATTAATTTTCTCAACAAGACTGTTTCAAAATTGGCTAGTTCAAACAAAAACTCTGTTACTTATTAATATTTAAAACTAAAGTACGATATTCAATTAATTCTGAAGTAAAAGTAGTATCTGAATTTTAAAATAATGTGGGTTTTTTTGTTTGTTTGTTTTTATTGTTGTTTAAAATAAAATAACACTCACCTGAACTATACTTCCAGGATATAAAAATAAAGTTTGATATGGAACGCTAAAAGTAACCGGAAGTGACGTCAAGGCGGTGTTACACAATTTTTTATCTCTTATTTTAAAAAGTCCTGTGATTAAATTTTACTGTTATTTTGTTCATTATTTTCTTCATCTTGCTTTGATACTTTTTTTGTGTGGTTGGGTGGAGGACAAAAACTATCCAGTGTCCATACCCAAGCGCTAGGTTCGACCTCTTTTAGTGGAATGATGCATTACCAAAAGAGTGGGTCACTTGGAGCGAAAAACATTTTCTTATTTTAAATCTCAGGAAGATAACATTCCTATATAAAAAAAAAATGATTAAAATATCTAAGTTGAAAAATACTTGTAATCACTCTAATTTTTAATGATATTATTAATAAATAATATTTTTTTAAATTACAAATATACACTTCAATATAAGGTCAATCAATTAATTAATTTAATTGTAAAACAAATTACCTCCCTTAGGTATTTCGACGTATGTGGATTTTCCCATATGCAAAAAAAAAAAAAAAAAAAAAAACAAATGTATCGATTAACACATCATTACACTCACAATAAAAATGATTCTTATTAAGTGGGCACAGAAAGAAATTCTTTATTTACAATAATATTTTGTGCAAAAGAAGATATGCGTAGACAGAGGCTTGCTCAAAATATTCTTTTGAGTGCCTAAAGAAATCAAACTAGGCAGATAAAAAAATGTTCATAAGAAATTGGGGATTTACTGTGAAGTCACGAATGTGCTTGTAACAAAGAATTGGGTCAACCTGATAAGAGACTCAGAATTGGTTGCATGTAGTGCTGCAAGCACTGGGAGTTATGTCCTCTTCCACAATGGACAGTTGAGAAGACATTCTACTTACAGTAGGTGGCATTGATAATTTCCATATGAACGATACTGGGCAGGTATTAGCCAATAGTCAGCATGGATTTGGGACTGGGAGAGCTATATAACACCAGTTTTTTTTTTCAGTCAATGGAGAGCATTCTCAATGTGTGAACAACCAGACCAGACCAGACCAGACCAACACAACACAACACAACACAAGACAACACAACACAACACAACACAACACAACACAGTGTAATTAAAATTCATGAAGTGATGTCAGATTTAGTTGAGCTGTTTGGGGGCTGATAGATCAGCATAGTAACAAGAGCACTCATTTCTTAATGCAAGGAGTTGACAAGAGATTGTCATTTGTGGAAAGTTTACTAAAGTTGGTACTACCTTGTAGAATTATAACTGAAACAAGTGAATTGACATATCACAGAGGGAAACTTGGTCCAGTTTTGTGCTAGTTTAAGTAAAGGCTGTTCAAAAATTTAAGTTTTTTATGTTCCCAGAGTTTTTGCAGGTCATGTGGTATCTATGAATCCAGCATCCTCTTTTATTAAGTCATTGGTGAAAAGCTAATTATTTTGATGACTTCATACTCTTCAGAATACTCATGCTGAATTGAGTTGCAATGAAGACTGAATAGACAATTTTATGTGTTCCCTCATATTGTGTCGTGTGACTCACTTTTTAGAATTGTCACATTTCCAATTTTTTCCTACTGATTGACTGACAATAATATTGAGGAGCACTTGTTTTATCAAACCTTCCCTATCTACCCACCACCAGTACATTCATTTTTTAAAAATTATCCTGAATTAGATATAGTATTGCCATAATCAGGCTGAGAAGCAAGGCTTATCAAAAGACATCTCATCTGAACACCTCATTGGTTGGAAATGTCTTTGCTCTAGGCAGTGGAAAAGGGGAGAGAGTTGTATTTTTTTTCGCATAAATTTTTATAGACTAAGCATTCAGTCTAAAAGCTTGAAGCTATGAAGCCAAAGTAGTAGCAACCAAGAATTATTTTCATCCTGCATAAAAGAATGTATGTATAAATAAAATGTTCCCAGAAGTCAAATCAAAGACATTTTTCTGCTTCTGTGAACTTAGTAGTTTCAGATATAATTTCTCAGAAAATCCAAATATATCGATTAAAAATTATATTGCATTTCATTTGCTATTTTTCATTTGATTTCTGATATAAATATTTTCAAACCCAAAGAAAATAAGTTTAACCATTTTTTTTAAAATTTATTTTTGTTTTACAAATTCTAAGTCTTATTGGTAACAAATGTTGAAGTGTTTCATTTCTGTAATAAAATGCATGATCAGATGAGACTGGGTAAAGATGACAAATTTTAAGTCTTATTGGTCACAAATCTTTTTCATGATCAGAATATGGAGCTAGGTAATAAAAATTTAGGCTAAAACACATGTAAAAAAAAAAAAAAAAAAAAAAATGCCACTGAAAATTGTTTTATAATATTGGCTGTTTATTTTACTGTTTATAAAAAAAAATGGTTGAATTTGATCCTGGCACAGGAGACAATTTTCTCATAAAAAAAAAGAATAAAACTACTGTAAGCCCTAAAGGTTAGGGTTAAAAAATAACCAAAATTTGCGTTTGAACAAATTTTAAAATTATGCTTTTTCAAAAGTAGAGAATTTTCTTTCACCCTTTTTAACTTTCTCTAATGCTTTTCATATTATCCAAACTGCCATTCCATGAAAGATAACCGTGCAACATTGCCATATGTGGCACCATTTACCGAGGCAGAAAAAGAAAAGAAAGAAAAGAAGGCAAAAGAGAGGCGAGACCCAAAACATGGATGATAAGCAGAACACCACGGCTAAGAGACAATGGATAAAGGATATTTTGATAAGTAACAAATGGCGAAAGAGTGTCATTACAATGACAGGAAAATTCTGAGTGGATAAAGGAATCGGGTGTGTTTTGGTGACGGCTGTGTTATCTGGGATGCGTAAACAAACTGCTGGTACAGGAAGGCATCTGATTATCAACCATAGACCGACTGGCCAAAGAAAAATCCAAATGAAAATGTTATTTCGATAAGTGATGAAAAACAGGTGGACTAAAGGGCTTTGGATAGATATGAAAAATTAATTGTGTCAAAAGCTGCACACGATGTGTCCACTGACCGATTTCTTTCGACGGAACATCTTTAGCCTGCGATAATAAAATTATGTTATCAGAAATATGTACCGAAAGGAAATGAATGGGAACTTAGAAATGTTTCTTTTCGGGGTGACGTCTGGCCGTGTTAAAAAGACCACCCATTCTGATAATTAGCAATAAGATGACTGACGAAGCCCAGGTGAAGAACAAGAGTTATGACCACCGTCGTTCGTATTGTCCTGTTTGCGGCTAGAGAAAATGATAACTGCGATTAAGAGGAAGAAAAGGAAAAGAAAAAGATAATTTTTTTTAGTTAAGCAGAAGATATTTTTTCCTGAAACAAAGCTGCGGATTCGTCCCGCCTGACTAAGACACCATTGGTTGAGTGGTGATCACGTGACGCACAAAGGAGGCTGTCGCCGCCCATCCAGAGGATAGGTATGAGAAGCTGCTACGAAGAAGTGGGGAGGGCAGCTCACGCCCTCTGAAGTATGGTGAGAAGGTGGGGAGTAAGAAAAGGCTCCCAAAAATGGAAAAAAGTGGAAATTCTAACCAGAAATAAAAGAGGTGGATATGTATTTAGAATTATCGAGGAACCCCGGCGCCGACAAACCCACCCCGGTTTTGGTCGGCGTCCATATAAGTTTAAGCTGCAGCGAGCAGAAATCAGTTCAGTTCAGCAGAGTGGAGTTGCAGCAGAGAGTTGAAGCTTCGCAGTGGAAGTTGGTTCCGCCCGCAGATAGCTGACTTGAAAGATTCACGACATTCGGACTCCTCTTCAATCCAAGAACAATTATTTTGAAGAGCGACTTAGATCCAGACCACCAAAATAAGTTTTTTTTTTTGTTTTTTTTTTCGACTTTTGTCCAAAGACACACGAAAAACCAATTTCTTAAAGAGCAAACAACTTGAAGCGTTAAAACTTCGCCTAGCGGAAAACAACGATGTCACAATCCATAGAACGGGTCGGGAGATAGACGCAGTCCTATGTATCGAACAATTAGACATAAAGTTTGTTATCTTTTTTCTTTGATACCTTGAACTTTTGAGTTTTCATTTTATTTTCTTTTATGCATATTTTGTGGTGTCACCCCGTTGAACCCGATTTGCATTCGGCCCTAACTACTGATTGATCTCGTCTGCCTAAGATCAATTCACAACGTGGGTAGGCAGACTGGAGATCAATGCAGTTACTTTGGTAACCAGGCGTTGGAAGCGAGTTGGGAAACGACGAGGCTGATATCAAATCTAACCAGATTCCCACCCAAATCACCAAAAGGTTAGAACGTCACATTTGGGTGCCGCGACCGATACCAAGCCAATTAGTCGTCACAGGACGAGACAACACGACTGACGCGACAGGCGGATGTCACGTTTGGAGCGGCGACACCCGAACAGAGCAGCGAGGAGGGAACAGCTGGCGCCGCGGCGAGGACGTCACAGTTGGTGCCATGGTAGACCAGGATAGGACGTCACAGTTGGCGCTGCGACCAGGGGACGTCACACATAGTGCGATGGATAAATTGTCATTTAAATTATGCAAAAATGAAAATAATACTGACATCTCATTTTAACAGATATATTTACCAAAATTACACAAAAGTATCTTGAAATACTAAAGAGTAAATTTATTCAGTAAAATTGCCATTGGCTACAACCACAGCCTCCAGACAACTTCAGAATCTCCTGAAACTCTTCTAGATGGTCTCTTTGTTTAAGTTGGTGAATACTGCTATAAACCTTGCTTTCAGTTCATCTTTGGTGTTACAAGGAGTTTTGTTGGTCTCTTGCTCAAATGCACCCCACACATAATAACAAAGGGGATTGCAATCTGGGGAGTTAGGTGGCCAGATGTAAGAAGTGATGTGATCATAGAAATTGTCCGACAGCCATGACTGGGTTTTCCAGCTTTCTTTCTGAAAAGACTATGTAATTCCTTTTGAAAAATGAATACAGATACTGAATGCAGCTCTCAAACAATTCGATGGAAATAAGAATGAGTTTAAAAATGTGAAACAGCTGAAATTTAAATAAGAATGGGTTTAAGAATGAGAAATGGCTGAAATTTAATGCTGTAAATAAGCTAAGTAGATGTCTACATGCCTGAAGCTATAATCACACTGACTAGTTCTAAAATTTTTGTCCAGTAATTTTTTTTTTTCACACATGGTCTTATCTTTATGAAAATACTTTTCCAATATTTGTTCGAATTAATCAATTAAAAGCTTAAAATTTTCACTTGTTTGTTGATAAACTACATTTTCTAATTAAATGTAAATACTTTGCAAATATATTTTGATTAAAGTAACAGTATTTTATACTTTTGTAACCCTTTTGTATCTGGCCTTAAGATTTTGACCAGGAGTGTATCTCAAAATGCTCAACAAAATCCAAAGAGTCTGTAATATTATTGGTCCTGACCTGACATCTTGTCTTCAGTTCCTTTCCTCCCACCATGACATTGCTTCTCACATTTGTCATCTGTAGAACTCTGTTTTAATTTCTTGCTTCCATTATCACCTATAATCTTCAAAATCTTAAATGCAATGTCAATTGCAATCATCTATCTTCCTGGATCCTGTTCTTTTTATTGTCCTTTCTTTTCACCAAAGTTTTCTTATTCTCTTTCACTTGTGGTAACTCCTGGCATTTGGGGGTGAAATGATTTAAAAAGAAGAAATCATACTGTAAATATATTTGTCTTGATTTTAAAATACACATTTTTGGGGCTTTTAGCTTGAACTTATTTTCTGGAATGAGACTAATGTAAGGCTTATATTCTTTTATGTGTTGTAACCCTTCAGGGTGTGGGTGATCATAGCTCTGCACAATTTTCCTGTCCTTTGTAGTTCTTAGTAAGTTTTATCTTTTTTTGCTAATCCTCCTAATCCCTGTTCTGCCAACCATTTACACAAGATTGTTAGGTAGGTTATATGTTGCTTTCCTTTGACTCTCTTATCTTTAATGTCCTGTTAGTTTAAAATTCTCCAAGCTGTCATTCTTCATTATATACCCTAGACATTTCGACCTTTTTTTCTGATTATAAGTATGTCCTTTGGAGGCACCAAAATCAAGCAAATACGAAAATTATTTGAGAAAAACTTTTCTAAAAGTTTTAAAGCTGTTTCCCCACCACAAAAAAAGAAGTTTTATGATATCTTTTGAAAATTAATGGTAGTAATGAATTTAGAGAAATGATACGGCTCAACAGCATTGTTATAGATTGAGGCCAAGAGGATGAATTCAATCTTGTTTTGTTTTCAGTTTTCAGCCAGGAGCTGAAGCCCATCCTGTGACATCATGGATGACTATATTCATTTTTTTTGTCAGGATATTTGATGAGACAGATTGTAAAGAGAAGAGACATTCTCAAAAGTGTGAAGTAAACATGAATAGTCTTAACTGGAAATCAAATTCAGTTTGTTGACTCCATTTTTAATATCAATAATCATTACACCACACTGTGATCATCTTTTAAACACAAGCCTCAAAATTCAAAAGGAATCAATTGATTCTATATATCCACATACAACATGTAATAGTAGCTCAAAAAGAGAAATAAGCAAACTGAAATCAGCAAATGTATAGAGAAATCAGCAAATTCAGTTTGAATTTCAGCAGAGTCCATTACATTCACCTTTGCACAGATACCTTTGGGAAAGATATGAATCCATCTCTTCTCTCTCACCACCTGCTATGGGTTAAATAGCAATGTAAACTAGGCTCTCTTGCCTTGGTTGGCTACCAGTCTAGAACAAGTCTGAGTTTTAAACAGGTAAGTGTGTTAATGGGCAGATAGAAGCTCTTAAACATTGGTTGGCAATTTAAAAAAAACACCCATCCTACAGCAGCCTGGGATCACCTGTAGGGGTGTGTCAGCCTGAGACCACTGAAAGTGAAGGTTAGTTCTATCGAAGGGGGAAACATGTGACGTCACTATCTTAGGTCCTTACTTGCTTTTCAGAAGAACAGTTGTTAGTCACCAAACTTACACGTGTTTTAAATTATCTATCTATTTGTTCTTTTAAATATTGAATCAATTTAAAAAAATAGCAATGCCTTGTAGATGTTTTGTATCTCATTGTGAAGGAAATTACAAAAATGTAAAGTATTTTTTAATTATTTTTCAAAAGTTTTTAAACTTTTCACATTGGAAATTTTTGTTAAAAATCTTGTTTTTTTTTTTTAACGTCAGTGAGTGACATCATTTTTACCATTAGTGTTTTTGCTTTATTTATATATTTTTTATTTACTTATGTTTATTTAAGTTAATAAAGTAAACATAAGCACCTCTCCTTTTCTTTAAAAAACAGCATAGCATGATGAAAAAGGCCCCAAACTTAATAACAAACATTTTGACAATCTTTGTTTTTATTAAGTTTGGCGCCTTTTTTCATCATGCTGTGCTGTTTTTTTTAAAGGAAAGGAGAGGTGCTTATGTTTACTTTATTAACTTTAATGCAGCATTTAGCAACAACATTTTTTATTATTAATTTTTTTTAAATGAATATTAAATAAAGTTCAATATAAAATCCAATCCTGTTTCTTTCTTTTTTAAATGTAATTTTAAAGTTTTTTAAACTTTTTTAGTTTACCATCATTCATTATCTACAATACTGCCTGCCTCGCTAACCTAAATGGACTATCTTTGTGACATCACATCACAATCAGTGGTCTTGGTTAGTCCCCCAAAATGCACAATGACTGAAATCCTTAAGTCATGTTTGTCGTACAATCCAACCTTGCCAGAGATAACTTCTTTTGTTTCTTGTTAAAATACAGAGACAAAATTTATTAATCCTCAGGTTTGGCAGTAAACTCATTGTGTGTAGTATAAGATCTCTATCTTATACTATTATACTCATTTTATTTATAATATTGAATGAAAGAAATGGAAAAAAAAAATTATTGATGTTTTTTTAATAAAAAAAAGGGAGATATCTGGGTTTTAAACAAAAATATTTTATTTTTTGCATTTATTGTTTTATATTTTTTCTGAAACAGTGTCAAATATTGAGTAGAAACATTATCTAAAAGGTTGCCATGATAAATTGTCAATCTTCTTTTTTCTTTAACGAGTCCGTTTCCTTCTGTTACTTGAATCCCAACTGAAAAAAGAAAAATAAATGAAAACTTATCCAACAATGAAAATTACAACATTATGAAACCAAATCTTCATCTTAACGTACTCATTGGATACAGTGGGTTCATACTGCCTCAAAGAAATTATAACATAAGTACTATTATGGGATAGAATAAAGAACTAATAGAAATCCAAACTTGCAAAGAAACAGAAATTTTTTATTGTATTTTCTTGCTGCCCCACACTAGCAGGGTGTGACACATGGTCAGTTTCGTGTGGGGAGCCAGAGCATGTGCACCTGAGCCAGGTACCCAAAATAGTCCATACCTCGCAACCATTACTTGTGCTGGCATCAGTAGTACTACTGATCTCCCCTTTTTAGTGCAATGAGGGAGGTAATGCCATGGGTGTTTCCAGAGACCGAGTACCTCTCAATAATATTTTCAGTTGTGCTTTGTCCGCAGACAGAGACACAACTGAGAGATGAAATGTAGTTTATCCACCCAAGGGCAGATACTACACTTCAATCCCAGCCAAAAGGCCAAGATCTTTGTTATTGCAATATATAAATATGAAAATATATGTATAAACATAAATTATACCATACTAGCATTGCTTTGAATTAATATTAAAAAGGTACTAGATAAAGGAAACATATGGAAAAACTAAAGGTTGATCCAAAACAAAAGAAATACTAAGTTAAGTACATTGGTGAACTCTCCAGATTGGGGGTGAATACTAAAAAATAAAAAAAATCTCAAAAGGGGAGATGTTGTGGAGTAAATAAGACACCCTTTGGTAACACAAATGAACTAGGCAAGATGTCTTACATAAAAAACTCAAAGTCAGTCAGAGATTTTTTTTAGTGACATCATGGCAAGTAGCCTAAGCAAGATATATTATAACCAGTAGGAGTGAGTTATAAATGAATTAAATGTGCATGTGTGTGTATATATATTTTCATCCATGCATTGACTACTGCTGCCATATCTGGTCTGATGCTCCTGCTATTTATCTTGAGGTTCTTGACAAAATCCAAAGAAGAATTTACAATGTAACCAATCCTGACTTGGCATCTTGACTTTAGTCATTTTCTCACTGACATGGCATAGCTTCTTTCTGTCTTTTATACAAATATTTTTATGGCAACTGCTCTGATGGGCTTTGTTACCTGGTGATCCAACTACATGAATTTAAGCATGCTACTAGATTGACATCTAGGCCCCACTATTTTACTGCTGAAATAGCAAAATGCAACTGCCACTTCTACTCCAAGAGTGTCTTTTCTTGCACTTCTCATCTGTGGAACTCCCTTCCATTTACTTGCTTCCCTCATAAATACAACCTTCAAAAATTTAAATGCAATATCAATCACCATCTTCTACCTTTTCTTCAATCCTCCTTATACTCAGTCTTTTCCCTCACTTTTACTCTGTAACCCTCTGCATACTAGTGGTATTACTGCCTTGTTTGCGATGAAATGATTTATATATATAAATGGACAATGAATTCAACACTAAGAGGCAACAGTCTGTTTCATGCTAAATGCAATCATTAGACTATGTACATTATGTTTTTGCTTGACTTTTTACATATACAGTTCAGCGATGCATTATGGGTATTCTATTGCATTATTCTAACGGTTATTTTGGTAGATGTCTTTTGTTAATTTGTTTATTATTTACTTATTTGGATTAATTTATTTTACTCGTTTTTGTTTGTTTATTTTCATTTATTCTTTTCAGTTTTTGATTTTTAAGTAACATAGTAAAAACTTGTTTTTGTGTCTGCATTTTGAGATGAGTTCTGATCTAGTAGTTTGATTGAGAAGGTAATTATAGCTATTATTTGCTCCAAGCAGAGTTTACGGTATTTGAAATGATTGTTGTAGGCTGATGTTCTTTTCATTATTTTTCATGATATTTTTGGTGTGATTTGTTTTTAATTACCCAGATATGTTTAGAAAGCAATGTGCTGTTCGTGTATTTACTATTTCTAAAGGATATTTTGTGTGCATAGTTTCTTTGTTTTCAGGGTCTTTCAGTTACTCCTATATATATATTTTTTCTTCATTATCTGATAATTTTACAGTGGCTTGGTATATTACACTGTTTTGCAAGCAATTGCTGTTTAAGGGACAGTCATTCTTTATTCTGGAGTTACACATGGGTTTAATTTGTTCGGGTGTTTTGTTAATTGTTTTCCTGTTGTGCTTTTTTATTATTTGTATCGCATTCTCAGTGCAACTGTCACTGATTTTTACAGTGTTTTTGTTGAATATCTTGTGGAGAGTGCTTGATGTAATGAAGTATTTCTGTTTGAATTAATATTTTTCCTACGTTTTTACGTTTTTCTCGTACAGTGGGTTGAATCATATGATATTTCTCTTCCTGTTATTTTTTTTTGTGCTGTATGGTGTGTATGTGAGTGTTGCCAGGAATCCATTATCTTTTCAGGCTGTTTCATAGCTTCATTGAATATGGTTTAATTGAAAGAAATTTATTAACCACAGGCTTTCCAACAATTCTCCCAGTGAAACTATATTTTATCGTGGCTGACTGGTTAGAACATTCGCTTTCTGACCATGAGACTAAGGTTCAAATCTCATCACGGTTGATTTGTCAGGAAGGAAACGTTATCAGTCTGGAGGGGGACAATCCTAGCATGTGGCAACTTTGGAAAATGCCTGAAAACCATATCACAAGTTGACCCAAGCCTTGTGAAGGAAATTGGGTAGACAGAACACTTGGGAGCTGTCAATAACTGTGCTAGCATGAAGTCACAAGTCATCATGATTGAGGGCTTGAGTGTACTAGCTTTGGTCAGATTGTTGATCATGCTAGATAACATGCTCTCTCCCAGAAACTGTAACTAAGGTCTGCTCAGCATAGTTGCAGTACAAACCACAGGTTGGCTCTGTAGGTGTTGAACACAAATGTGCCTGAGCAAGCGTCTGCAATAGGGATTGGCTAGCCACCCTAGTAGATGGGCATCCTCAAATATGAGTAGCCAGCTATTATTATTATAATCTTTTACAGACTTCACAGATATTACACTGTTCTTCAAGACAGAAGTACCAGAGAAAGATATTTTGCTCCAAGGCAAGGTACACTGAACATCAACAGAAGTGCGATTAAATACCACAATTAATTCTGTCATTTTTTATAGGTAGTATGCACATAAATATAATAATATAAGCAATGAATATATAGGTGCATATGGTGAGATTGAAACGGAGTCCTTTACCCTGAGAAAGTTCCTTCGAATGAACCAAATAATCATTTTGGACAAATACTGTCCCCAATGAGACAGAGTGAAGACAGTAAATGATACAAAGTGTTTGGAATTAGTTAAGAGAAAGAGTATAACATTCCATTAGGATAACAATGGACCATACTTTATTATGGTGACAAGGCAAAAATTGGTGGCTGGGAAATTTTTATTTATCAGCCATATTCATAAGATATTTAACCTTTATGGATTACCATTTATCCTGGTCTTTATCAAAATTTGTTAATGAAAAAAAAAATACCTAAAAGAGTGCAAAAGACACCTACAGCAGTTCTTTGTTTAGGAAGTTACTATTCTAGGAGGATGGAATTATGAAGTTGCATGATTGATAGCAGAAGATAGTGAAACAGAATGGTAAATCTGTTTTTCAATAGAATTAGGATATTTAATGACATACACATTCATTCAGAATGTGGCACAAGGCCTTTTTAAACATGAGGTCCTACACCTATGCGGGACCAGAATCCAAAGACAGTTGAATAGTTTTTTTTTTCTTTCTCAGGAGTCAAGATATTTAATAGAATGTTCATTCACTCCCAAATAGTACAAGTTCTCTCTAATATGGGGGTCCCATACATACATTAGACCAGATTTAAAAAATAGTCCAGATTGTTTCAGAAGTTAATATATTTGGATGTGCAGGTGGTGAAGCAGAAAAAAAATTGGTTGTCAAGAGTTTGAATTCTGGTCAAATGCATTCACTTTTGCACAAATATCCTTTGGAATGGTATGAATCCATTTCTCCTGCTCCAGCTATGGGCTAAATAGCAGGGCAGACTGAAATCTCTTGCTATGGTTAGCAACCAGTATAGAAAAAGGACAACTCTGAATTCAAAACCATATGTGACCCTGGTGGGGGAATATAATTAACCATAACTAAGGTCTACTCAGTATAAGTGTAATATGAAATCACAGGTTGATTCTGTGTGTGTTAAAGAAACACAAATTGGACTGAGCAGATAAGCATACTTGGAAAAGAGCAGCCATACTGAAGATGAGATATTACAATGATTTGTAGTGTGCCTTGATGTCAAAATAGCTCTGATGACGAATATATTTAAGAGAGTTCATGTACGACTAATATAGAAATAATTGTTTCCTTTTTATTTAATAAATAAAATGATTTTTGGTTAACCAATTACAATGTATAGTTTATTAGTTAATATTAAATAAAATTTTAGAAATATTTACTTGAAAAGTTCTTCTGCTCTTCTTTCATCTTCATTTTGCTGACTCTCTTGCTGAAATGGCAACATAATAAAAAAAAAATGAGTCAGAGGAGCTGAGTGTGGCATCGAAAAAACAAAGACCTGTAAAAATGAACAATATTTACCAATTCTGAAACTGACAAGACAAAAATAATATGAACAATTGATGTTCCCTCTTATTGATAAAAATATCCTGTTAAGGCTTTACTAATCATAAATAACTTTGTTTATAAAGTCACTTTATACTTTGTAGTAGTGACTTACCTTGGCGACCCAAAAAGGCCAGAGTCACATGTATGTTTTGCAAGGGAGTGTGGAGATGGTGAATTGACGAGCTTCAGATGGACGGCGAATCGGATAGCACTTTGTGCTGATGGAGGTGGTGGTGTCACTTTTAGCTATTTTTATTGGCTGGTTCTGGGCACTCATTGGCTGAGCATTGACTGGGTCAGGTGTATAAAAACATGGTACACTCATTTAACAGGTGTTCAGTTTTTTGTTTGGGATGGTGAGTGGCGTATTGGAGAACGACGCAAGAAGTGTGGATTTGTTTTGCATAGCGAACCTAATGGACTCGTATTACCTTTCTTTTCCCGTGTGTGATTTCAACCAATTTTTGCAACATACTTGCAAAATTTCTAATGACATTTAAAACACTGCTCTCTTTTTTATTAATTATTATCCAAAAGGTAAGATTCAATAAATGGAGGAACTAATAAATGCATACTGACCAGCATTTATTGACATCTAGGGAACCGAATAAATAGAAGTAGATCTTCACTGGTCAACTCCTCATTAAAATCAGAGAGAATGTGTTAATGACATGTCCTGATGTTCACAGCAATAGACAAAGGAATAAGGTAATTTCAGGATGATACATCACAACCTTGTATCATGTGTTACTACCCAACCCACTAAAAGGCTTATAGCTATATAGCATTGAAATACTGGTTTTTGTACAATCACCAAAATTAAACAACATCAAGCCTGTTCAGTAGCTAGAGGGATGACTGCTTAGAAATATCAGGTGCTGTAAGCTTGAATGGTAATGGACAATAGTTCAGAATTGTAATTTGGAGAGCCAAGATCCAATTCCAGTCATACACAAATACCATTGAGAAAGGTATGACACCCCGACTTTTCCCCTCCAGCTATGGGTTAATTAATAGGACTTGTATCAGTAAAACCATTATTATCTCCCAAAAATTCTTACAATCTAAAAATATTTTCTGACTTTAAAAGGTTGATAAGCCATAAAAAATTATCTATCCCATTCACTAAAACCATAGTTTATATTTGTCTTTATTTGGAGACGGATAATAATAATAAAATAAACGGATTATTATCATTTAGTGAGTTGGATCCACACTAGGTGCCTCATACAGAACCAGACTGAGCTAGACTTAGTAAATATCAAAACAATGGGAAACAAAGGAAGATAAGACTGATCTGCAGATGAGTTGTGTCACGGCTTTTTTTTTTTTTACAGTATGTTCACCCTGTACAAGTCCCAAAAGCCACTCAAGGTAGAGAGTGACAAAGTAAGAGGCACTATCCTGAGCAAGATGATAATACAACCAAGACACAATGGGTGACCAGAAGTGAAAAAAGAAGGAAATTTTTTTAGATGGAACCAAAAACACAATCCTAAACAGGAAAAAAGGGATAAATCTCTACTCCTGTTCAAAAAATCAGGAAAGAGTGTGAACTGGATGTTATCAACCCTTCATGGGTTACTTAAAGTCAAAACATATTTCAAATTGTAGGAGGTTACTTAAAGTATCCAGTGTTTTTAGTGTGATTTGATTGTAGGCATATATAGAGAAAAAAATGGAAGGCATGGTGGAGTAATGGATAGCAGCTTGGATTGAGGAATTGGAGAGCAGAGTTCAAATTCCAGTCAGATTCTTACATTCACTTACATGCTAATACCCTTCTCCTCCCAGCTATGGGTAAATAGCAGGACAGACTGGATTCTATAGCCTTGGGTGGCAACTGGTCTAGGAGATAGAAAAATTCTGAATTCAAAGCCACCTGGAGATGGTTGAGCTCTGTCAGGCTATTTTGCCCAAAAAACACCCACTGTGGCTGCAGTATACATGATGCCCCTACGACCCTATGGGTCACAGAATAAAAAAAAGAGAGGGAGAGAGAGAGAGAGAGAAAAGTGAAGATATCTAGCACTAGTTACCGCTTTGGTTTGGCGCATCCATTCATCAATCTCTTTGCTACGAGATGTCACATGAGCGGCAAGATCAGAACCACCAATAATCCTGGGTAGAGAAAAGCCTGTTGGCAGGGTATTCTACAAGAGAAATCACAAGAATTTCCAATTTCTATTATAAATATATTACATTCTAAGATATTGTTTTTTAAAAAAAAAAAATATATATATGACCTCCAAATGTACCTTTTTAAACTTTTTAAAATTTCGCACTAACTCTCCACGGTAATATTTATATCCTTCAGGGGCTTCGCTTGATGAAGTGATGCCTGGATTGGGAGGAGGCCTTGAAGATTTTTTAGTGACCAAGCTGGTGAAAACAGTCTCAAGACAGCCTTGTGGCAATTCTTTATCTTCTGGGTCATCTTCTCTTTTAATTTTAGTCACTTGGTTCTGCAAAGAAATAAAAAAAAAATGTTAAAAACAAAGAAAAAGAAAAAAACAAAAAGAAAGAAGTAAGCCCATATACAGAAACACCCCCAAGCAAGTGAGGCAAAAAAAATATTTACTTCCATTTTGGACTTAGCATTATAAAGGACCTCAAAATGAGGTCAATTTGAAGACTTGATTGAAAATATTACTATCAATAATATTAGATACTAAATTGCTGCCAATCTTATATGTTTATAAATCTACCATTTATCCATTTTTTTGAATATTGATGTCACATCTGGTCTGGTGCTATATATTCAGAGATTCTAGATAAAATACAAAGAATCTGCAATGTTATTGGTCCTGAGTTGTCATCTCACCATCAGTCAATTCCCCACTCCTGTAATGTAACTTACCCGTGCCTTTTCTATAAATATTTTTACAGTAATTGTTCTAATGAGCTTACCTCTCTAGTCTTTATGAATTTAAATGCAGTACTAGATTGGTGGCAAGGTCTCATCAATTTACAGTTGAAATGGCTACATATAACCATAAGTTCTATGCTAACTGTTTCTTCTCATGTACATCTTGCTTGTAAAACTGTTTTCTGGCTTCTTACTTTCCAGTCAACTTTGATCTTCAAAAATTTAAATGCAATATCAATCATTATCTGGTTAATTCCTGTTCTTTTATTGTCCTCTCTCCTTAATGTTTTTTTTTCTCATATTCTCTCACACACAGTAACCTCTTCAGTCTTAATGGCTTTATTGCCTTGCTTGGGGACAAAATGACATTTTTGGTCAACTATATTTCAACTGTCCCACAAGATGCTAATAAAATTAAGCATGTTTTCATTAAATACAACTAAGAACATAGAGTGGAATGTTTTTTGTATTATAAAGCAATGGACACTGGGTTTTATATATAAAGATTAAGTTGTTTAGAAAGTAATATAGAATATTTGGAGTGAAAACTCAAGTGAAACAAAAGTTAAATTTCTTTGCTAACAATGTTTATGTCCTTGACAATGTTAAAAGGTGTGGTATAAAGGAAGTAGGGAGGAGAAGAAAAGGGGGGGAAAATGATTTATGCAATCTTCCCTTCTTCATTATCAACAGTGGAATGAGAAAATGAGAGAAACAAAAAAACAGTGAGAAGAAGAAATCTATTCAGTGAAAAAGGGAAGTGTGTTGCATTATGGGAGAATGGTTGGAGGAATAAACAGGTATGAGGAAAGAAACTTTGCTCATATGATGAGCATATGTATTGTGAGTGGAGGAGTGAAGATGAAGAAGAGGAAGCAAGAAAATAGAAGAGTGCAGGTGGTATTGTTTTGTTTTGGAAACAAGGTCATGGCCTGAACATTTACATATATGTCTATTCCTTTTTGTTCTTTACTTCTTTTTTTTGATGTTCCTTTTTTTCTATCCCATTTTATTTTTAAAAAAGATGGGTGGTAGACTTATTAATAACAGGAGCACAAGTGAGTGTTGATAACTTTTTTTTCTCTCTCGTTCAAATCACAAAAAGAAAGTTCATTCTGAAACTCATTCTTTAATTACTAATTGAAAGAATCTGATATTCTGGTTGAAAAGAATTTTGATAATGTTCATTTGCTCTTTTCCCTTCTTTTAAAGATTTTGCCATGAAATATTCCAATGATCTGATTAAATAGAGATCTTAAGGGAAAACGTTGGATTGTTCAAAATGTAATGTCATATTTCTGGAGATGGAATATAAAAGTCCATTCTGAAAAAATCATTCTTTAATTCTTTGTTAATAGAATATTGAATTCTGGTTGAAAAGCTAACAGTGTATTCCAAACAATTTAATCTATAGAAACAAGGATAATTGTGAAAAGTTGGAATAGTAGTTTTTTAAGCAATTAATGAATTTTTTTTAATCTGACATTATTTCTTATTAATATATATGTTATGTGTAATGTCTGGGTAGACATCCCATTTTTATTAATGTCTACCAGCCTAGAGATGGAAAGCCTTGCTAAAAAAAAAATCGCCACCCTTCCATTAGAGTATAATATAAACATGTGTACACACTAAATATAACATTTATGGTAATTAACTGGAATAAAAACAAGTATTGTATGTATACTTCTAGTAAAGATGGACTAACATGTATGCAATATTGAGTGAGGTTCTACCCTCTACAACATCACGGACAATGCTATACTGAACCCTCAGATTAGTCTCGTTAGTTTGTTGTAATATTATCTGTATGAGTTTTGCTGCTGATGGTGCTTCACTTGTGTCACCATCATTTCTAAAAAGTCTGAGTCTTGCTGACAAGTTGAAGTAGCATCTTTCAACTTTCTCTTAAGAGATTTAGCAAAACGAAAGTGGTTGGCCATAATGAACCGAGAAAGATCCTTTTAACTAGAGTCAATCAGAATGGATTTCATGTATCATAAATTTATGCAAAAAGAAATGTTTAACGGTGTGTCAGAAAATGTACATTCTAAGGCAGAACATATGACAGACTGTCTAAAACTATAGGTGCATTGGTAATCAAGAGATGATTGGTCATTTGTTTTTGCCCGACAGTGAACAATCAGCGTTTTAATTTTATTTATTTATTTATTAAGGCTGTCAGAATTTGTCAACCGTTTCCAAATCAGAAGTCTTCCTATATTTGGTAACACCTAAAGCTAAGAAAGACCAGACTGCACTGTTATTTAACCCATAACTGGAAGGAATTGAGGGATTCATGTCATTCCCAACTGAATTATGAGCCCAGGATACATGATAGTTGATGTGGGGGAGAGTGCAATAATAATCAAATGACATCATAATGTTGATGTCTTAATCCAAAACCTGTTAGCTAATATTCAATGGAGATGTTAACTTTGGAGGTTCTTTTATCATTAACACATGAAGCTAGTGCTGAAATCCTTTCTTCCTTTGATGAAATAGCAGCTCTTCTTTATACATGTATAACATTATGTACTAACATCTGATAAGAATACAAAATTAAATTTTTCATACTAAAAATTATTGCTTATCCACCCCTTCAAGTTAATGTCAGCTGTAAGGGTATGTGTTTTTTTTGTGGACTTCAAACGAATGTCTGAATCTTCTTGCAAGGATATGAGAATCTCTGGTCCCCTCATGGACCAGGTATTTATATAAATTTCCTATTAGCCAGTTGTATGTGTGTATCCTAAATTCAGCTGGGTTGACTTTCTGTTTTATGTCGCTGCAGCCACTGAAATCCTTTGAAATCTGATTCTGTACTTGGTGTGGCTATGAGGTCACCATCTAGGTCAATCCTCTGATTCACCTAGTTATTTTAATGTCCTGCTCTGACACTGAGTATAAAGCCTACTTTGGTATTTCTTAGAGAGAGTACAGTACATGTTGAAGCTGCTACAGATTAACTCCTCTTAGAAGACATTGACATTAAATTTAATTTAGACCTCTGGTATTTTCTGGTGTGAATACACCTGTGAACATGGCTAATTGCAAATGACCAAATTCTTAATTGAATATGTCACTACTGTAATCAGTCATAATTATTAGAGACAAACATTTGAAGAATCTGATAACTTATTAATCATACTTATTATAAAACCCAGGTTGTGTTTGTGTCTGTACATTTATATATTGGATCGAATTTCTTACATTTTTCAACCGATTTCAACAAAACTTCACAGGACTACGTAAAATTACCTTGCGGTGGTTCTGACAGTGCCAAAAATTGGAAAAATACAATTGTTTTTGCACAAGATCAATTTGAAAACACGATTAAGAGGCATCGCGAGAATGAAAGGGGAACAACTCATATCAAGTTATACTTATTATAAAACCCAGGTTGTGTGTGTGTGTGTTTGTTTATATATGTGATCGGATTTCCTACATTTTTCAACCAATTTCAACAAAACTTCACTTTTTTTTGGCAGGTAGTGTTTCTTATTGTCTTGCACACTTTTTTCTTTATTTTTACATTCAGAATGCTTTAAAAATTCCATTTACAATACAATTGTTTATAATAAAATTCTATTCAATCGGTAGACTCATAACGATTGAAAACAATGTTTTTGTTTGAGTTTGGGTTTGACCAATTCGTAAAAAAAAAAAAAAAAAAAACTAATTAAGACATGTGTGTCCATCAACCTTAAACAATAATCTTTGTCAATTTTATTTTTCAGTCTTTATGATGGTGGATACTTGATCTATCTCTGACTGTTGCAACGCCGGGCTCTACTGCTAGTATTTAATATCAGTAGTTAAAATCTAATACATATTCACACCCATAACTATTATATTTATCATATCCTACAACAAAAGAGAATAATTACTGTTGCTTTTCATTACTTCAGTTTTTGCAAATGACAAACACATTGAAAATTTTCAAAATGTTGGTAGCACATATTGTAAAAATTTCTGTGAACTCAGGTATAAACTTTTTGTATTTTCTGCATTTTCAATGCAGGACTAGTGACAGCAGCACAGATTTCAAGAAGGAAAGTTTTGCTTCATGATTTGGTTGAACTGATAACAGTATCTAGTGAGTTTGTTGAAATGTTAATTGAAATTGTATTTTCTTTTTACTATATTAATTCTGAAATTAATAGGCTCATTTGGTTAGTCCAAATCTCTTCTGGCATGATTTCTGTTACTCAATCATTTACAGATGGCTCAAATGATCTCTCTTATCACCAAATACGGTCACTGTTGCTGCTTCTAAAGTTCCCAATCGCAATTCAGCTATTTCCATATTTGGGAAATACATGGAGAGGTCATTCACAAACTCTTATTGCAAATTTCTTATTTTTATTACTTTATCTATTTATTTACCTATCAGTTTGTTTGTCAATCTTTTTCTATTAGATAGAGTTATAAATATTTCTGTTTTTGTTTATCAATTTTATTCTTCAAAAAATAAAGTTCAGTTACATTTTATTCAATTATATAGATACCATAATTGCAATAAGATGTTGCCACTTATCAGGCAGCAGTTTGATACATTATCAGCAAGATTTTGAAGATTTTGATAAGAATACCAGGTGCCGTAGCTTGGATGTGCAGGTGGCATAATGGATAAATAGATGTGAACAGAATAGGTGACATAGATAGACAGATATGAACAGAACAGGAAAGACAGATAGATAGATATGAACAGAATAGGAAAGACATATGAACAGAACAGGAAAGACAGATATGAACAGAACAGGACAGACAGACAGATATGAACAGAATAGGACAGACAGAAAGATATGAACAGAACTGGAAAGACAGATATGAACAGAATAGGACAGACATAAAATTACTTGCCTTAATTGGCAACCGTGTTGTCAGGAAACCTTCAGGGAGATTTATGTCTGCAAGGGCCTGGCGTTGTGTATTCTTTCTGGACACATCTTTCTAAATAATAAAAAGAAGCCAATTGATAAGGGAAGACATAATTGAGATATAATGAAATACTTAAAAAAATTACAGAATCTGATGGAAATCCAGGTACTTCAGTTAACATGAAAGTCCGAAGGAAAATACCTGTAGCTTAAAACTCCCAATTACACACACACATGTACAAAAAATACACATCTGTATAGAGTAAACTTCCAGTAATCCAGTAAATTAAGTTGGGACAACAATACAAGAAGACATTTTTCCCAATTTCAGCAGGATGAAAACCTAATCTGCTTACTTATGAAAATTCCATGGGTTTTGACAATTGTAAAAACCAACTCCAGGACAGGCCTGAAGAACTTGGAGAACTCTTTGCTGACTGCACTGTTGATGTCATGTTACATTTATCTGTGGCAAACCTCACTAGTTCTTGGAGGGGGGGGAGTGACCAGTTTTGAATGCTACTACACCAGTTATAATCTGTTCCTGCTATATTGCAACTAATCACACCACAATCTGTCATCTTGTTATGTTGTAACTGGTGTTGTGTTTATCTCTGACAGGCCCATGGTAAACCTTTTAGCTGAAAATGAAGTGAAATCACAAGTCTCTTCTGATGATAACAGACAACTATTTATTAGTGGCAATTACTACACAATTCCATTTTTGTTTGTAGCTATAGTGAACACTAATCTCTACACAAGAGACTCCTTTCCTTTCAGGCCTGTTATTATGGATGGTCAGTCTAACAATAGTAGCATCTTCTTTTCTCTCCATTCTTTCTCATCAGAATCCATCATGCACATTTACAAGTCTACCATTTATCTGTGCATTGAATACTGTTGCCATATCTGGTCTAGTGCTCTTGCTTTACATCTCAAGATTCTTGACAAAATCCAAAGAAGGACCTGTAATGTAATCAATCCTGACCAGACATCTTGACTTCAGTCACTTTCTCACCAATGTGATGTGGCTTCCCCCTGTCTTTTCTGCAAATATTTTCCTGTCAACTGCTCTGACAAGATTTTTTCTCTGGTGTCCCAAATACTTGAATTTAAAAGTGCTACTAGATTGGCATCTACGTCCCACCATTTTACTGTTGAAAAAGCTAAATATAATCACCACTTCTACTCCAACAGTTTCTTTTCTTGCACTTCCAACCTGTGAAACTCCCTTCAGTTTCTTTGCTTCTCTGATAACTACAATCTTCAAAGTTTAAATGTCAATTGCCATCTTCTGTCTTCTTGAATCCCTTTCATCTTTTGTCCTTTCCTCAGTCCTCTCTATTCTCAGTCTTCTCTTTCACTTTCATTTCCTGTAACCCTCTGTGTACTAGTGGCACTACCACCTTGTTTGGGGTGAAATGATTAAAAAACAAAAAAAAAGAAGACACTCCATTTCTTCCTTTTTCAACTTTGTTCTTCTGACTCTGGTGGAACGTAGCTCTATATCTCTTACAGCCAGGGAACAAGATAGGCTTTCACTGCTGGTGTTGACCTTTCTAGGCTATATAGTCTTCAGACACTGAAATTGCCACATCAGCCTTGTTTCTCAGAAAAAGAAGAGTCTCTTGGCAAAAACCAGATGCCCTTATCTAATTTGGGCCAGCAAGAAAAACAAATATTTTTCAAAGTAGGACATTCTGGAGAAATAGAAAAATATTTGGATAATTTTTGCTTTGGTCATTCAAGGATTCTGTCCCATACACGCCCTTTTAAATTAAGAATACAGGTTTTGACTCTCATCAACTCCAATCTCTTTTGGGTCAATATGTGATGTGGTGTTCCAATAGTACCACAAAATGGCAGTCTCCCCAGGTCAATCAAATCAAGAAATGACCTCATTGACAAATCAACAATGGTGAGATTTGAATCTAGGTGCCAGAACTTAGATGTTCTATGCTCAGATACACACATATATTTCACACGATTGTCATTGTATTTTCCCTAGGTAGTGTAACAGTTACCAGTCTTGAAACCAGAATCATCAAACTAAGCTGCAAATATGTGTTTGCTTTACCCTAATCTGCTTACATTCATTTTATACTAATCAGCTTAGATTCACTTTTCCTAATCCACCTCTTGCACTCCACCTCACCAATGGGAACGGATATCTCAATAAAATATCTGTCATACTTTGAATGATATCTGGGTGAGTAGGAACACCACTCTCCCATAATTAACTAGCAAACGCTGTTACCTCATACCTAAACATGATAGGAGCTCATAAAAAATTAAAATAAAAAAAAATAAATTTATATAAATTCCATCAAACTTTTCATCTTACTTTTGATGAGTTTTCAAGTTGTGATTCTTCTTTGATAACTTCTGTCATTGGTTCTTGAAACAATGTCTTTGACTGCTGCATGGCTTTTTCAAATGTAGGATCAATGATTTCCTTTTTGACCTGGACAGTAGCTTCTTTTTTAGATGTACTTTGTTCAGCAATTTCAGAATCTTCTACAACTAAGAATGGCTTCTGTTTCTCTAAGAGGCTGCAACTGGAAGTGGATGGTGTCTCTTGCACTTGGATCTTGGGTGGCAAACCTAAATTGTTTTCTTCAGAATCTTTGTCATCCAAATTGTTTGTGTCTTCAACAAAGAAACTTTTTTTGGAACATGTTGCAGAATTTTCAGGTTTGCTGCTTTCTGACATATTAAAAGGAGATTTCGGTTCTTCGTCTTCAGGATCAGAATCAGCAATAACTATTGATGGTTTGGGGCAAACAACAGTCTGCTCAGATTCTGTTGCTGGTGTTGATTTTCTGGTAGAACTTAGGCTTTCTTCAGAGAATGGAATCTTAAAGACACATTGCTTTTTTCTTGAAATGTCTTCATTGCCATCGTCTTCTAATTCAGATGGCTCAACAGAGTCTCGTCTTCTGTGAAAAAACAACAAATTAAATATTAAATATTATCAAACAAACTTTTATAATTTGATAAACTTTTATGATTTTGTTTCAAAACTCTGTCACCCAAATTAGTTTTTCAATTACCTTTTTTGAGTGAAAGTCTAATGAATAAGTTTCATGAATCCAAGAGAAGCCTCTTTGCCTCACTATATAAAAAACTTGAATAACCTGATATCATATCTGTATTCTATTGTCACAAGTAAAAATGTACAAAGCACCATTCTGGAAATAAAAAATGCAAATAAAGTGATGACAAGTTGGTATCACTTTCTAAGTTCCACAAATATCAGAAGTGGTTTTCAAAAAAAAAAAAATTTAGAGTTGAATACCCAAAAAAAACACTCATTATTCTTGGATTTTTTTTTTTACTTCATTTGATTTTTACACAGGAATGAATACTGATAAAAATTTGTCATTTAGCTGATTGGTGTTACCTTCAACAATCACTCCGTTCACTAGTATTTCTTATGACTATAAATCTATTTTTTTATCACCAATTTTATTTTCTTAAACAGTGAAATTAATAATAACCGGCTAAGATTGAGAAGTCTTACTAAAAAGTTAATTGTGCCTCTGATATGAATCGAACCTGCATCCCCTCTTTTCCATCAGATATAAACAAGCCACTACCAGTTTGACTATGAAGACCAGTCTGACAGAGCAATGTTTGACTTACCTATTTGAAGAAAGTACATCTCTTGTTGGGATTTCCATGAATTTGTATCTGCTAGCTTCAGTTTTGTACCCAAAATGTAAACAGCAATTTTTTAAAAGGATTTTATTAATCTTTTTTTATTTTATTTTTTTTTTTTTTTTTTTAGCAGGAACACGTTTTTGAGCTGCTATCCATGTTTTTTTAATTTTCTTAAACATCAAAATCCTGCTACACACACACACACACACACACACACACACACACCAAAGGAATTCTGCCAACCACACAAACAGCAGATTTATTCTTGAAAATAACCTAGACAAAACTACTTGAGCAAAACAAAAACACAAGAGCTTCAGACAGTTTATACACAATTTCAATCACAATATTCAACACCTTATTCGAATATTGGACGCCACGTTATCAAAAAATGAGACTGTCTGACGGCAAGCTCATCATATATGAGATTTACATTGATGAGAGCATGAATGCTGCAGACTATGTGAAAGTGCCCTTGGCTGCCTTTTATCTGACCTGCAAGGATTTGGAGCGGTTACAGGACAATATTCATGTTTTTGTTCTGAATCTCAAGGAGAAGAACAATTAACTTAATTGGAGGCATGGAAATGACTTTCCATCCGTTCCTGAGGTCATGATATGACACAACGTCTTCTCGTAATGTGGAAAGCTGGTGATTCACTTTCCTGTATGTGGTTGGCTCTGTATTGCTGCATCATTTGTTAAATGCAGAACAGTGTCAAACATATCTGGCTGGGACTACAAAGTGAATGATGCTCCCCTTCAGAACATGATAGGGGATATAATGGCAATAATATACCAGAATGACCCTACACATGGTAAGTGGTGCACAAAAAGACAAAACTTATGTGTGGGTCAATGCAAGTTCTCTCACCACAGTGGTTTTGTTGGAAGTTAATGTAAGTATTGTAGAAGATGTGTTGGCTGCAGTCTGTGAATGATGCACAACATATCAATCTAGCAGCATCTTTTCAGGGATTCCAGATGTGTGCACTAGTGTGCATTGGATAGGCTCATTGGTAAAGCCAGCATTCAAACTAAAGCATCAAGTGAGATGCTGACTTGGAGGCGTTTCAGTACTTTTTGAAAAGCTGATCCAAGAGTACAAGTTATTGATCACCATAACTTTAATGATGCCAAGTCAGAATCAAGCGGATAAGCTCACAAGAGTATTGCAACAATAGTATGATGCAATCAAGCTGGAGGTCGAACCAATATAATCGATGGTGAACAAAATGTCTCTGGAGTAGATAAGCACCATAAATTGCCAAAGTGGACATCCTATGTCAGGTGAACACTGTGTTTTGTGAGACAAGTTCACTCTAGGACATCCAAGACAGCAGTCATGACTGTGGTCAGAAAATGTAAAGAAAGTCAATTGACCCAGCCTCAAGTTGTTGGCCACAAGGCAACTTAAGTGTGACAGGAATTTGGACCCACTTGGGAATGGATATCACCAATTAAAGTGGACAACACTACCTTAAGTTGATTGACTGTAGCCCTAGTCAATTTGTGATATAGCAATGTCTGCCTCAGCAAGACTAAAGAAGCATTACCCAACAACTGGAAAGAATTTTTTTTTTTTGAACAAGGTCAATCATCAAAAATCCTAACTGACAATGATACTGTATTTCACAGTAAGTCCTTTAAAGATTTCTTAGATAACTGGGGAGTCCAGCTTTGTTTCTGTTGTGCATATGTTCCTGCAGGAAATGGCATAGTAGAAAGATCTCACTGGAGCATCAAGAAAGCACTGTTTAATAATGGAAGCAGTGTACTAGCATAATATCATGCCAAAGAATGACACCTCATCCACTAATGGGCCAACCAAAATGATACATCGCAACCAACTTAGAGTGAAGGGATTTAGTACAAGATTACCACCTGATCATTGTAAGGATATTTTCAGAGTTGGGAACAGAGTGTGGTTGAAAGCTTCACACACTCAGTGTACCTCCAAGTTCACAAGTCATAATGGTTGACAGGATGCTTTTTTATAGGCTCTGGTACAGTGATATGTTGACATGTGACAAGACAATTTATTGTCCGAAAGTTATTGTGTAATTGAACACTATGAATCTGATGCTTCCACAGATAGAGAGGTTCTGGAAACTCCCGATATGCCTGATGACTCCTCAGGAGATAACTTGCCAACATGCAGAATGAAGAGGGTCCCATTACAATGAAGCACCAGGCTAAAAAGACCCACTCTGATTTGTGATCATGAGATCAGTGGGGAGTGTAGCAAAGAAAATGTTGATTTGTTAAACAAAGTGACAGTATGTCATGTGTATCCTACATCGGAAAAGAAAGAGCGCACAAGGCCTCTTGTTTATATATGAGAACATCATGCAAATTTTTGGTCACACCTCGACTGACCTCTCAACCTAGATATAAGCAGGTGCCGCATGTGGCCAAAGAATTGGTTCTATGAGTCATTACATGGTGTGAAGGAATATTTCTTGAGATGTGCAACTGTTGGATTGAAAAAAATTCTACTACTAAACTGTCCTTAGTTTAGTTTCTACAGTCATCAAAAACTTTAGAAAATGCTTGGAAAAGTCCATCTGAAGGATACATAACTTAAAATCCACTTACAATAAAGATAAAATGAAATCAGAAATTGCTTATTTACAACTACAGGTGTACCAAATTTCAGGTTAATATATTCAGTCATTTTCAGAACATTGTATAAGAAAAAGGCACAGCTGATTCACCAGGTTTGATTACATATTTGAAATATCAACCAGTCACAAAATTTCAAAACTGTACATGCCATTTCAACAAAGTGATAAATGTCACAATTAAGCAAAATGGTTCACTCAGAAAAATGCATATAATTAAGATTTCAAAAATTTTAATTGCAAATCTATTAAAGATACAGATTTTTCCATCTTTTTATTATAGGAACATATGTACATTTTTTTCCAGTAGAATCTGAGGCATATATAAGATATACATACTTGCTGGAGTATGTGTCTTTGCTAGGTAAGAGGTGAAGACTGAGATTGAAGCTGGTTATGACTATAACAATTTCTTAGTACTATAATACTGACTAGTAAGACTTATCAAAGTCAATTATGCAAAATTGCTGGATATATATAGTCCTGAAAAGTAGTCTCATATAACTTCTAGTTCCAAGGTGAAAAAAAATGAAAACAGTAACTCAGAAATTTCTATTTTACAATATCTTTGTTATTGTCATTATTCATGTTCATCAAAGTTCAGTTTCAGCAACTCTGGTCATAAGCAGTTTTTCACGTTTACTTATGTGTGAACATTTTGGGGTCACTATACATATTCTTAATAACAAAAATCAAGTGATTGTTCTTTATAACCTTAAAAAAAACAATTCTTAAAAAGCATGTTCTTCCATACACAGAGCATGGAAATTTCCCAGTAAAATTTGAGTTAATGCTATATACTAGTTGTCACTGCTTGCATGCTTCTCATCTGGCACCTAGATCTCATCTTCATTTCATCACATTTATCTACATACCATGGTGGTAAATTCTTTTCCATATTGGCCATTCATTTTCAGATGTTTTATAATTGGACTGTAGAATATCAAATTTCTAAAGGGTGGCCATGTATTGATTGATCCTTCGTTCTCTTTTTCTCCTTTGGAACTGTTATGAAGTTGATACCCACACAACAGTAGTAGTCGTCACAAGAGACACTCTCTACCAGTCTATCTCAAGTTCTGCCTATATAGTGATATCGTTATGCTAATTAGTATTAGCCCAACCAATCCCACTACACCTCCTGGAACCTTTTAGGTTTAACTCCCTGAGTTGACTTATTGCTTCTCCTACATACCCCCCCCCAACACCTTTCACTGGTTCCAAGAGGATTTCTCCTTACAGGAGATCTCGACCTACTTCTTTCTTATTCAGTCTCCACTGTTTCATTCTCTGATTCCTCAGAAAACCCTTGAGCACTCAATGTCTCTTCTGATCCATTATCTTGTTCGTCTCTATCCTATCGATGACGCCATTTTGTTATGAAGTTGATACAATGCAAAATACAGGAATTGCTACAGGAGTCTTGTTATTCCTTCAGAAAACATATTTAGTCCACTGAAGTTGGCAATGCTTGATGATACCTTCAATACTTATTTGGGACATTCAATATATTGATGACTTTGTCTTGTCATCTGATACCTAGAATTGACTGGCCGTCCTTGGTATGACAATAAACTTCATCCGTGTCCTGGGTAAAACGATAAACTACGTCCAACAGCAAGGCCTCTGATCAGGAGGTTTTGAGGAGCATGGAACGACCTCTTAATTGCTGGTGTTCCCAGGTCCACCCTGACCAGGGATGGTAGCACCTGTTAGGGTCCCAGCTATGGGCAAATAGTTATCCACCTCAAACTGGGATCAAAAACACTATGAAAGTGTAAAAATAGGTTTTAATACCAGAAATACTTTGTAAAAAAAATTATTACCAGCAATATATTTTTGAAAAACAAATATTACCAGCAATACATTTTTTGAAAAAAAAAATTACCAGTGAAGAAAAAAATATTAACAGAAATAGATTTTTGGAAAAAAAAATATTACCAATAATGAAAATTTTCTCAGCCTCAAATAACCCATTGAGGTTGATATGCTGTAAACCAAACAAAACCAAACTAGAACTGATTTTGCAGCTTTGATTAATGTAATCTTTCAAGGCTCTTAATGTTATGAAGGTACAGAATCGATATTTCACATTTATAGAGCAATGTGCTGACAACTCTGAATGTACAGGCTACAGTAAAATATAAAAAGTAAGCAAACAAAAAGTGACTGACCTCTTTTTAGAGACTGGTTCAATTGTATTTTTCTCAGTGGACTCAGAAGTTTTCTTTGCTAGTGAGACATCTTCATGATGTGATAAAGAAGGTGCAGCATTGGACTTACTCTAAAAATAATACAAATAAATTTTCTTTTAAAAAGTGACATTTACCATATTTAATAAATTAGTGGCTGAAAAATACTAACAAAACAGAAAGAATCATAACAAAAAATAACTTAAAATAAATCTCGATAGATATCACAAAAATGCAGTGGAGTGCATTATCAGTGACATTAATACTGGATTCATTGATAATTTTGGGTCTTTCAATATCGTACCATTTCACCCAGCTGATCTTGTCATAAAATATGCAAAAAATAAATTTAAAATATAACTTAAATAAAAAGAAAAGAAAAAATAGATAAAAAAATAAATCAAATTAAAAATAAAAAAAACATAAATAAATAAAAAGCAAAATAAAAATAAATAAGAAATAAAATGATTATTTACATTATTTACATGCAGACTATTGTCCTCATCTTTGTTGTTCTTATCACAAAATTTCGGCTGTTGTAACCTCTGGCCTTCATCAGTTGTATCCCGACCTGAGTAACCTACAGGGAATTTCAAACTGAACCTTTTATTTAAGTTATGAAGGTAGATTGTTCTCATTTTACTGTCCATGTCTAGGGATATCTCATCTAGTTCTTGTTTTAGATTGATATACACCTGATAAATGCAGAGAGGCACAATGGTTAAGATGTTATGGTAACAACAGAAAAGATGAGGGCAATAGACTGCATGAAAATAATGAGAACTCCGCATCCCAAACATACAGACAGAAAATAAAATAAAAAGCAGTAAAATATAAATAAAAAAAGCAAAATAAAAAAAATAAAATAATAAATAAAAAAGCAAAATAAAAAATAAAATAATAAATAAAAAAGCAAAATAAAAAATAAAATAATAAATAAAAAAGCAAAATAAAAAAATAAAATAAATAAAAAAGCAAAATAAAAAATAAAATAATAAATAAAAAAGCAAAATAAAAAAATAAAATAATAAATAAAAAAAGCAAAATAAAAAAATAAAATAATAAATAAAAAAGCAAAATAAAAAATAAAATAATAAATAAAAAAGCAAAATAAAAATAAATAAAAAGCAAAATAAAAAATAAAAAATAAATAAAAAAAAGCAAAAAATAAAAAATAAAATAATAAATAAAAAAGCAAAATAAAAAAAAAATAAAATAATAAATAAAAAGCAAAATAAAAAATAAAATAATAAATAAAAAGCAAAAATAAAATAAGGATAATATAAATGAAATAGTAACTTACTTCATTGAATATATTCTTGGATGATCTGTTCAATCTGGAAAAAAAGTAAAATGGACAACATTTAGATAAACATATAAACCACAAAATTTAATATGGCAGACCATATGGAGAGAGAGGAGTTCATATTTCTCTCTCTCTCTGGAATAAGATCAAAATAAGGACTACCACTGGGAGACTAGAAAATTGAAGGCATAAAGTCAGTCTTATTAGTGATCAATTTTTTTTTTTTTTTTTAGATAAGATTGAAGACCCTTTATTATTTATTTATGAAGTTGCTGTGATAATTTATATTTATGCTTATTAAATGTCTGTAAGCAATTTTAAAATCTGCATTTATTTTTTATTCACTGCAGGATTAGGTACTCCTTGTCAGTCAGTTATGTGCCATGCGTGATACACGCTTAGGCAATCATGTATCTTTCAATATATGACTGATGAGGCAGATTTTTCCCTGCAGTAGGTTGCCATTTCTTTCTGCGGTAGACCAATTGCCATCCAAGGCTATAGAACCCAGTCTGTCCTACTATTTACACATAGCTGGGGAAGAAGAAGAGGATTCATACCAATCCCAAGGGTATTAGCACGTAAGTGAATGTAATGGATTTGAGTGGAATTCGAACTTCGCTCTCCAATTCCTCAATACAAGCCGCTATCCATTACTCCACCATACCTCCTGGTACTCCTCATACTTTATCAAAATATATGCCTGAGTTAAACCACAATACATAGGATGATGTCTTTCTGCTTAGAGTATTACTAGCAGCATGGCCCGGCGTTGCCTGTGCTTGATTCAAAAATCATACGACTCATACAGCATCACTTGACTTAAAATATTTTTGCCCTTCCTTGCCTTTAAAGGAGTGCCCTTTGCCGTGCTGATGTTGCTACATGCCTTACTTCTTGTCTATCTCACACTGCTAATTTTTTCTAAGCTCTATACTAAACATTAAATCTGTTATAAAAAAAAGAACTAAACAAAATGAACACAAAATGTTCAGCTTTAAAAAGGACTCGAACTGGAAAAACCAAATGAAAAACAATGTTAACAACAAATACTTTTTCACACCCAACCCAGTTCTGCGGAATCAGAATCAACGTTGAGTTTAAGCAAGTGAATGAGCCAATTGGAGTAAAGTGCCATGCAGATTTAAATTTTTCCCACTTGTGACGAATGCAGCTATCGATTTTTTTTGCATGCTAGTTAACATTCGTGTCAGTCAGCTGTTGGCTGTCATGCTGGCCAATAGAATCTTCCTGCCTATTCGTGGCAGCCAGCTATTGGCTCTCACTCTGGCCAGTACAAAATGGCTGCAAACTACATGAAAACTGCCATAGAAGCATGAAAAATTTATTTCTACTATCAATGGCCTTCCCGCTAACTTGGAGCATGTGCATGTAAATTTTGGTGCAAATCCGTCAAAAATTGCAGCTATGCATTCGTTACACACACACACACACACACACACATCCTGCCTTTTATTGATAGAGATTATTGCAATATATATATATATATATATATATTGCAGATAAAAGTCAATTCATTTGGGATGGTGAAAAAAATCTAGCAGGGGACAAAGAGATAAAGTGTAACTACAGAAATAGATTTACATTTTTTTTTAATCTTTTCACCCCAAGCAAGGCAGTAATGTCATTAGTATACAGGGTGTTACAAGGAGTGAAAATGAAATTATAACTGAATATAGGAAGTATTGTGGAAAAAGCAAAAGATAAACAGGATTCAAGACAGAAAATGTCGATTGTTGTTGCATTTAAATTTTTGAAGATTGTAGTTATCAGGAAAACAAAGAAACTGAAGAGAGTTCCATAAATTGGAAGTGCAAAAAAAAGAAGCTATTAGAGTAGAAGTGGCAATTGCATTTAGTTATTTCAGCAATAAAAGGGTGGGACCTAGATGCCAATCTAGTAGCACGCTTAAATTCTTATAATCGGGGAAACAGTGAAAAAATTTTGTCAGAGCAGTTATCATGAAAATATTTGTAGAAAAGACAGAAGGAAGCCATGTCACATTGGTGAGAAAGTGACTGAAATCGAGATGTCAGGTCATGTTCGATTACATTAGAGATCCTTCTTTGGATTTTGTCAATAAACCTAGAGATGAATAGCAGGAGCACCAGACCAGATATGACATCAGTATTCAATGCACTGATGAATATTGCTGCCATATCTGGTATGGTGTTCCTGCTATTTATCTTGCAGTCCTTGACAAAATCCCAAGGAACAAGAGCAGATATTTTTTCTTTTCTCTTTTTAAAGAAAAAAAAAATATTTTTCCAGTTCTCAACTTTTTTCTTTCCTGCCAAAGACACAACAGGAAAATCTCAATGACAAAATCATGTTAGATAGAACTCTGCAAAAGACTTTCATGAAATGTTTCCAAAACTTTTCTCCACCAATTTCCAAATGTTGGCAATGTACATTTCCAAGGATTCAAATTTTTCAATTATCGAATTATTATTATTTAAGCAAAATGCCACAATACTCACATCAGAGACATGGATGATTGTGTGCTGGAGTTAAATACATCTTGTGTCTGTGTTCGCATTGTCTGCGAGGCCAAAGGATCTAGTGGTTTTCCTAAAATATGACAAAAGTGTCAGTTGCACTTACAGATACTTAGACAAATGCCATAAATAAAAACAGGAAAATATTATATATATTATCACATAAAGGCCAATGTAACTAATAAAAACATCTTAAAAGTAAAGAATATTTTATTAACAAACAAAATAATACCTTCTTGGGATCTCTCTCTCTCTCTCCTCATTTTTTTTAACCTGAAAAAAACAAGATTCTCCTCCATATGCCAAGTTTTCAATATAAATTATACACTTGAGGAAGACCAAAAATTTATTAGCCCAAACAATAGGATAACCACCAAAGTAAAAGAAAGATTAAGATCAATACGCCAAACAACTCATGGAACACCTTCAGTAACAATTTTTTCTCAATTTTTTTTTTTAAATAAAAATGAAGAGTCTCCAGAAACTAAATAGCATTGTTGGGAAGCAGATATGTTGAGGAGAAAATAAAGTCATCTGTTTGAAAGGAAAAAAAATAGTAATTCATAAAAGAGGTCAGTTGAACAGACAAGCTATAACAAAGGTTCCATAAGCTATAACAAGGGTTCCATAAGCTATAACAAAGGTTCCATAAGCTATAATTGACTGATTCAAATCTTTCACTAGTTTTAAAGTTTTTGCAATCCGGTTCAAACTCAGATTAACTACCTATCTGCATCTCATGTGTGAAATGTAGACACTGAATAAGGATCATACACACCTTTAATATACATTATTGAGCTGCAAGAAAGAAGTTCTATCACTAAAAGACCTATCAGTCAAATTAGTCTATATGCTAACTATGCCATGGAATAAAACCAAGACTGAGTATAGGAGTAGGGTCACAAATAAATAGCAATATTTATGATTATTCCCTGAAGGAAAAGATCAATCATAAATAATTTTTTTTTTTTTTTTTTAAGCGTTTCACCCCAAGCAAAGCGGGAAGCACACCAGGGGTTACAAAGAGTTGGAGCAGGAGCAAAGAGGAATGACGGAGGAAAAGATGAAGAGAAGGATAGGAGATAGATCAAGGCAACTGGAGACATCGATTGACACTACATTTGAATAATTGGAGATTATAGCTATCAGGGAAACAAGAAAACGGGAGTACATGAATAAAAAAAATATTATTGTATTAGGCAGTGCTGGATTATCTATTAGCCACAGATTTTAACCCTTTAGCATTCAACACACTTAAACCTGCCCCATAAATATCAGCTCTCAAAGTCTCACTGTTTTTGCGATTTCCTATATTATTTTATTATGATGTCTACATACATTATAACAGAGTATATATGGAGCGGGTTACCAATATGTAGCTAAAATTTTCAGGGCTGGTTTGTGAAACTTGAATGCTAAAGTGTTAACAAGTGCCACAAATAAGCCATGTACAACTAAAAAAATAAAAATTTTTGCTTGGCTTATAGTAGGGTTGTCAGATAAACATCTGATTGAATCCAAACAATGCATGATAAAAACCAAATTCATTATGGCTGACAGAGTTGATTGTAGTCTTAAGACATGCCTGCCAACCATATTCTGTGAACAAACTATGAAATATTCATAACATGTCAGATGAATATAAACCAAAGAAAACTTTCTGCTATGAACTACAGAAAAGCTTCTATAATTATCAGTTTTTTTTCCTCCTGCTCCCAAAAATATTTATTTTATTAATACAGAGATTGGCCATGGATCAAAATGGAATCACAGGAAAGATATCTCTCTTTCCTTATGGATTGTACAACTGAGGAAAGCTGCAAAAAGGATTACCATATTTTCTTGCATGAATGAGAAATTTTGAACAAAAATTAAAGGTAAAAGGGGGGGGTGATCATATCATATACAAGTTTTCAGAAATTTTTACTCAGCTTAAAAAAAACATATTTGAAATAGTGAGATTTCAAATAGACTCAGCACAATAGATAATAAAACACAAAATAGGCAGGTGTTGATAACAATTGTCTACAAAAAGTGTTTGATATGTCTGCAATATTTGTCCTTTGAGAATCAGTGTAATTGAACATCTTTTATCTCAGAAAGAAAATTCACCAAAATTGATTAAAAAAAAATTAATAAAAAGAAATACACAAGATCTGTTATGTTTTGATAATTGTTACATCAAAGCACCTTTTCCCGCCAAAAGTTTTAAAGCAGAAATTAGAAGAAACCTAAAGGCTAAACATGAGGTTCATTTCTATTCTTTAATATAGTGAAAAATTAAATATCTTAGTGAAATATATGTACAACATTAATGGACAATAAGAGAAAACTTTTTTTTACATTTACATAGGAATAGCCGAATGGGGTCGTATTATACTCAAGGGTGTAATATTATACATGAGAAAATGTGGCAGTCAAGATTTTGTGATAACAACAAACACAGCCAAAAGTTGCTCAATAATGAGAACCACTCTTGGAATGATCAGGAATTTTCTCAAAATTATAGACAATATATTTTTTAGTTCTTTCTTTTTCTTTTAACATTATTTATTTTAATAAACAATAGTAAAATAACTTTGAAAAAAATGTGAAGTGAACAAAATCAGTAAAAATAAAGCCAGAAAAAGTCACAAACCTGGATCAGCATTGGGATTGCAGTATTGTTGAATGTTGCAACTCAGTACTGCATGTCCAACCTCAGCATCAGTGATCATACGTTTACCATAACTGGAGAAAAAATACTAAGAAGTTATACAAAGTTAAATAAGTGTATACTCTTTATTAAAATAATCACAAATGCTAGAAAATATACAAATATGAAAACAAAAGTGTAGTTAACTTTTTTTGGTCACTGAGTGCATTCACCGGAAACACCTCAATCAAATGGAGCTATCTACACAGCTAATTTTAAACTAGCACAAGGTAGTAATTTTTTCCAGCCAAATTGGACTCAAAACTGGCAATGAAAAAATTATCTATCAGACAAAAAAATTTCATCAAAACCAAATGAAAACTGTAGAAATGCATAAACAAAATATGCTCACACATACATACATACATACATACATACATACATACACACATTTTGAGAATTATAGATATAGAAGATTTGACCTGATTTTAAAAAACGTTTGCCAAATCCACTTCAGATTAAAAATTATAAAAGTTAACTTGATATATTTTTACATGCTAGAAACAAGGAAAACTTTGCCTCACCTTTCTAAGACAGCTTGAATATGTGACACCAACTGCTTACTTATTCCACTAGGAGGCGGAGTCATTATAATGTTGTCCTCTGCTACTAGGTCCTGATCTGAAATGTCATCATTTTTCTCAGTGTGCAGTTTCACAATGCCACCAGCTAAATGTATGGCCTCATGCATCTTTTTCAACTGCAAAATTAAATTTAATCAAGTAAAAAAAAAACAGAAGGATTATTATTCTACAATCCTTAAACAGCATATACTGGAAATAAATTGCATCCAATGATAAGAAAACAATACAAATAGGATAAAAGAAAAAGTAGTAAAAAATTAAAAATAAAAGGTTTAACCAGGTTTAGACATGGCTTCCCTCTGTGTTTTTTCTGTTTTTATTGCAACTGCTCTAATGAGCTTTTTTTGAGTGCCCCAACAAAATGAATTTAAGCATGCCACTAGATTTGCAACTAGGTCTGTTGCAAATCTACTGTTGAACTAGCAAGATGCAACCACCATTTCTACTCTAACAGTTTCTTTTCTTGCACTTCCCACCTATGGAACTCCCTTCTGATTTCTTCTTTCTCTGATAACTACATGTAACAGAGAATCCGTCCAGCTCAATAAAAGATTCCGAGTTGGTTGTACATGGTGCTATAAGCACCAGGAGTTGCATCCCCTGGCACAATGGGTTGTTGAGAGAAGCCTGTGTACTTAGAGTAGGTGGGGCTGCCTATTTGCATGTAAAAAATACTGGGAAGGTATTAGTCAAAAGTCAGTATGGGTCTGGGACTAGGAGAGCTACATAACATCAGTGATTTTTCAGTCGAGAGGGGTGCTCTCAACATGCAAATACCAGACAAGACAAACACTAAAATCTTCAAAAATTTAAATGCAATGTTAATCGCCATCTTGTTTTCTTGAATTCAGTTCCTTTTTTTTCCCCTCCTTTCTTCAATCCTCCCCATTCTCAGTCTTCTCATGCCCTTTCACTTTCACTCCCTCTGACCCCCTATGTGCTTGTTGTGAAACAATTATATATATATATATGTTAACAAATGATAATTGCAAGAACAGATCCAAATATCTTAAATATTTCAAATAATCTTTAGGAAATTCTCATTTTCCAAAGTCAGAGAGAACAAAATGAATTTAAGGCATCATTATAAATTTCAATCTATATTATAAAAGAAAAGCTGATTGCCTGTCCATCACACATTGTCTGCACGTGAGTTTACAAATGCATATGTAATTTATATATCCCAATTATCAGAATATATATGTGTTGTATATATATATACATAATATAGTTGTATGAAAAGGTGACAAAAAGATTGATATATGGTTCTTTAGTTTTAAGGGAAGTGATTAAGTGTTGGTGAAACTTGGAGTTGATTTGTTGGGTTGGTTGATTGAGATCACAGTTGGTATCAGGAGAGAGGCCCGGAGTGGATTAGTGAAGCCACATGGTAGCATGATTTGGGTGTCATTGGTGGGGTTGATCCATCTATCTTCAAGGTTGAAATCAACACCAGTGAGGTGTGTGGATGAGTTGAGGTATTGAGCCAAACTATCTGTTGTTAGCGAGGCATGCATTTTTATATCTGTGATTTAACATGTGCAGGCCCTCTAGGCTGATCATTTTTTTTTTTTGCAGCAACATTCGTGATTGGATATTATATTTTAGATTTTTGCATGAATTTGTTTTGTGGACTGGATGTGATGCTTGGAGCCCCTGCACAGAAGGAAACTTTTTTAATTTGGGTTTTGCTTTCTAAGTGCTCACATCCACCCAGTATGTTTAGAGAAATGCATTTTAAAGTAGTATAACACAGGGTACTACTCAAATATTTGGAGAATGTAACTAAAGACTTATTCTAATACCTAGTATCCACAATTTCCTTTAAAGTCATCCTTTTGGACAAGTGTACAATGATCCAAAGAGGACTACTCACAAAGAGTAGTAGCAAATTTCTATACTACATCCAATTAGTGCATGTTACTCAAATTACCCAAACATTTTGGTAGCACTTTCTAACTTAAGACAAGAACCCTTATCAGAGTTACTTCCCTTTTTTATTAAAAGTAAATTCTCATTTTACGAAGTTAACAGAATGAATTTATCTGTATTTTAACATTAGTATTTACCTACTTTCCTTCACAAGGTGTGTACCATGCTCCAAAAGAAAAAAAATTATGAAAAACAACCTCACCTTTTTTAAAAAATAAAAAGGCTAAATGAATAATAAAGAAAAAAAAACAGCCAGTCAATCTGCTTATATCTTTCATCTTTCTCCACTGACTCTTTCTTTTCCCATATATATTTTTTTTACTTAGCCTCTACCTCTTTCACATCTCCTTTCTTTCTTACTCCTCTCTTTTTTGCCTTTCCCCATTTTGTTATGTGGAAAACTATTTGGTTTTCATTCTTGGCTTCAACCTCAGGTTACACTTTACATAACAGTAACTGCTTCATGTTATCTCTGAGTAAAATTCAATATTGTACAAAACCAACAAAAATAAATAAAATACCTGTGAGGCATTTAGGAAAATGAAGGTTTTTCCATTGAAAAGAGATTTTCTTTGGATATTTGACTGAAAAGTTGAAGTTTGTCGAACAGCCAAGGAGTCAGATACTTTTGGTAGAAACCTGGAAAAAAAAAAAACTAAATCCTTGAAAATTGATTGTTATTATATTACATACACACAAAAATCATTACACAAACAGTAGATCATGGATTAAAAAAAGAAAAAAATGAATTACACATCTTATGCTTTATTGAATCTGATTTAAAATAACAGGAGTAAAAAAAAATAAATTAAATATGGATAGGGTCTTTTTTGGAAAGAAGATGTGCTAAAAATCAACAACATATCAAATGAAAGTAAATATTATATTCTAATGTTAAAAGATTAAAAATTAACTTGATTCTTAAATAAAACATTGTTCTTGGCTGTTTTTTTTCTTAGCCAAGTTTTATTGGTTTTACTAAATACTTTTGGCAGAAAGTTTTCATTTAAGCTACTTCCACTGAAGAACACAGGGTTTTTAGGATTTTTTTCTCGTTTTAAGAAACAATAATGGATAATTTATTAAAATTTTATAACTGAAAAGAAATAATAAGAAGAGAAGGAAAAGAAGTGTTCTGTTAAAAGAGGATAACACAATCATGAAATATAATGTCACTTGGAGTTGAGTCTTACTGGAATTCTGTAGTAAGGATATAAGGCTTGTACCTGGCTAGCTCTCTCCTGATGATTTTCGGCCTCAGTATATATGCTATTTGGACGAGTCCAAGTCATATTCTGGAGAGATATGTTCATCTCCACAACACACCTCCTCTTATGCACTTTCTTTAATCAATACTTTTTCCAACATGGGTCCACTTCCAATGTTTCAGTCAAATTACATTTTTGCTTACACTGGTGTTACATTGTAATATTAGTTTTATGAATAGGTACTTCAACAGTATCATAAAGTATGCCCATCGGTGAATTAAATTGTACTGGTTGCTTATATGGTGCATGTCTAGATCTCAATTGATTTAGATGTCTTCTATGTTGAAATTGTCCACTTTGACAATGTACATCATACTACCAAGGTGTTAAAAAATTTTCCATTCATGCCAATTTTCCTTTCCAGCCTTAAAGCTTTTAAGGAAGTCTTCATCGCCAATCTGGTAGTTTCAAATTGTCACCTTTTCTTTTTTATTCCCGGCCAGTAATTTGTCAAAAATGGATCTAACTTTCCTAGCAAACATGAGCTCTGCAGGTGACATTCCCGTGGTGATGTTTGCATTTGATGTCATTTGATATATGCTCAAAAATCCTTATAGTGCTGTTTCTTCAGCTTCCAAACCTTTAGCTTTTCTTAATGACCCTTTGAAGTTGTTAACAAAATGACCAGCTTCACCATTTGATGTCAGATGATAAATCAGCATTGTCAAATCTTCAACCACATGGTTTTCACAAAAATTTTTAAACTCACTGGAAGTAAATCAAGTTCTATTATCGGATACGACAGTGAGGTACTCCAAACCTTGCAAAAAGTTTGCATAAGAATTTAATCATTATTGTGGTAGTAAGTCATTTACACTTTAATATCTCGGGCCATTTTGTGATATTGTCAGTCACAATTAAATAGTATAAACTGTTTAGTGGTCCAGCAAACTCCATATGTAATCTTGCCCATAGTTTATCAGTGCTCAGCTATGCCTGATAATTTATAGTTGATAATTTTGCTGCTGAATTACAACCATTACATTTTCTAACTGTATTTTGGATATCTGTCCAACTTTGACCAATAAACACAGCTTCTAATCAGGGACTTCATCCTCACTATTTTCAGATGTCCTATGTGAAATTGTTTCAAAATTCTTTTTTGTAGTGATAATGGAATTACTGTTCTTTCCGTGTACAAAAGTAATCCATCACAAACAGAAAATGCTGTTTATTGTTATCAGGTTTAATTTTAGTTTTACTCCATTTTGACTTAACATCATTCAGTTTTTTTGATTAAACATATGCTTTTTAGAATGAATTTTGAAAATTGTCTATCATGACTGGAAAATTCTTTAATAGTGTTACATACAAGGCTTTTAATTTCGCTTTCGGATTCCAGCAAAGCAATCATGGCATCTTCAAAATCTTTACATTTCAATATCAATCTGGATAAGCCATTTGCATGTCCCATTTTTTTTGATGATAGAAATTCAATCTTGAAATCATAGTTCAATTGTAGCCTAATGCTGTTAGTCTGTTTACAGTATGCATAGGAATCCCTTTCTTAGAACCAAATATACTTAGTAGACAATGATCAGTTTGCAGTATAAATTTTCTTCCTAATATCACCTGTGAAATTGCTTTACAGCAAAAATTATTGCCAGCACTTTCTTTTCAATTTGACTGTAGCATTTTTCCGTATTTGTCAAACTTCTTGAAGCGTGAGCAACAGTTTCACTGTACCATCTTCAAATTTATGGCCTATTACCCATCCTATGCTATATTCACTTGCATCCAACACTATTATCTGTCACCGTGGGTCGTAATGTGTCAGTGATAACTCTGAAGTTAGTAGTTTTTTAAATTCCTTCAAAAGCTTTTTGACACTCCACAAACCAATTCCATTTTGTACCTTTAAGTAAATTATTCAGAGGTGCTCACAATTTGTACATGTCTGGTACATAAATATTATGATAATTTGCTAATCCAAGAAATGATTGTACGGTCACCAAATTTATTGGGAGAGGCAGGTCTTTAATGGCATTTGCTCTAGCGGGATCTGGTCTTCTTCCTTTTTCATCATTTATCTGACCTAAATATTTAAGCTCATCCATAACTGTCATTTCTGTTCACTTAGTTTGAAACCATAATCATGCTGTCTGTGAAATACTAGCTGAATCAGTTTTATATACTGTATTTTCATAACAGTCTTAATAAGTATACCATGTAAGTGACAGTTCTGTCTAGTCCAGCCAACATTGTATTCATTATTTGCTGGAAAATATCTGGGGCTACATTTATACCGAAGGCTAATCTTCAAAACTTTTAGAGTCCATTATGTATATTAATAGTCAAATATTTTTGGCATTTCTCATCCGCTTCAATTTGTAGATATGCCTCAGACAAGTCAATTCTTGAAAAAAATTTACCACCATTTAATTTGGCAAATATATTCTCTGAAGTTGGTAGGGGATTTACATGTTGTAGGAGGCAGTCATTCAACCCAGTTGAAAAATCTGCACATAAACAAATATTATTTTTCTTTCTAATATAAACCATTGGTGTGGCCCATTCTGAATAATCTATTTTTTCAATAAGTCTGTGGTTTTCTAACCTATCAAGTATGGTGTTAATAGACTTCAATGCAGCAAAGGGTAGCTTTCTTTTAGGCTTAAAAACTGGCATCACATTTTCTTTTAATTTGAAAAATGCCTTTGATTTTGTACATTTCCTCAACTCCTCTGAGAATTTAATTTTTAGTTTACTGTTTCTTTAACTGTAATCTTTTTCTCTGGCGAACAGTTAATTTTTCCACAGAATAAATTATTCGGCTAATTCCATAGTTCAAATAATCAATGCCTGGTAAATTTAAGTTGGAATTTTTAATACATAAACATCTGCTTTTTTAGTTTTAGCTGCAAGAACAATGTTACACGTAATTTTCCCAAGAAAAATTAATTTTTTGCCCAATATTCCTCTTGCAACTTTGTCATTTTTATTCAATTCTTACCAATTCTGTTCCAAGTTTGTTCATCAATAATATCCAATTCAAATCTCACCATAACATTATTCATTTTTACTGTCACTAATTTTCTATCATTTGAACTTCCCAGTTTTGAATATACATGAACTCCACAAAATCCTTTTATGAATTTTGAATTTTTGCCAGCTATTTATGCTAAATGAGAAAAAAAAAAGTTTCCGACTAGCTCTCTCCTGACAATTCTCAGCATTAGTATATATGCTATTTGGATGAGTCCAAGTCATATTCTAGAGAGGTGTATTCATCTCCAAAAGAAGAAAGAGAAAAAGAAGAAAAGGAAAAAGGAGAAAAAGGAAAAAGGAGAAAAACAAAAAATCATAACAGAAAAAAGAGAAAAGGAAGAAAAAGAAAAAGAACTAAACACAGAAAAAGAAGAACTGCTTTCCATTTAGACAAGAATGTTCATCTTGAATGCTATACTCACAATGTTTCAGCCATTGTATCTGCCATCTTCAGGTGTTTGTCAAATTCAGTAAGTTTCTTAAAATTTTGAACCAAACACTTTATCCAATCCATAGGAGTAGATTGTTCTCGTTCTACTTCCTATTAACTGATACAAGATAATCCCAAAAGTATAAAGAAACCAATTTACATTGTGAATTGAATAATGGATTCAGTTCAAAATTATGAGAAAGTTGCTAAGTATGACAGACATCTGAAGGAGGCTGGTAGATACAACTAAAATGTTGTGAGTATAACAACCAAGATGAGTATGTTGGTCTGAATAGAAATGCATATAATAAAGATAAAAGATTTTTTTATCCGCTGTTTTTGTGCATGTTCTACTGCTTTCAATTTTTAATGGTTATTTTCAAAAACATTTTCTTTATTTTAATCAATTCACCCCAAGCAAAGCGATAATGCCACTAAGATGCAATAGACTACTGGAAGTAAAAGAGAATGAGAAGATTTAGAAGGAATCGGAAACCCAATCCTAAACAGGAAACAAAGGATAAACCTCTACTCCTGTTCAAAAGACTAGGAAGGAGTGTGAACCGGGCAATAGGTGAACATATCTATTCTTATTGGAATTGGTTTAATTTTACTTTGTTTTGTTGTATTGGTCATGTTTTAAGATGGAAGAGGCCAAGAATAATAGTCACTGTAGATCATCTAAGGCAACAAAAAACAGGTGGAAGGTTCTGCAGACTACAGCATAGTGTTGCCTCAGGTTTGCCCACTGGAAGTGCTTGTAAAGACACATATCCATGCACGTCATGGCATTGCAAGAACCCTATATTGTGAGATGCTGATCAGAGCAGTCTCACTAAGCATTACCAGAGAATTTGGGCATATAAGAAAATAAAGATAAAAGGAAAAATAAAACAAGCTAAAATTGAGATGTTAATGTTTTGAATTTCAAAAAATATTCTGATGTTTTCATCATGGTATTTGATGTTTAGAACACAAATTTAATTCATATTTTGTTTCATGTTTTAATGACATTATTTAACAGGAAATATACGTGCTCAATCTTTATAATGATACAAACACTATAATTGACATCATTAACAGGAGCATAAGAAGCAAATTAAATTTATAATCTTGTGGCAGTCTGGATTTGGCTCCGTATGGCAAGCTGGATGTGGCCTGTGGGCCAGAGTTTGAAGACATTTTTTACATTTACATTACTATTTTTTTTCAACTGAAACAGAAACCACATCTTAACATCCTTACTTGCTCTCTTCTGGGGATGGAACATCAACATTTCTTATGGATTCTATCAATGTCTTGAAATAGTTGACAGTGACAACAGACCGCTGGGCAGCAAGGGCACATATCACCTGGAACAAATTGAGAGGTAACATCATTACTAGTTATATGGGCTCTGACATGTTTGAATCACACTATTATGCAACATTTGGAATGCTTGCCATATAAGTAGTTATTTACTAAGCTTAGCCTGGTCTGGCACAAGGCTACAACAATGGTGCATTCAATGAAGATTTAGCTTATAAGATAAACAAACTGGTTTATGAGAAGCCTTGAGCCACCTTGCTATAAGTCGTAAAAAAATCAAACAAACTGTCAGCAATCTGGGAACCTAATGTACACAGACCTTTGAGTAGCCAAGAGACTGCACTAAACTGCAGGTACTACCATTGCTTATCTAGAGGTTTTCAAAGCTTTGCAGTAGTAATTTTCCCATCATCTATGAGTATCAATCTTTCTTATTCACAACAGCAGCAGGTGGCCTGCCTCTTAGGTCAGATTAACCTTTCTCTCTCATATTGCTATTAACTTTACTCAACTCCTTCTTGTGCTCATATCATGTACAGTCTTTCCATAAATATTTCATAAACTAACCTCATGTGAATGTTTGCAGCACTTTCTCCTTCCAAAAACAAACATTCTATAACACCTCTTTACTTTCTAAATATGTCCAGAAGAGTGGCTAATTTGAAAAAGAATTATAAGCAGAAAAAGAGAAATAAAACCATACAAATTATTATATCTTTAAAATTAAAATAGACATTAATTTTTGATAGATTTTTGTAGATTTTTATTTGACATCAGTTGATCTGAAAAAATCATTCATGCCACAAAGTTTTAGAAACTTGGCTTCAAGTAAATTGGTGGTGAACCCGTGAGTACTTACTTTTACAGTGATAGACAAATTTTGCATGACAAGATGAGTGCAACTTGGCCCCCACTCAGCTACAACTTTCCCTCCAAGAGTCTTCATTGTTTGTTCCAAATCTACTTTTAAGGACTTCTCCAGACATGATGATGTTACAACCAGAGGTGAAAATCGAACCCTGCATAGCAATTGCAAAAGAACATAAAAAAAGCATTAAATTTGAAAAAATTTTTATTTCAATGTGGATTTTTAATTCTTTTATTTATGTCATGCACTGTACCTCTACGTATGTGTGAATATATATGTTTTGAACAATAAAAAATATTGAGAAATTAAAAAATGAAAATTTTCAGACACACTGGGTTGTATATTAATATTTTTTTTGTTTTATTATTTCAACTAGATTCTTCAACTTGTTCCGTCCAGCATGGCCATCATCAGGAGATAAACTACAGAAATGAATCTACTGATGAGTCACCAGTAGTTTAACATCGTCCAAGGAGACATATTTGTAGTGTTGAAACATAATTCTAATTGTGTAGTGATTTTTTAACATGTTTTAATATTCTAAAATAAATAATATTTAGCTCTTCTTTGTATAGAGCCCTCTGTTAAATTAAATGTTACATACAGTGGAATTATACTCCATTTGTTCTCATTTTACCTGGATATATATATATATATATATATATATATATATATATATATATTATATATACACACACACACACACAGCATTATGTCTGTAGTGTGTACCTGAAATTATAAAAATAATACTAAAATGTAAATATTGTAACTATCAGCATGAACTAAGCAGAGAAAAATGTATGCCATAGTGACAAATATGTAATAATTGTAAAAAGAAAAATATAAAAAGTCTTGAATAAAATGGAAGACATGGTTAAAAGAGAAATTGATGTTTTCTCAATACAGAAGAATAAGAAAATACCTTCATGGAAATAAAATTGAATGGGGTAAATTTAAAAATACAAATAGATACTGGCAGTGATGTAACACTAATTCCAAAGAACTTTTGGGAACAAATCAATAAACCAAATCATAAGTCAATAAAAAAGGGTTCACATGCTTTTGCACATGTCAAATTTTCAGTTTTGTTGAAATATCTTTTTTAAATAAATAATTAAAATGTATCTTTTTTTTTTTTTTAAGGTGGGTTGTGTCCATTATTTAAAAAGTCTATTTTACAAATTGGTGCTTTGCACGCACATTTAATAGGGTTAGTTCACGATAACAACAGCCAGGTCTGGGTAGGCAGTCACAAACATTCAATTGGCAACATATTCAAAACATACAAATTAGTCAGCATAACTATTGCTATTTAAAGATGTCAGTAATGTGCCTCTTGCTAATCAGTCATTGTTTCTCAAAACTGCCAATTCATCAAGCGAATACAACCTATCTGATGGCAGGCACCAATCAGGCTCAGTGGAGCAAGCTAAAGGAAAACAAATCCACCCACACCAGATGCACCCTATCTGGAGTCTCTTACACTGTTGATGTGTTTCTCTTCTACAAGAAGGTATTAAGAACTCCTCTTATATTAGGATTCAAATTGACCATGTACATGGCTGATGGAAGTGATTTTGCCTGTGTATCTGGTTTTACTGAAATGAACTGATGTCACCAATATACCAAGTGTAACAGCAAAATTATTCAATTGTTAGTTTAAGCTTTGAACCATTGTATCCTAGAAATGATTAAAGATATCTTGCTGGAATTCACCAAGGTTTTTATAACCCTATTGGACTCTACTTGGAACAATAAGAATGTATTTAGCTCTAAGATGAAATGATGTTCCCTCTTGCTGTTGTGACCTCCTGATCCAGTTTTCCTCTCCACTCTTCCCTCTTTTTAAAACTTATTCACCATTCTCATGATGGTTCTTCAATGGACTTTGAAGATGGAAGCCAGAGTACGAATGTTGGTACCATTACTAAATGCCTGAATGATCTTTTTCCTCTTACAATTGCTTAGTTGGGAAGACATAGTGGAGCTGACATGAAATGATTTCAACCTGTTCTCTTTCTAGATGAAAAACTCAAAGGGTTTTTCAGCAATTCTTACGACAAACAGCGACAAGATGGCTAAACATCTTATCTGAAAACCTGGAAAAAAGAAACTTAATTAGTTCAGTGAATTTTTAGATATTAAACATTTTGTGAGATGGACAATTATCCCATGCTGTCACATGATTTGGACAATTTTGCTGTTACACTAGGTATAAGGGTAACCAAAGTTACTTAATGTAAGAATCGTCTAAGAGATGTAAGAAACATACAATTAACTAAACAATTAATAAAAACAAGATATCAAAGACAGCACAATGGGGGAAAATCTACTCCTATAGATTGAATAAAGTCTTCATGTTGGAATGAAAGAAAAAACTGTGTGTAAGGAAAAAATGCATTGGGATTTTAGAGGTTAAGAAGGGCAATGAATTAAATTATTAATTTATGGTCAAATTATGAAATTAAATAATAATAAAGCATGATTTTTTTTATTCCCTTTTCATATTAGCTGTCATGAGAAAAGGCGTGCAGCCAATAAATTTCTGAGCCTCAAACTGCTACAAGTCCTTCAGATGCTAAAGTTTAGCTATACCAGATATAAGAAACCATTTATCAGCTTTTTTAAACAAATAATATTTTTTTCTTTTTCCCTACAGATTATAAAACTGACAAGAACTGAAGAATGTGTCAACCAAAATATTGTTAAAAGCATCAAGAACAGAAAGGGGTTCTGAACAAAATTTGATATCTTAACCTTTTATTACACCATAGGCAACTTCATTTGCTCATTAAAAATTTGTCCTCCCACAGTAAATAACTTGTCATCAAACAATAAAATGTTTGAATTTCTCAGTTGTGTTGTCATCTCCTGCTATGGCAACAACTAAAAAGCCCTTGAGTGAAATTGAGAATGGTTTTAGTTGAAAAATCACCATATACTATAGCAAGGTGAGTAATTCTGAGTGTTAAAAGGTTAATGATCATTCTCAAAGTTATAGAAAAATTTAGAAAGTTTATAAAGAAAACTTTCCTCACCAGAATGTTGATTTAATTGAGCCAAATATAATTTTGTCACCATCTTCTAAAGGATTGGACACATTTGATTCCGCCTTCTTTTTATTTATGCGTGTCCCAAATGAAGAAATATCTTTCAGGTGAAGCAAAGGTCGGTCTGTGGAAGACGATGTGTCCTATTGAATAAGAAAAAGCATACAAATATTAAATCAGTATCTGTCTATATTTCTGACATGAGGTATTATGTACACTATTTACATTATTCAGACTATTGATCTCAACTTTGTCGCCATATATATTACAACATTTTGGCCATTGTTCACTCCGGCCTTCTTCAGGTGGTTGGGGGTGTCCTTGAGGATACATGGCACAGTGGATAAAGGCGTTAGTTAGATCCAGTGACAAAGAGTGTGAGTTCAATACCTGGTTAAGGCGGTGGAGAAGTCTACCCCAGTGAGCGAAATAACAGGGCTCAGTTCGACATTCCAACCACCTGAAGAAGGCCGGAGCATACAATGGCTGAAACGTTGTAATAAATATGGCGGTAAAGACGAGGACAATAGTCCAAATAATGTAAATAGTATAAATATTAAATCTACTGAAATTGGAATAAGTTTTAAGAGAAATACGTATCAAATACTCATCTAACAATCAAATTAACTTATATTTACATAATTATATAGGTAAAGAAACAAAAATGAAAATAGATGTTAAGTTTCTGGTAACTATTTACCAGGTATTGAACTTACAACGCTTTGGGTCAAGACACTGGATTACTTCAATTAACGCTTTTATCCACTGGTCCATGTGTCCTTGGGGAAATTTGTATGTTTCATTTGTACCTTCTTACTTCTTAAAATAATGATCAGCATTCACATTTATGATTGCTATTGCAATATTTTGCTAAAGTTCTTAAGCTCAAATATTATGCGATTGGGGAATTTTTACCAATATTTTATTTTCATAGAATTCACTATGAGTTTATTCAATCATTAACTTAAGAATTAAGATTCATTGGAATCTTAAAATAGGAAAACCATCAAATTTCAACGGTTATTTCTAATTATTTATGATTGTTATTGCAATATTTTACTAAAGTTGTTAAGTTCAAATATTTAACGATGTGATAGGTGAAAGTTTACAGATATTTTATTGACACAGAACTCACTATGAGCTTATTCAATCATTAACTGAAGAATTTAGATTCATTAAAAGTTTCAAATAAAGAAACTATGAATCATTCACAGGTCTTTCTAGTTGCAATAATTTGCATTAAAAAATATTTAGGTGAAAGAAAAAATGCACTTTTAAAAAGTTAGCAAAATAGAACTATTGTATTTTAATAAAATTTTCTGCATTTATCTAATAAAAGAAAAAATATTTTTTTAAAGAAATTTTGATTCCAAATTGTGGAGAAACAAAAACAAGTGCACACACAACCCAAGTAGAAGACACAAAGAATACAGAAACAATGCGTGATGAAAAAAGACTGAGGATTTATGAAATGACATGGTTATATCAGCATATGACAACAAAAATGTTCATTTGAATGGGCATAACTTTGTTCTCAATATACAGTAAATTCAAATTTAGAGTTTAAGAAATTTTTCAAAATAATTTTGATTTACTGCTGGTTGATTTCACTAATGTGAAATACACAGTTACAAAGGACTGACTGTATTAATTTTGACCAGTTTGTGAGAATCCTTTTCCAACATTGACTTTATGTTACAGCATAATATTTCTTGACTTATTGTGTTGATTTCCTGATCAACTGTAACACTGAAATGGTGTTTAGTGGGAAAAACACTTAATAGCACCACTTGATGATTCTAATTTTAACCCTGCATTATCAGCAAAAATTTGATATATTATCCATACCTAGCTTTGGAATATGCACTTCATAGGAAATACATTCTTGAAGCAACATGGGTTTGCATAACACCCAATACAAACAAATGGTAATTTATGAGTGCCAGTGACACTGACACAAGGTTAAAAAAAAAAAAAATAGAATCCTTCTGCATTTTCTGTCCCATTACCTGCTTTACTTTAGTGAATGCAAATGTTTTGCATGGCAATGCATGTTAAAACCACCCATATTCATCAGCATGTATAATTGTTCAAGGATTGTGGAGTCGAAACACAAAACCTTTGGCTACAACTCCAACTCCTCTATTTTTGGCACCTCTGACTCCTGTTTATGTAATTAAGTGATTATGGCCTATAAAATTTCATAAAGCCTATGAAAACATGCCTAACCTGAGTAGGCCTATGTCATTGCAATTGGTTTCTATCAAAGAATAAAGATATTGTGGCTTTTATATCATAACTATTCATTCTTCAATATTTTCAAACAGAATTAGAGACAAAATCTTTGAAAGGATATAGAAGAAATAACAATAAAAATGCTATGATGTAAGACTTTTTATATATATATATATATATATATATATATATATATATCTTTGCAAATAAGAAATGAGTACAGAACAAAAATAAAACTACTTTATAACAGAAGTTGAAATATAATCTTTTACAGGATGTAAAAGACATAACAAAAATAAAAATTCTATAATGTAAGATTTTTTTTACATATATATTTTTAAAAATAAAAAATAACTACAAAAAAAATAAAATGACTTTAAAAAAGAAGTTGAAATGAATTTCTTTAAAGGAAATAGTAAATATACAGTAGAAGAAATAATAAAAATAACAATTCTATAATGCGAGACGTTTTACATAAAGTGTAAATTCAACTGGAGTCGGAGTTGGTTTAGTTTACCGACTGACTCCAATAACCCCTTCATTATTTCCAACTCTGACTTCACACACCTGGTTTCTTCACAGGTGAGAGGGGATAGTTTCTATCTGAATTCTTACATAATTTCACCCCAAGTAAGGCAATAATGATGTAAGGATGCAATGGGTTATTGGGAGTTTGCAAGTGAAAGAGAACGAGAGGAATAGTGAGGAGAAAGGACAATAAAAGAAAGAAGACAAAATGGTGATGGATGTTGCATTTAGATTTTTGAAGATTATAAGTAGCAGGGAAGCAAGACATCAGAAGTGACTTCCAGAGCTGAGATGTGCAAGAAACTATTAAAAAAGAATTTACAGTTACATCTAGGTATTTCAAAAATAAAATAATGAGACCTAATTGCCAGTCTAGTAGTATTCTTAATTTTATACAGTTAAGGTACCAAAGAGAAAGACTCATTAAAACAATTACCATGAAAATATTTAGAGAAAAGTCAGAGGAAAGCCATGTCACAGTGGTGCGAAAGTGACTCAAGTCAAGATGCCAGGTCAAGACCCTTCTTTGAATTTTGTCAAGAATCTTGAGATATATAGCAGGAGCACTAGGCCAGATATGTCAGCGATATTCAAAGCATGGACAAATGGTAGATTTATAAATGTGCAAGATAGATTCTGACGAGAAAATTTGTCTGGCATGTCACAGATAACCAACATTCATAGCAGTTAAAAACATGTGACCGATAAGGCGCAAAGAATCTTTTGATATATAGCAGGAGCACCAGACCAAATATGACAGAAATATTCAATGCATGGATGGATTTCTTTGCATTTCTCACCCATTAACCTCTCAGCAAGAACACTGTTAGGGGATGCTAATTTACTTCTCCTACAAAGGACAATAACACAAAATACAATTACTCACTTTGTCTGGAAGAGGAGCACATCACTTCTGAATCAAACATGGTGACAAGCTGACATACAAGTGGAATTTATGGTTTAAATCCAAACAAATCTTTGCTGTTCTCAGACAGTAAATGAATAAAAGTTGTTTTATTATGTGTTAAAATACACTTGTCTTTTATTTTCATCCGTTTTTGTTTATCCCAACAGCCTGGGATATAACAAACACAAAGTTGCCTAATGTTATAATAATCTTTGAAATGATTTTACCAGCTTGACATTATGCTAAGATTAGACTCTTATACTTCTCCAGTATGGACTGATTCATGTTTTTTCTTGTAACATCAGGCCAAAAATGGGAATCACCCAGTGTCAGGGAAAACTCAGGAAACAAAGTGGACCAGCTTCAGGATCAACTTACCGCCATTGTTGCAGTGAGGATAGCATGTTTTCGGCTGACTGAACGATCATCAATATTAAGATTGCAGCCTTTGCGCCCTACAGTAAATTCCACTCCCAATAAAAGATGGTGCTTCCGTTCTAAAAAAGAAAATAAATAAAAAAACAGATTTTAGTGTGGCTGATGTTCTTATCTACATCCCTTTTTAATCAAGAAGAATGTAGATAAGAAAATTATAGATGTTACAAAAAAAAACACAAAAAATGATATTTTAATAAGTACAATGTGGAGTGACCTTCGTACATAATGTTTATTATATAAGCTGATCAAAGGAGCAGTGCTAATCAATATCTGGTTTACCAAAAGAGATTAACATCGGTTGTAAGACAGGAGAAATGAGAAGTCTGAGAGACATGTGGGAATTGTGATGAAATAAAATTGTCATATGTACTCAGTAAGTGTAAATGAAAGTTGATATTCAATAGAAAAGACGGGTGGCAATGAGTGTTGGAAGTATTCCTTGCTTGGGTATGCAACATGGGCCATATAAAAGAGAAGAATTAAAAACAACAGAATGGTCAAAATCAGAACTTAGACATTATACTAAAAAATAATTCAGTATGATCAGTTGTTAACTGCCATGTTATTACATCTTGCAGTAGACATCTTTTGTTTGTTGGTCAATGACTGGTGAAGGTAGAGCAGAATTAGAACATTATTTGTGTGTGATACTTGGAATTTAACTCATTCATATCTGAATTTATGACATAAGGTTCAGATTGAATCTCATTAACTTTCATGATTCACAATGATGATTTAAATCTGCAGGTCATTTAGGTATGAAAAAATATTTTGGAAGGAAAACAAAACCTGAGAAAGATCTTCATACTATTAGTAAGAAAAAAATTGGAGTAAATTTTAATATAAAAATTCTGGCCACACTCTAGAACAAGAGACTTTTTTTTTAATAAATTTCACCCAAAACAAAGCTCAAGAGCTACTCAAGGCAGAAAGTTACAGTTGAAATTGTAAAGCTTATGAAATATATAATATGAATGGAAAAGAAGGTGAGAAGATGTAAGGATAAGGAGGATAGATAATGACTTATCCTTGACTTGAAGATGTCAAGATTGCATTGCTCAGGGAACCACCCACGAGGGAGTCAGTTCCACAAAATGGCAGTTCTTGGGAAAGAGCTGTCCAAATGGAACCTTCTTCTTACATTTGGAACATGAAGGTGATTTATTCCATAAAAACATCAGTGTGTGTCCTGGCTGTAAATGTCTGAAGTGGTGGAGCTAAAAGGAAGAGATGTTTGTGAAAAATGATAGCTTGAAAAATGTTTACCCATAAAAAAAAAAGAAGAAAAAAAAAAGAAATCATAAGTTGCTTTATAAAATTATTAGCTGGAAAAATACTTTGTTTTTAAAAATCTACCAATAAAAATCAACTAATTATTGAATTTTCATGAAAATTTTGTATTTATTGTAATTTCTTGAAAATAATATGCATTTTTTTTTTACTGTAAATTACAGGTGATAGTAGGGGTGTGTATTATAAATAGGTTTAAACAAAAATATTTATTTTTGTTATTGATTTATAATAATAAATATGTAATTGTTGTTCTAAAAGAAGAAAGATATTGTCCCAATTTTCATTTTAAATCCAACAATAATAATTGTAACATTTTTTTGTCAATAAATTTATGTTTATCAGTAACTGAATTTTTTATTTGACAAAAAAATAATAAATCTATAAAAAGGCCAACTTTGAAGAACTTATGGAACATCCACTTGATCATTTTTCTTTCACAAATTCAACTAAACTGTTCCATATCTGGATATTGAGCTTTTCTTACTCTGCCTATAGCTTTGAAACTTGATTTACACTTTTTAGTTCATTTTTATTCTTTCTCCATAAATGTATGTTAGCCTCATTCAACTCATATTCTCTAACTGCAGCTTTGTTTCCTATTCTTTCTGCTAATTCTATTCCTTTTTGTTTAAAATTTGCACTATAACTGACACATTTTGACGGTAAAATAAAATATTATATGTATCACGAAAACCGCATGGTAATTTTCAACATTATTTTAGCCGCTTAGTTTAAATTTTATTCTTAATGTCAAGGTCAACAAAATGTCTTCATAATTATATTTTGACAAAATTTATAGATGTGTATTATACATAAGGATAGATATATTTCTTAATTTTTGTATTATTTTTGGGTGCGTATTATTTTCAAGAAATTATGATATTTAATAAAAACAAAACCTGCTTTAAAGAAGTTTCTACTCTATATTTTATTTTTCATTACATAGTCACTTAATTAATTTGGCAATTTATTTTACTTATGCAAACATACCTGCACTAAGTTTTACATCTTTTGAAGTCCCTAGTAAAATAAATTCATTTAATTTTTATAAAACAAAATACCAGAAGAATTGTATGGATGCCATACTTTGGAATTTGAAAAACTGGAAAATAAAGTAAAATATTGATCTTGATAAACATTTTAACTATATTTCTGAACTTATATTTCAGAGTTACAGTTTGTAAAAAGCAAAAAATAAGAAATTCATTCAACCTGAGCCATTTATATATTTACCTAATTTGTTTTGGTATCATTAATACAGTACAGTATATGTATTAGTAGCTATTTTTTACCCTAAACTTCACTGGCCCAGAAAATCCACTACTCTGATTGTAATCTTGTCATATTAGGTTCAACCTGTAATATTCTTATTCAATGATTCATTGAATAAACGTCCTTTGATCTCATTATTTTTTTATCAAATTTTGGACAGGTAATCTCTGAAGATAAAAACAACAAAAACTAGTATATTAGTCTAAAAGAATCACAGTATAGTAACGCTTTCATTATTATTAGGTAATATTAGATTTACTAAAGGACTGTTAAGTTATACATCTTAAATTAGAAGGATGCTCATATATTTGATTCTAGTTAAGTATCTATATTATTATTCTGTTTGTATGCACAACCATTAGCCTTCTATGAGGATCAGAGTGTAGTATCTGTGTCCAATCCCAAGCCATACTGATTTAGACTTAGTCAGGCTTTTTAAACAAGAAACTAATATAATATTAAATGGTAAAACATTGGGAAAAGTGAAGGAAAGGAGGGATGAAAAATTGGGAAAAGTGAAGGAAAGGAGAAAAATTGGGAAAAGTGAAGGAAAGGAGAAAAATTGGGAAAAGTGAAGGAAAGGAAGGGAGAAAAATTGGGAAAAGTGAAGGAAAGGAAGGAGAAAAATTGGGAAAAGTGAAGGAAAGGATGGGTGAAAAATTGGGAAAAGTGAAGGAAGGGAGGGGTGAAAAATTGGGAAAAGTGAAGGAAAGGAGAAAAATTGGGAAAAGTGAAGGAAAGGAAGGGGGAAAAATTGGGAAAAGTGAAGGAAAGGAGGGATGAAAAATTGGGAAAAGTGAAGGAAAGGAAGGAAGAAAAATTGGGAAAAGTGAAGGAAAGGATGGGTGAAGAAAAAAAAATTGGGAAAAGAATAAAAAAGGAAAAGTGAAGGAAAGGAAGGGAGAAAAATTAGGAAAAAGGAAAAAGTGAAGGAAAGGAGGGAAAATTGGGAAAAGTGAAAAGGAGGGGGAAAATTGGGAAAAGTGAAGGAAAGGAGGGGTGAAAAAAATTGGGAAAAGTGAAGGAAAGGAGGAAGGTGAAAAATTGAAGGAAAGGAAGGGGGAAAAAATTGGGAAAAGGAAGGAAAAAAGTGAAGGAAAGGAGGGGGTGAAAAATTGGGAAAAGTGAAAGGAAAAAGGAAGGAAGGAAAAAATTGGGAAAAGTGAGGGAAAAAAGTGAAAAAGGAAAAGTGAAGGGGTGAAAAAAATTGGGAAAAGTGAAGGAAAGGAAGGAAGAAAAAATTGGGAAAAGTGAAGGAAAGGAGGGTGAAAAATTGGGAAAAGTGAAGGAAAAAAGGAGGAAAAATTGGGAAAAGTGAAGGAAAGGAGAAAAATTGGGAAAAAAGTGAAGGAAAAGGAAGGGAGAAAAAAATTGGGAAAAGTGAAGGAAAGGTTTGGAGAAAAAATTGGGAAAAGTGAAAAAGGAAAGGATGGGTGAAAAAATTGGGAAAATGAAGGAAGGAAGGAAAAAAAAATTGGGAAAAGTGAAGGAAAGGAGAAAAAATTGGGGGAAAAGTGAAGGGGGAAAAAAGGAAAGGGGGAAAAATTGGGAAAAGTGAAGGAAAGGAGGGATGAAAAAGGAGGGGAAAAAAGTGAAAAGGAAAAAAGGAAGGAAGAAAGGAAAAATTGGGAAAAGTGAAGGAAAAAAGGATGGGGGTGAAAAATTGGGAAAAGTGAAGGAAATTGGAAAAGGAAAGAAAAAAAAAAAGGAAAAAAGTGAAAAAGGAAAGGAAGGGAGAAAAATTGGGAAAAAAAGTGAAGGAAAAGGGGGAAAAAAAAATTGGGAAAAAAGGGAAAAAGGAAAGGAGGGTGAAAAATTGGGAAAAGTGAAGTGAAAAGGAGGGTGAAAAAATTGGGAAAAAAGTGAGAAAAAGAAAGGAAGGAAGAAAAAATTGGGAAAAGTGAAGGAAGGAAAAAGGAAAAGGAAGGAAAGGAAAAAAATTGGGAAAAGTGAAGGAAAAGGAAGGGAAAAAAATTGGGAAAAGTGAAGGAAAGGAAGGAAAAAAGAAGGGGGGTGAAAATTGAAGGAAAAGGGAAGAAAAATTGGGAAAAGGAAGGAAAAGAAAAATTGGGAAAAAAGGAAAGGAAGGAAAATTGGGAGGGGTGAAAAAAAGGTTGAAAAATTGGGAAAAGTGAAGGAAAGGAAGAAAAGAAAAATTGGGAAAAGTGAAAATTGGGAAAAAGGAAAGGAAGGAAAAAAATTGGGAAAAGTAAAGAAAAAAGGGAAAGGAAGGAAGGGAGAAAAATGAAGGGGAAAAGTGAAGTGAAAAAGAAATTGGGAAAAGTGAAGGAAAGGAGGGGAGAAAATTTAAAAAGAAAAAATTGGGAAAAGTGAAGGAAAGGAGGGTGAAAAATTGGGAAAAGTGAAGGAAAAGAGAAAATTGGGAAAAGGAAAAAGGAAGGAAGGAAAGGGAGAAAAATTGGGAAGGAAAAAGTGAAGGAAAAGGAGAAAAGGAGAAAAATTGGGAAAAGTGAAGGAAAGGAAGGAAGAAAAATTGGGAGGGGAGAAAAAAAGTGAAGGAAAGGAGGGGAAAAAAAATTGGGAAAAAAGTGAAGGAAAGGAAGGAAGAAAAATTGGGAAAAGTGAAGGAAAGGAGGAGAAAATTGGGGGAAAAGTGAAGGAAAAGGAAAAGGAAGAAAAATTGGGAAAAGTGAAGGAAAAAGGAAGAAAAAGAAGGAAAAAATTGGGAAAAAAAGTGAAGGAAAGGAAGGAAAGAAAAATTGGGAAAAGTGAAGGGAAAAGGAAAAAGTGGAGAAAAATTTGGGAAAATTGTGAAGGAAGGAAAGGAAAGAAAAATTGGGAAAAGTGAAGGAAAGGAAAAGTGAAGTGAAAAGGAGGAAAAATTGGGAAAAGTGAAGGAAAGGAAAGGGAGAAAAATTGGGAAAAGTGAAGGGAAAGGAAAGAAAAATTGGGAAAAGTGAAGGAAAGGAGGGGTGAAAAAAAATTGGGAAAAGTGAAGGAAAGGAGGTGAGGGGAAAAATTGGGAAAAGGAAAGGAAGGGGAGAAAATTGGGTGAAAGGAATGAAAAATTGGGAAAAGTGAAGGAAAAAGGTGGGGAAAAAAATTGGGAAGGAAAAAGTGAAGGAAAGGAATGAAGAAAAATTGAAGGGGAAAAGAAAAATTGGGAAAAGTGAAAGAAAGAAAAATTGGGAAAAGTGAAGGAAAGGAAGGAAGAAAAATTGGGAAAAGTGAAGGAAAGGAAGGAAGAAAAATTGGGAAAAGTGAAGGAAAGGAGGGGAGAAAAATTGGGAAAAGTGAAGGAAAGGAGGGGTGAAAAATTGGGAAAAGTGAAGGAAAAGGAGGTGAAAAATTGGGAAAAGTGAAGGAAAGGAAGGAAGAAAAATTGGGAAAAGTGAAGGAAAGGAAGGAAGAAAAATTGGGAAAAGTGAAGGAAAGGATGGGTGAAAATTGGGAGGAGAAAAAAATTGGGAAAAAGGAGAAAAGGAAAAGGAAGAAAGGAGGGGAAAAAATTGGGAAAAGTGAAGGAAAGGAAAAGGGTGAAAAATTGGGAAAAAGTGAAGGAAAGGATTGGAGAAAAATTGAAGGAAAAGTGAAGGAAAAGGAAGGAAGAAAAATTGGGAAAAAGTGAAGGAAAGGAAGGAGAAAAAAAAATTGAAGGAAAAAGTGAAGGAAAGGAAGGAGAAGGGGAAAAATTGGGAAAAGTGAAGGAAAGGAAGGGAAAAAATTGGGAAAAGTGAAGGAGGGAGAAAAATTGGGAAAAGTGAAGGAAAGGAGGGGTGAAAAATTGGGAAAAGTGAAGGAAAGGAGGGGTGAAAAATTGGGAAAAGTGAAGGAAAGGAGGGGTGAAAAATTGGGAAAAGTGAAGAAAAGGAGGGGAGAAAAAGAGGGTGTAAAATAGGTAAGAAAACTTGAGAAAAAGTTAAAAGTATTTTGTAGCAACAACTGACACTTTGATATAAGATTATACAGTCTGACCACTTTAATCAGGCATTCATTGTCCAGCAACTTACATGGTCTGGCACTTTTTTTTTGAATCAGCCACAACTAGTTTGTTGAGTGCCTACAAGAGCTGCAGCACACATTGTTTACAACTTTCCATAGCAGCCGACAACAGCAGAGTGTTTTGGTTGTACAATCTTGCACATTTCTTATATATAGTTGCATATTTACCCATTCAGGATGCTTTTCTTTTAGGTTTTTTCTTTTGCCTTTGTATTGCACAAAACAATAAAAACCTTGTTTGACAGCATTAACAATTATTTTTGTTTAAACTTTGTTCTACCTATGATAACACAGAAATATATATGTGGAATGAGCTGGTAAAGCTAGCTTTACATAGGTTTTTTTTAGGGGGTAACTTCTGTCATCTGGCATTTTCTATACTCCCAATTTTGCTAGAAGTCAGACTGTAATGTTCTATGCTCCCAACTTTGCTAGAGGTCAGACTGTAATGTTCTATACTCCCAATTGTGCTAGAGGTCAGACTGTAATGTTCTATACTCCCAATTGTGCTAGAGGTCAGACTGTAATGTTCTATACTCCCAATTGTGCTAGAGGTCAGACTGTAATGTTCTATACTCCCAACTGTGCTAGAGGTCAGACTGTAATGTTCTATACTCCCAATTGTGCTAGAGGTCAGACTGTAATGTTCTATACTCCCAATTGTGCTAGAGGTCAGACCATAATTTTCTATACTCCCAATTGTGCTAGAGGTCAGACTGTAATTTTCTATACTCCCAATTGTGCCATTCTCTTTTATTCTTTATATTCAGACAAGAAAAATATTTGTTTTGAAAAAGCAATTTTTATTTTTTTTTCCCTAAAAAAGTTTTTCTACATTTCATAGTATTTCTCCTTTGGAAATTTACCAGAAAAAATGAAATATGCTTTCTTTTATGTTACTAAATTACTGCAGGTAACCAGGGTAATTGAAAATGAACCCTGACACCCGTGAATAATGACAATAACAAAGATATTGTAAAATAGACATTTCTTATTCGTTATTCATTTCTTTCCATTTGATATTGGAATTTGTAGGACTACTTTTCATAAATATATATTTCATAACTTGACTATGAAAACTCTGCCCGAAAAAGAAAATAGCTATAATTACCTTCCCAGGCAAACACAAATTACTAAATAAATGATGCAGTTTTCCTTATTTTCCATATTTTTGGTGTGATTTGTTTTTTGTTTTTAATTTCCCATAAATATAGCATAACTTAAAAACTATTTTTTTTTTATATATATATATATATATATATATATATATATATATATATATATATATATATATATATATATTCATATTCATCTGTTTTACATGACTTGTAAAAAACCAGCTGCGATCAAAATAGTGAACTATTACCTTGCTTAGATATGTACTTCTGCTAGTATGTATATATTCCCATAACTTGACATGTCTTACTAGCTCACCATAACAGTATTAAGGAATTGTTCTACTGTGATTATAACCAGTTCCTATCTAAGTTGTGAAATATTACCTTGCTTAGACATGTACGTCAGCTAGTATCTTTTATAGCAAGAACAGAATCATTTATTATGTTTTCCTTTTACAGTTTCAAAGTTTGTTTTAGAAAGCTGTTACATTGTAAAGTAGAAATAAAAAAAAATAATCAAAAATGATCATATGTTAATTCAGCTAGATTCTCTTTAATAAAAATTTTTTCTAAAATAAACTATACTTTCTGAAACTTTCAGGAATATTAGCTGATTTAAATTTTAATTAATCTGATTTGAAACAAATATTAATTTTAGTTTAAAATATCACAGAAATGTATTTTTTAATATGGCAGTCATTGTTTATTTTAAGTCTTGACAGGTTGAAAGCTTGAATGACTGATGGAATTTTATCTAATGTTTTTCTACAAGATTTTCTCGTGGAATATAGCACAAGTGCTCTTTTAAATAATTTTTAACAATCCAGTAATCTTAAAAATTTCTAAAATTCAATAAAACAGTAAATTATGGAGAATATTTTCCTGAATTTCATTAAAATCTAACAATTATTTTCAAGAATTTTTAAATCAATGTGTTTTCCATTGCAAAAAAGACACTAAAATTTTCTATATTAATTTTTGGCCAGTGGGCTGACAAAAAACAACAAAAAAAAAAAACAACAACATGATTTTTAACCAAAATTTCAAATATTCTAAAAAGGATGAAAAAATAATTTAATAACCAAAAAATCCTTGTAATAATAACAAAGGTTTTGATGCTAAAACCTTGTTTTTATTAAGTTTTGGGGTATTTTTTAATCATGGTATGCTCATTTTTTTAGTGAATCAGTGGTGGAACCTACAAATAAAAGAACAGGAATTAAGATGAAAGATAATGATTAACATTGCATTTAAATTTTTCAAGATCAGAGTTGACTGGAAAGCAAGAAGCCAGAAGAGATTTCCACAAGCAAGAAGTGTGAGGGGTGAAATTATTAGCATAGAACTTAGAGTTTCATCTAGCCATACTAATTATAAAATGATAGGAACAAGCTAGCAATCTACTACTATGCTTAATTTCAAAAAGTTTAGGTACCAAAGAGGTAAGCTCATCAGAACATTTATAGAAAAGGCACAGGGAAGCTACATTACAGAGGTGGGAAAATGACTGAAGCCAAAATACCAGGTCAGGATCGATAGCATTGCAGATTCTTCTTTGGATTTTATCAAGAATTTCTAAATACATAGAAGCACCTGACCATATGTGCCAACAATATTCAAAACAAGGACAAATGGTAACCTTATAAATGTATAATATAGATTTTGGTAAAAAAATTTGCCTAGCACAATACAGTGAACCACTTTTCCTAGCAATCAATTCAATATAATCTTTCTACTTCATGTCAGCTGAAGCTTCTGGAAGGCAAAAGAGGTTCTCTAAGATGATTACAAGAGAGCAATCTTATTTTGGAAGCGTTTAAAATAAACAAGCCATTTCTTGTCCCAGTTAACAGATTGTAGGTCATTTTTGAGATCAGCTGTCAATAAAGTTGTCCTTCCCCAAGAATAGCCATCACCCAAAACAAGAGATCCCAGTTTACCCTGTTATTTAACACATAGCAGGTCAATGATGGATGCATGTCTTTTCCAAGGGCATTAGTGAACAAACCAAATTCAATCAAAATTTGGAAACAGCATGCTATACTGCTTAAGCATACCAATTTTATGTCTTGTCCCAATAGCTGTTACACTCTCTGTGCATATTAAGTGTACACAAATTTCAATATTTTTATTGAATAAAACAAACAAGGAATGTTTGTTAGGCCTTTTATTAAGTTTCTTCTGGCATCTGGTCTGGAAATCTTTGGTTTGATATTCCCATGCCAGTTTCACTCACTTCTACTCTTCTGTGCTGGCTTAGAGTAATTTGGAAGAGGGTATTGCACCCTGACACTAGAGTTTGAAAGATTTATACACAAACAGGTTTAAAGATGGCTTACTTCCTTCATAAGGTGGATTTACTCATGCCAGATATAAATCTAGAATTTATATCCTCCAACATGGTTTTTATATCTAAGATTTTCCTGCTCCTAGACAGACTACCTTCACTAGAGATAAGGAAAGCACACTTTCTACTAAAATTGGATTAATTTAGCTGAAATGTTGCTTCAGTTATAATCAAGTGATTCCATTGTGTTGCTGACAAAAAAATCAGGTATTTTTATCAATTTTATTTTATTCAACTTTATTCACATCACATGCCAAGAGTGTGCTTTGAAATATGGTATCTTGAAGGACTTTTATAATAAATTTGGTTAGTTACTGTAAGACCCTAAAATTCTTCTTTGTGCTAGAATTAGACTATTAAAAAAAAAAAAACAAAGCAAAAAAACAATCAATGCAAAACGTCTACGGATATTTGCTAAGCTAAGCAAAGGTTGTCCAAAGAGGGATAAGTAAAAGCTGCTATTGAGTTAACTGCTGAAATTAATTTTCTAACAAACACTGAATTACCTCCCTTATATTTCTTAAACCTCGTATTCTGAGCCAAAAAACTGAAAGCTTCCTGAAGAAAAATTCAGAGATATTTTAATCTGCATAGGATGATATTTGAGGTCAATAAACTCACAGAAATAGAAAGAAAATGCCTTTGCTTTGATTTCTGGGAATAAATTCCTCTCTACTCCATAAGTAAGTTCCTTCCCGTCAAAAGCAAAACACTTCATTTTCTTTCAGATTCGACAACAAAAAATCTAGACTTGATGTAGGTACCACCACAGAAAATGGATACCTAAAGTAAAAGTTTAAAATGAAAAATCTTTCTATACATTTTATGATCAAAGATTTTGAAAAAATATTGACTCAAAGTCAAATCAAATAAATTAAATATTTTATCCGTCCTCTCAGGCAATACTTTTCACAAGAATGTGGGCTCGGGTTAAGTGTCCCAACATGGAAATGTTATGAAATTTTACGCCATTTTTGTCACGTGTATGTGAACTACCCACATTAAAATTAGCTTTGTTGTACAATATTCCGTTCAAGTGCATATGAGGATAAACACCGCCGCTAAGCAAGCCGGTTCAAAATTGGTAAGGGAGTTAACTCTGAAGACATTTACAGTTTACCACTATGTTTTGTTAAATTTTTCGGCAAGATTAAAAAGTTAAATAAATTTGATACTTTTCAATTAATGCAGGTATTTTTCTGAAACAACTGGTTAATTTTGGTATGGACATTTACTTTAATTCAAGATTTTCGATTTCTGATCTATTAATTTTAATTTCGACTAGATTTTCTTTCATCTGTAAGTGCATTTTCTTCTAAAAATGCTCTTCTTTTAATACAGGCTCTGATATTGATGACAGTGGATTAGTAATGGAACTATTAGTAAATTTCAAATGCAAAGTATTTGCAATTTGAAAAACAAAGTAAACACACACACACGTCAATATTTTAACTTTGGCGGGAATTAGACAAATTTTTCCGGTCTTAAATTTGGGTGCTTTATGTTATTGTTAACTTTCAACAATTTTTACATATTTCGATCAGTTAGCTGAAATAAACACTCCAAAATACTTTACTTACTGTCTTCATTGTCGGCACTTTCCAATAACCACATGATGAAAATGTTTAGGGATTTAAAAAGGAGTCATTTTAATTCTAAACGTCAAACATCGTCAACACAAAAGCCACGTGACTCGATCAAGGTAGATAATTGCGTCGAAATTTTGAAAATTATTTAAAAAAAAAAAGGAAAAACAAATAAATATCATGATCAACTCAGAAAAATTACCTAGAAAATAAATAAATAAAGCCACAATGCCAAGTTGAAAACCTGAACCTCTATTAACTAATAAGATTTTGCTTTTATTAATTTTGATTTTAAAATTAAAGTATTTAAATTTAATGTTATTTGAATTTCTTGAATATGTTCATAATTTTTATGAGCTTTTATTTCATCTTATTTTTGTTTTACAATGCTCAGGTCATTAGTTTGTAATTGTTAAATACGCAACGTAATTCAGAAAATAAGGAAATAGACTTCAGTGAAATTTGAAATGACATTTTTAACAATAATATAGATGTACTGTAATGTCAAATGAAATTGATATTTGTGTTAAGAATAAATGTCTGTTAGTCTTTCTTTCTCTACTAATAGAAATGGATTGTCTAAGGTTGTAATCATAATTTGATAATTATAATACATGGATAATGTAGTGAGTTTGCTAATCCGTACATAACCCACTACTAATCTTGTGCCAGACTGTTGCGGAATCTATGCTAAGATGTATCAGAAGGTGATTTTTTGTGAAGGCCAAGAATGATCGTTTCACATTTATCCACAACAAATAAATCAAACAAAAATAAATAGACAATTCAACTTCAAGAAATTACTGAAAACAACATCATTAGAGATTTCAACAATAACATGAATTTATATATATATATATATATATATATATATATATATATATGACAAACACAAAGTGATAATACGTTGCTTGTTAAATGTGGCAAGTGAAATAAGGTTACAAAAATTTGTCCATTCAGAAATTTAGTGAGTAATGGTTGATAGTTTAAGTTTGTGAAATTAAAATAGTTTGATATCTGCAAGAAAATTTGTCAATTGTGTAAGTTCAAGTGATAGTGTGTATGTGTGTGACAACCGCTAGTGTTGATTTAAGTTATGAAGAGTTGTTCGCCTTTAACTGATAGGCTAAAGTTGATTGAATGTACAATTACTGTTTTGCAGTGATAATGTCACTTTTTAGTAAATTGTAAGTTAAGTTTCTTCACGCGGCAATAGTTGTGAGAGTTGTGTTGCAAGGTTGATAGTGGTTATTGAGCCAGTGTGTTGGCACGCATGGGGTCTGCTGGTATCTCTCGAAACTCAGTGTCTGACTGACTTGAATTAAGTCGAGAGATTCTTTTTATAGATTTTCGAGTTTCCAAATAGGCTCCAGAGACCTGCGTGGGGAAAAAAGGTTTGTCTCAACTTTGCTACATTTTAGTGTCCTTTTAACCAATGGAGGATTGAGTTTGGAAAAGTAAAGTGATGATTGGTTAAAAGTTTATTTGGGGAAGAGTGCATCTTCCCATAGAGGGTGACAGGCAAATGTGGAGGATTCCATAAGACTAAGATTAGTGAATGAACATAATTTGAAGAATACTTTTCTTGCTTTTTAAGTACTGTTTTTTTTAGCTTTGCCTAGCATCCCAATATTTGAACCGGTTATTTTTTCAGTTGTTTTCAAATTAAGTTCTCATAACATGAAAATGGATATAGAGTATTGTAGTTACATACTACTCTGTTTATCTGTTTCTGAACAGACTTTCAATTAACCACAAACAGTTTGTTCAAGTTTATTAATTCTGTGCATGTTTTTGAGGATATTTTACAATGTTTATCCAAAACAAATACTATTTCTTTCCTGTTTGTAGTGTTTTATGTCCATTTACATCATATTTCATAACTAGTGTTATTTTCATGACTTTCATTCATAACCAAAAGTAACTTCAAGATCTGCAAGGTTGTGACACTCTTACGCCATATGGCTCAAGTGTTTGTGCTTCTGATCTTGTGTTGCATGAGACAGGATAAATAATTACTTGGGCTTGGGAAGAAGATGATTGTGTAGTATCCATTCCAGCAAGCAATCATCAGCAATAGCTACTCAGACTTCACCAAAAGGCTAAGCAGTAGTAGTCTCAGCTAACAGACCAATTCACTTCCACCTGCCATGTCTTCACCTGGCATCTAAATCTTTTATTGGCTGCATGATATGCTGACTTTTCAGGACAAATTTAAGTCTTTTTCACGATTACATGATACCTGCCCTTTTCAGTAGTACATTGTCATTGTTATTGGCACACACAAGTCATCTTCCTGGGAGATAGTTTTTACACATTTTGTTATTAGACTACAAAATGATGTCAAATTTTTGGGGACACCCTGTTTATATGCATCCATACATGCCTAGCACAGAATGGTTGAAGTACCTGAGGAGGCATCTATATGATGTTAAAACCACAGCAGCAGAAATCAGAATGATAAAATTTTATCTCTGCACATAGGAACTGGCACTCACCTTCTAACAAGAATGAATAAAAATTTCAAATAAATACAATTTCAATTTCTAACCAATCAGAGGTTTTCCTGCTTCATTTTAGTGGCCTGAGTAATCCTTTGACTAAAATAGTTCCATAGCGAAATACAGAATCATAAAAATCAAAACACTTGTAATCAAATACTCTCTGCAGGGGATAAGACATTTTGATTATGTACTCTAGTTTATCTCAGATATTGTTTTTATTAAAGGAGTAGACAATATTTCTGTGGTAAATATGTCTTGGGGCATCAATGATCTTCTTTTGTATCCCTGTACGAAATACCAGTCATTTGTTGAGGAACAGCTGAAGGATGAGCAACTACAATCATTTCTCTTGAATAACTCATCATTGAAACTAACAGAAATTCATGTTCTTAATAGCAACCTGGAAATTGTGTGACACCAGTACTAGTCAGCTATGTCCCTTAATTCCTGGGTCTTTGCAGTGTACTTTTTTCTTCACATTTGCTAACTTACTTCATCTTGGTGTTAATACATCCATTGAGCTTTGTTGTTATAGTCCAGAATGATAAGGATATTTCATCATTCTAAAAATAACCTTTCAATCATTGATGATAGAAAAGAAGGATATTTCATCATCCTAACCCTCATCATTATAAAAACAACCCTTCCACCACAAGTGAGTCAATAGGGTAGATTAGACTAGGGTACCTGTAGCAGTAGTCAGTGATGAGTAGACAAGTAGCAGTACAGAAACACACGTCTAACCAGTGCTCCGTAAAAATCAAAAACAGGCAATTTCAAACACCATCCTCATAAACAAAATTCTTGGAACCAAGCCAAGTAAGCACTTTAAACAAGAGGCACTGAGAACTTTTTTACACACACCATACCAATATTCTGTAATTCACATCACAAAAAGAAAATAAAATTCTTATTTATGCCAACATGTGTCTCAAGTTTTTGTTGTTTATGTTATTGTACATTTAATTCATTTTGTTTTCAGTATAAAAAAAGTCAAAGGGATTCCTCTCACACTACAAATATATGCACCAACTTACCCACACTGTTACATAGTCATGGACAAATGTGTTTGACTGCTTATGAAGTTGGACATTTGACTTTAGATGTATAGGAATTAAATCCTATATGTATTTTTCAACCAATAAAATCCTATCAATAGGGTTTCTTTGATAAACAACAAATACTGCCAAAATACTTGCAGACATACATGTAGACCTACCAATGACCATGTGTCATTTTTTAATCATTTAGAAAATAACCCCTTTCACCACTCCTGCAAATCCAAGAAAAAGATTTTTGAGCTAGTGTGAAATTATTTTCTAACAAAAAACTTTGTATTCAAAAAGTTCACACTTCTATGTGAAATTAGATTTTGTATCTCCCTTACAGATATAAAAATAGAAGCATACTGCTACTCGAATTTCAAAACAATTTCAGAGGCCAGTTTGATCTACACTTGTGTACATCCACACCCACACAATGAAGAGATGACAGCCAGCAGCTGCTGGCTAAGTTTTTAACTATGAACACACAAACACATTAGGCTAACCATCATAAAGTAAGTCTGTCCACTCATTTCACACCAGACTAAGAACACTTAATTACTTGATAAAACAAACCTCACTGCAAGGAAAATTGAACATTTTGTTGTTATTGTATATTTCTGAAAAGAATATATAAATGTTATTTCAACTGACGTTCTGCTTTTCCTTTTCCTTTAGAAAATAACCATTTTTATGTTTCATTTAAAAGATATGTTGTTAAATGTTTGGAATCCTGACACTCAGATAAAAACAAAATCCTGGGCAGACAGATTCCAACAGATGTTAACAGTTTGTGTGTATTTTATCAATTGCTATGTTTGCTGCTAGGAAAGTTGGTTCACTGTGTCATGCTAGACAATTTTAAATCGCCAGAATTTATCTTACATATTTATAAGTCTGTTATGTATTAAATATTGTTTCCACATCTGGTCTGGTGATTCTGTTATGTATTTAGAGATTCTTGATAAAATCCAAAGAAGAATCTGCAATGTTATTAGTCCAGATCTGACATCTTGTTGTCTTCAATCACTCTCCCATTGCTATAACATAGCTTCCCTGTGCCTTTTCTATAAATATTTTTATAATAATTGTTCTGATGAGATTTTCTCTTTGGTGCCTAGGCTTTAGGAATTTAAACACAGTACTAGATTGGCACTTAGATTTCAACATTTTACAATTGAAATGGTTAGATATAACTGTAACTTCTATTCTAACGGTTTTTCTCTTGCACTTCTCACGTTTGGAACTCTCTTCACGCTTCTTGCTTTACAGTCAAATTTGATCTTCAAAAATTTAAATGCAATGTCAATTGTAATCTTCTGTATTCTTGATTCTTGTTTTGTTATTGTTCTCTCTCTTTAAAAGTGTTTTTTTTTCTCTCATATTTTCTCACACTCAGTAACCCTTAGTGGCTTTATTGCCTTGCTCGGGATAAAATGATTAAAAAAAATTGGCTAGAGCAACTTTTCTTAGTTCTTCTGGGACTTCCTATGGCAGTAAAGTGTGACACTATTTAACCTGGCAAATAATGAGGCTGAATGAATAGAATAGAATGAATATATCAATAGACTCCTGATAAATAATAAAGATTATCAGCCTCGTGCCAAACTTCATCAAGTTAGCAAAATGTCATGTCTAACTTAAGAAGCAGGTTGGGTCGATAATCATCTGCATGTGAACTGCTGGAGTTTGATAACAAACTAATCAGATATTGTACAAAGAGCTAGATATAAACATCTTATTTTTTTTTTATTCAAGCTATTTCCTTTTTCTTGCGTCTTCATTCCACTTGAACCAGCCAATATGAAGATACCTGACAACCATCTGATCTTGGTCAACCTTATGATCAAAACAAATCACAATGTGGGATAAGGCAAGGCCTGGATTGAAGTAATCATCTTATTGATCAGCTGCAGGTATTGGACATTTGGATGACCAGGAGGGACTTGAGGGTGACACTTGGTTGCCGTGGTCCAGGATTGGAATCGGAAAGTGACAAAAGGATGACAGTGTTCAGACTTTCTGAACAATTTTCCCCCAGTCTTTGCTGAATGTCACTTTGTTTTCTTCCCTGAGCTAAGCATCTGACAAACAGGATGGTGAATATGGCACACAACTCCTCCATTACTATGTAGATTCCCCAATCTATATATCTGAAACCTTTAGACTCTTGGAAACATGTTTTTGTATGAATCTCTGCAAACATGCACACACTTCAGCCACCTTGTAGTGGACTCTTCAAGATCCTGAAAAGTTATTCCAATGTGTGTGATAAAAATCTATACCAGAATATTCCTTTGGACAAGTTGAAACTTGACTTTTTGTAGGCTACATGGCTTGATATGGACAGTTCACTGGTTTTTCCATTCCATGTAGTTCTGGATGTGTCAAAAGTAGACTGTGATGCAATCTGGTCATTATGTAAAATGACCCAAAGTTTGAGTTAATGTTTTGCCATTTCAGTTATATATATCAAGGCTTGTTCTGTTATGTTACTGCCGCCTGACTTAAATTGACCCTTTTCAACTGTTCTGTCTATTTGATTCATGCAGGGTTTATACATTTTGTGTGTTTGTTTTCGGTCTCAGTAGCACAAATTTGTTCTGGTTACATGTCCTTCTACATCTTGGTACATTTGACCTTAAGTGAACAGTTTTGTTGAAGTTGTGGTATATGTAACAGTAGAAAACTTGGTTGTCTGCCTTTGAATCAGCTATAATTTATGCATACATCAAAGAGGAAGAAATGTGTCATGTGACAGTTTGGTTAGAGACACAAAAATTGGCCTGGTCAGATTCTGAAATGACAGTACATGTACACTAGCCTTCCATTTTCTCTTGCCTAAAGCTAAATCATTGATGCAATGAAGGCCCCATCAACTTACCAAGACATTAATTTACTTCTTTTTTTTTTCCATATCTGCCTAAATGTATGTTTTGCTACTTGAACAAACTATTGTCATATTCAAGTTCTGTAAATATTTATTAAGACAAAAATGTATAGAAAGTGCTTTGATTGCTAGATAATGCACAGGAAATTTGCATACAGGTTTTAACATATCACCTTTCTTGGCAGATCTTATATTAGCGCAATGTGGAGTACTTAATAATAAGTGATGAAAACAAAAACAAAAGCATAAGAAAACTGAATGAAATGTTAAACTTGCAACACACACTACCTTTTTTGCCAATCAAGAACTAAGGGTCTCTTGTTTGTGGTTCAAAGTAGATTTCTTTTATTGAGGATATAGAAAGGTTGTGATTGATTAAGAATAGTAGGGAAGTTCAATTACTATATTTTGAGGCCTATTAAAGTCAATCCAATCTTGATTCTGACTTTCTCTTTCATAAGAAACACAAATTCTTTTCCAAGTTAAGACTGGATTTTCTCCTTTATTGCAACAAAGGTATATTTCGACACTAATATTATTAATATAATCAGGTGTTGGGTAGGTGTAGCAGTTCTGACACAGGAACAGTCATACTCATTTGGGAGTAGTTTATCTGCATTGATTCCCATTGGGTACCCAACTCTCACCTCTGGCTCCAAGTAGTTGTTTGCATGCATGTGGCCACACCCCAATAAACCACTTCAAGTGGCTGGCAAACCAGATGAGAGTAGTAGGTGGGTCTAAACACTTGATAATTTCAAGTCATGTGAAGATTGATTCCTGGCAGAATGGGTGGATGAGACCACCCACAGATATAATGGCCATGAAGGTGTTGTTAGCTAGTTCTGTGGAGGGCATTCAAGTATGAACGTGACATATAGAAGTCCTGGTCATTTACTACAGCTTGGAAATTTCCAGTTGCAATGGTTCATGTCATGTCACATCACACTGAAACAACAGTTCCCATATAATCACTGAAGTTAAGCAATGTTGAGCCTGGTCAGCACCTAGATGTGCAACCACTTGGCAATACCAGGTGCTGTAAGCTTGGATGTCTGGGTGGTGTAATGGATAATGGTTTGGAATTGTTAATTGGAAAGCCAAGTTCCAATTCTGATTTGGTTCATTATATTCACTTACACACAAATACCCTTGGGAAAAGTATGAATCCTCTTCTCCCCCCCCCAGATAAGGGTTGATTAGTAAGACTTGTATCACTAAAACCATTATTATTTAAAAAAAAAAAAAAAAAAATTTCTGGTTTTAAATAACCTGCAAAGGTTTGATAAACTTTGGAAACTGAATCAATTGAAAAACATGCCACCAGATAGACTTTCCAGGCCACCCAAAATTTTCTCACAATAAATTACATAGGTCTGTTTAGTAAATTCATCTAGATTCACTGATGAATTGCAAGACAAAGTCTAGAAAGTTCCATGCACCATGCTTCTTCAATCTACTCCAGTGGGTGAAATAAAGAATTTTGTTCAAAATTCTAATCACCTGAAGAAAGCCGAAATGTGAATATGGCAATGAAGAGGAGGATAACAGTCTGAATAATGTAAATATTAGTTCACTTCCTCGTACTTTAGTTAATAAGTGGCTTAGAATGTGATCGTATTGGTTATGTATCCTGATCTCCACTTAATGAGATATTCCATTGTTATGGTAATAAAAGGCATTACTTGACACCAATAGACATGCCTTGTGTTAAAGAAAGAATGGAATATCTCATTAGTAAATAGAGGAACACACTAGGTTCATTCATTCATTGCATATTATTTTGTTTCATGTTAGTTGTTTTTTTTTTTATACTTCAATGAGATAAAATGTAAAATTCTAACCTGTGAAAATGGAGCTAAATTTTAAATAAAAAAAGTCTTCATACAATATATATATATATATATATGTTATATAAATAAATAAATAACTGATGCAGTTGAAACATTATACATATCACAAAAAAATATGACTTGTTGACTGACAGTTACATTGGGTTGGCTACATACCTGAGAACCACTAACTTCTACAATGTACTTTCTGTGATTTAGTCAGGCAAAAGGTTTGTCAGTGATAAGTATAAGTGATACAAGAACTGCATCATAGCCAATCTGAAGAGTTGTAATATTTTCCCTAGTCAATCAGAAATGTTAACCAGGCCAGTTGATGACTTGTCTTCATGAAAACTGTTCAAACTACAGAAATAAAGTTGGTCCAGTAAGCAGTGGAACACCATTGAAGATGTCACATGTACAATCCTTCTGCTACTGCCATGTAAGATCTTTTCAAATGTCCTACTTGCAGAAAGGTATACCATTCCAGTGTTGGATTAATCAGCCACACAAGAGGCCATTCACCATGAAGGGAACCAGTTGTCTGAAAAGACAGTCTACAACACCTACAAATTTTATAAAAAATATCTTTAGTTATGTATGCGTTAGAATTTTTTAGATACTTAAAAGCACTTAGTAAGAATATTCTAGTACCAGAAGATTGTATGTGAACAAAGTTACACTGGATTATTTGGATGACTACAATCTTTTTATCTATATATAATCTGTAATTTTCATTAGTCTATCCATCTGTCACACCCTCTAAAATAGCCATAAATTGAATAATTGAAACTAAATTTGGAGAGAAGTACAAACAGATAAGGGGGGCTACAAAGTACAGTTGGTTTTACTAGGGCGCATAAAAACCATGAAGTAGGGTTTTGTCAAAGTATTTTTTCAAACAAATCAACTTATTCAAATTTCAATTGTTTTGTGAAATTAAACAAAATGTAGAGTTTGTAAAACTCAACAAAAAAATGTTAGTGATAACTTCAATACTAAATACACGCTTTAGTGTGTTGCAAAAGAATCCTAGTATACTAAATGGTACACATGATGCTCCTTTTTTAAAAAAAAAAAAAAAAAAAAAAAAAAAAAAAAAAGAATTTTAGCATTCTAGATAATTACTGGATATCTCAAGTGCAGAGTTTACCAATCTTTTTTCGCCACAACCCTTGTTTGTGGTTTGCTAGTAACATTGATGGAAAGAACAAGTTTAGTGTTTCTAGATTTAGTTTTATACAGTAATTTTTACATTTATTTAATAATCAATAAATCATATTTTTTTATATCTACTAAAGAAAATGGAAGACACAACTTCATGTTGAATGTACATATCACAGTATATCATGCATCCAAAACAGATATCCCACAAGTGAGTAAGAAACAGTTTTATGATTGGGTTAGGCTTCAGTGTACAAGCATTGGATGTGAGCAGACTGCAATATATCAGATCTATTTTCCTGTTGGAAAATTTCAATGATACTTCGTAAAATTGTGATGTAAATATATTTGCATTATTGTTTTTTTTAGTAAACTTATTTTCTTATCTATTTCTAAAACATTCCATCACCCTAAGGAACATCAGCCAAGTCTTTATTTGGGTTGCTGTTTTGGGCATCACTGACCTAGTGACTAATGCTAGCCCTATACTTGCAGAGTTTTTCAACAGTAGGATATTAAAATATGTGTATAGAATAAATAAAGTAGGTTAATTTACATTGTATTATTATAATTCAATATAATATTAATAATTATAATATAACAATTACTATTGAATTTTTTATATTAATCAGATTAGGTTATTTACACATGGACATTGTCCTCATTTTAGTTGTTATTGTGTTTCAGCCGTTGTACCCTCTGGCCTACATCAGGTGTATGTTGATCTAAGTAATCTACAGGGAATTCCAAACTAAACCCTTTGTTTAATTTACGTGGGTAGACTTTTCTTCTTCCACTGCTAATGTCTAGGGAGATCTTGTCTAGTTCTTATTTTTAGTATGGCTCACTTATTGTTATCTCTTTTTTCCCCACTGAATCCAAGTACACACTGCCTGGCCCAGGGATTGAACTCACAATTACTGTGTCACCAAATTCAGTAACCAATGCTTTAATCCACTAGGCTATTGTCCTGTACGGACATGGGCAGCAGAATGAGAACAGCTTATCCCATAGATTAAATAAAAGCTTGTGTTCACAATTCGCTGTAGGTTACTTGGATTGATATACACCTGATGAAGGTCAGAGGACACAATCACTGAATGACAATAGTCCAAATGTAAATAATGATAACTTATAACTTTCTGTCTGAATTTCTGAGACGAGGAGTTATGTGCAATAAATGTGAAAATAATTATTATAGAACAGAAATAATATTAATTACACTTAAAGTATTCATCAAAACAATTGCCATGATAATTGAAATAATGACAGATGAACAGTTTTAGGTTATAAAAAAATAGACAAACAAAGCAACTGTTAATTTTTTTTCTTTATTTTTGGTGTTAGAACCAGAAAATGACCAACTCAACTTAAATCTCTTTTCAAGTTGTTACTGGCTTTTAAAACGGATTATGATTTGATCTTTACTTTTTCTTGTTTCAAATTCAGACTAATATTTTATTTCTTTAAATAAGACAAGACAAGACACTTTTTTTCTTTACTTCTTCAGCAATTTTAAGTATGGCAGGAATTTATCACAATTTTTAGTTATTTTTTTCTTAGCAATGTTTAACCTTCATGCTCACATTAAAAAAAACAAAAAACTTTCGACTCCCTCAGAAAAATTTATTTACAACATTATAAATTATGTGAGCCAAGTCTAATGCAATATTTATTATCCACTATTTTATAAATAAATAAATTTGAAAATAAATCTTTTTATTCAAAAATTTACAAAATTATCAAAATATGTTAGCCATCTACAATGTAATATTTGCAGTAAAAATTATATACATTATGTAATTATACACAAGGAAAGTGTTGTCCATCCAATGAATAGGGAGATACACACTGAAAATATTGAGTGTTTGTGATCTCACTTAAAATCAGAAATTAAAAGAATGTTTGGTTCAGAGGAAGAGATGTTCTCAACATATTTTAATGATTTTATGTGGTGAGGACAAATGAAAGAAATGCCTCGAAAATGCTTTTTTTCAAAATCTATAATTAGTTACTAGTCATTATGTTTATTTAAATTTTCTTCAGGCATTTTTATAAATAAAAATTTTTTCATATTTATTTCTTTATTAAATGGTAAATATTTCATTATAGCTGGTTCAAATATTTTTATAATCTTGTAAATATAAAATTATTCTTGTAAATAAGCAATCTAATAAATTAGTGTTTAACATGTTTGTGGTTAATTCTCAAGAATAAAGCAAATTTTAATCTTTGATTTTTAAAACAGGAAACATTGCTGAGGAGGGTCAAAAGTGTATACAGTAATAGCAGTGTCAAGGGAATAACCATCCTTTTGACATACCATTTTTTTTCGTGGGCACAAAGGTTAAACACTGCCTTTTTTTATTATTATTATTTCTTCCCTCCCCATTTAGGAATCCCCAACCCCAGCCAATTCAATGCTGCCTCCCTTGAAGCAAATCAATAACAAAAATAACAAAGCAACATTTGCTGTCCTCCCCCATATCATTTACCAAGTGCTACAAGGAATATAGATTTATGAGCCATAAGAGGGAAAAATAGAATGGTAGAAGGGAGATAGAAGAGTGGAAGCAGAGAAGATTTGAATGAGGGAATAGAATTTTAGATATGTTATTCAGATAATTTCATAAGAACAAGCAACACATGAACAGAAAAGGCTTTTCTTTTACAGAACAATTTTTGTTAATTACAGAATAATATTTCATTGCTTTCAGTTGGGTAAGATAAAAAAAAAAAGTAAAAGTTTGCAATATTAAAAAAAAAAATTCATCTTTTAAAAACTTGAAGGTAGTACTGAAGAAATTTTTTTATTGAAAAGATTTTAAAAGTCATTAAATAAAAAAAGAGGGTTTGTTGATAAAACAAATAAAAAAATAAGTTGCATAAATATTTTCTGCAGATAATTGTTCAACATTTTGCAACTCATTTTCATAATCAGAAAAAAAAATTCTGACAACTTGTAGAAAACAACACCCTCGTAAACTGAAATAAATCTAACAATAGAAAGAAAAATAAACAATAAAATGGATCAACGACTTAATGTTACC